CAATAGTTTAATAAAGATCAGGCTTACTAGCTGCTTTGCTTCTCAATATACTCTGGTTGGCCTCTGTTATTTTCTCCTACCGATAGGGAACATTAGAAGGACTCTATATGGGCTCCTGGATACCTCATAAAGGAAAGAGGAGCAGTTTTTCTTTTAACATTGTGTAACTAAGATCATGGCCACTGGACCCATCACCTCCTGGCAAATAGAAGGGGAAGAAATGGAGACAGTGAGAGATTTTACTTTCTTGGGCTCCATGATCACTGCAGCAGTCATGAAATTAAAAGACGCCTGCTTCTTGGGAGAAAAGCAATGACAAACCTAGACAGCATCTTAAAAAGCAGAGACATCACCTTGCCAACAAAGGTCTGTATAGTTAAAGCTATGGTTTTCCCAGTAGTGATGTATGGAAGTGAGAGCTGGACCATAAAGAAGGCTGATCACTGAAGAATTGATGCTTTTGAATTATGGTACTGGAGGAGACTCTTGAGAGTCCCATGGACTGCAAGAAGATCAAACCTATCCATTCTGAAGGAAATCAGCCCTGAGTGCTCACTGGAAGGACAGATCCTGAAGCTGAGGCTCCAATACTTTGGCCACCTCATGAGAAGAGAAGACTCCCTGGAAAAGACCCTGATTTTGGGAAAGATGGAGGGCACAAGGAGAAGGGGATGACGGAGGACGAGATGGTTGGACAGTGTTCTCGAAGCTACCAACATGAGTCTGACCAAACTGCGGGAGGCAGTGGAAGACAGGAGTGCCTGGCGTGCTCTGGTCCATGGGGTCACGAAGAGGCGGGCACGACTAAACGACTGTTTTATGTCTCTCTCTCCCACCCCCCACCCCCCACAGCTCTGAGGGCAGAAGTGAAGCCTGCTGCGGAAAGCAGCCTTAAAACAACAGAACACATGGATGGATGTGTTAATCTGGCTGGCTGAAAATCACTTCCTTTATAGGCAGATTAGCAAGCATGTGTTTAAAAAATGCATCCCGTCTGCTTTGGCTCAAAGGCGTTCTCTCACGGAAGAGACAACGCAGACTGAGGAAGACATGTGAGGCCATGGGCGTAACCCAAGGGCACAACGGGGTGAGCTCCCGTTGCTCGGTCCCTGCTCCTGCCAACCTAGCAGTTCGAAAGCATGCCAAAAAGTGCAAGTAGATAAATAGGTACCACTCTGACAGGAAGGTGAACGGCGTTTCTGTGCGCTGCTCTGGTTCGCCAGAAGCGGCTTAGTCATGCTGGCCACACGATCTGGAAGCTGTACGCCGGCTCCCTTGGCCAATAAAGTGAGATGAGCGTCGCAACCCCAGAGTCGGTCACGACTGGACCTAATGTCCCTTTACCTTTAACCACTAGGCGGTGCTACTGCACATATTTCATGCAGGCGTAGTTTTCCTCTGAAGGCCTGAGCTGCTGCTTTAGCGGCCCGTTCTCTGTTTTATTAGAAACCAGTATTTCAAAACCCCAGTTCTTGACTTCCATTCCTATTGTAATAAATCTCCCTCTGCACACTTTGCCCTAGTAGAGGCATGTTCTGTACACATAACTTGGTTGGAGAACGGGCATCGCAAAATCTGGAGAAATGCCTGTTTCCAAGCATGGTTGCTTACGTTTTTTATTAGAAAGTGTGAATTATGTAGCCCTGCCTTTAAAAGCAAATGGAATTCAATTTCTATCTCCCCCCCCCCCCCCGCAGCATGAACCTCCTAGTACAACTCCCTGATTTGTGAGTGATCTTGAGAAACCAGCACTGGATTCTTTTAAGAGGCAGAATGAGGTGGCAGGGAGAGGGGAGGAAAAAAGCCACCCTTATGTAAATAAATAAACTTTCTCCCCCATCAGAGCCCAATCCTGAAAAGATATTCATAGAGGTGGCCTTGGCAGGTGATGCTCTTGTAGAAGACAACAAATCAGAAGACAAACTTTATTTTCCCCATGGCTGTCATGGGAAGCAAGTAAATAACGTTCAGGATTTCACACATCAGCAAAAGTAGCAAGCATCTTCACAAAGGGGAAGGTCTCCGTGTGTTTCTGAATTGAAGATTTCTTTAAAGATGAACATGGAAATAGCTTTCAAACGTCTCCACATATATTGCATCATTGTATCTGTGCTAATCTTGGGAAGTGTGAACTAGGAACAGGACCGGATTTAGGTTTGAGGAGGCCCTAAGCCAGTGTTTCCCAACCGGTGTTCCGCGGCACACTAGTGTGCCGCGAGACGTTGCCTGGTGTGCCGCGAGATGTTGCCTGGAGGGAGGCGGGCGAGTCGGGCGGCGAGAGGCGGGGCGGCGGCGGCGGCGAGGAGAGGCCACCCAGCGCAGGGCTCTCGCCGTCTGCCTGCCTGGCTGCCTGCGTGGCGCTGACGTCACGGGGCTGTAACGTGCCCCACATAGGCACACGCGGGGCGGCGAGCGAGCTCCCTCCCACATCCCATCACCGCTCGCTTCGGCCGGCCTACTGGGCTGTCGCAGGCGGAAGGCCTGCGCATGCGCGAGGTTTTCGCGCCTTCGGGATTCCCTTCACGCCTTCCTCCTCCCGGGTCCTTGAGAGCGCGGGAAGCGGCAGCGCGAGACCGGCGTTGAGCCTGGTAGGTATTGCGCTTGCCAAGGCAGTCATTTGGGAAATGAAAACTTGCAAAGCAAGCAACCAGTTCAATCTGAAGTACGTGTATGCTTAATATCCTGTATCTGAAACCTGTTCTGCCCCCTCCCCCACACTTGGTGCCATTTTCATCTACACATGCAGCAGAGTAAGTTGACCCAGAATAGTACCAATTCAGATGGCAGATGGGAGAATGACAGTGCTGAATGCTTTCCCATGTAGAACAGTCCCTGCAAATAAAAACCTAGCATATTTGGAAGAGGGATGCTAGCCTAACCATTACCTTCTATGCTGTTACTATTTTTTTATTTTTTTTTACATAAGTAAAAAGTGACCTTTTCCCCATCTGGCATGGTGGTGTGCCTCGAGATTTTTTTCATGAAACAAGTGTGCCTTTGCCCAAAAAAGGTTGGGAAACACTGCCCTAAGCTACTGAAGGTAATGGGGCCCTTTATATGTCCAGCTCTCCTTTGTCAACAACAAATTGTCACTGTTTTCTGTGTTGGATATATGCTATATGGTAATTTATGGACCTAACAGGTATCTAAAGCCATCTGCACATAACAAAATATGTACATCATAGGAGCCTACACAACACAAAACACTGTTGCTGTATGTACCGTAGGTTCCATTTTATTTGTTTTTTTATCTTATATTTTGGAAATGTACATCCAGGTTTTTTTTTCCTTTAAATTTTTTTGGGGCCCCCAAGAGAGTGGGGCCCTAATCTATAGCTTGTTTAGCTTATACGTAATTCCGAGACTGACTAGGAAGTGTGAATGCAAACCAGATCAAACTCACAAAACACCAGACCTAGAAAGCTACAGGCCCCAAAACATACACTTGCAAGGGAAACAGTACCTCACGGATACAGACCTAAGCTTCATTTTCACGCTGCCTGCGTGAAAGGTCTCCCATGAGTAGAAAGGGCAAGTGGGGATTGCGTCACAAGATTCCTGGACATCTGCAAAGGGATGTCGGCTTGAGAGCATCTATTCACCCATAGGCACTCTGTGCAAATAGGAGCAACCCCAATTGCACAGTGGTCCTTATTTCTTGGAATGCCTTTCCACCTGTGAGCAGCCTGCAGCTGTACTTTTGCAGCTATTAAGAGAAGGCAGTGGTTCAGTGCTGGGTCTGGTCTAATGTGTGAAGGGAGCAACAGATTCCTTCCTACATATCATAACCAGTGCAAGGAAACTCAAACTGTGCTAGATGCTTCCTTTTGCTTCAACATAATCCTGTCTTCTTCCCTCAAAAACTTTTAAACAAAGAAGCAAGATAAGGGTGGGTTTCCTTTGTTTAGGGTCAAAAGATTGAGATGAAGTAGTGACAATGTCTAGAACCCTTGATTTTCTCTCCTCTCACCTTTGGCACTGCATCAACGTATTATAGCTTCTTTTTAATATTTTGGGGAACTGCCAGTCACCTTTCCTGTAACTTGAATCCACTGGTTTGGGTACTACCCTCTGTAGCAGGAGAAAACAAGCTTGCTCCAACTTCCTTGTGACAGCCCTTAAGATATTTAAGATATTATATTTATTTCAAAGCACAGCCACCAAAGGAATCCTTGAACTCTGCAATTTGTTTGTTTGTTTGCTTTTGCCAACGAAGGGTCCTAAAACCTTGGGAACTGGAAGTCCTGTCTGAAAGCTGTTTAGTCCCTGTTGTTGTTGTGTAGAGTTGGAAGAGACCCCGAGTGTCTCTAGTCCAACCCGCTGCAATGCACTTAGGCTATAGGAAATCTGCTGGAATGTGCGTGCGTGGGAGAAGGTCACTTTCAAAGATGAAGAGAGTGGGGGAGGGGGAGCGGGCAACTAGACGCGCCATTTCGTAAAATCGGATTATTAAATCGGCGGCAATGATATTATCCTTGCAGAAATGTATTATACTTGTGTATGATAAACAAATGGAATAAATATTTCAGAGAATTATGTAGAAAAAGCTACATAACAAACTGTGCAATAAAATTAAGACAACAGAAAAAGTACAATGAGGATGATTGGAAGTTTCTTACAGAAAATTTTATTGAATAAGATATGATGTTCTAATTCATAATCTTTACTTACTGTTAATTTTTGTTTTGTTTCTTTTTATTTTATCTTTTATCTTTTTCATTTCCATGTTTAGCTCTGTTGTAATCATTTGTAATATATTTGTAAGATGGTATTTTAAATCAATAAAGACGATTTAAAAAATAATAATTGGCGACACGTTTCTGAGTCACTTCTTCGCTCGCAAAATACTTGGGGACTGGACTAATAACTTTCACATGCATCCAGTTCTCTCCCCACATGCCAGCTCTTGCAACTGAGCTCAGCTGGATCCGCCCCTGCCCGGAGGCATTTCCAGGAAAGGACTTCCCCAAAGTCCTAAAATTGTTCAAAGGCTGGAAGGGAGGAGGAAGCGGCAGCAGCAGCAGCAGCAGCAGAAGCAGCAGCCATGGCGTCCGGAGATCCCTTGCAAGGGCTCCGCGAGGAAGCGACTTGCTCCATCTGCCTGGATTACTTCGCGAGCCCGGCGACCATCGACTGCGGCCACAGCTTCTGCCGAGCCTGCCTCGTCCAGTACTGGGCAGAGTCCGGCGCGGGCCCCTGCTGCCCTCAGTGCAGGGAAGCCACCCAGCAGAGGATCCTCCGGCCCAACTTGCAGCTGGCCAATTTAGTGCAGCTGGTCAGGCAGCTCAAGGCGGACGCGGGAGAGGACTCGGGAGAAGCCAGCCCGGCCTCCTGCAAGGACGACCCGGCCCTGCTCTTGGGGGCGGAGGGCGACCCATCCAAGGGGGATCCGGCCCCCCACGACTCCTCTCCCGCAGAAGAGGCTTCCCTGCAGTATAAGGTTGGAAACTTCAAGGGAAAGAGATTTGCTTGTTTGTTTGTTGCATTCCTGCAATGCAACTACTGCATGGCGTTGCTGCATCGCAGGGGGTGGGACTCGATGACCTTTGGGGTCTCCTTCAACTCTGCAATTCTGTGATTTCCTATTCTAGGGTCATCTAGGTAGGAAAACTAAGGCCCGGGGGCCGGATCTGGCCCAATCGCCTTCTCAATCTGGCCCGCAGACGGTCCGGGAACCAGTGTGTTTTTACATGTGTAGAATGTGTGCTTTTATTTAAAATGCATCTCTGGGTTATTTGTGGGGCATAGGAATGCGTTCATTTCCTCCCAATAAATATATTCCGGCCCACCACAAGGTCTGAGGGACAGTGGACCGGGCCCCTGCTGAAAAAGTTTGCTGACCCCTGATCTAGTCCAACCCCCTGCTCATCTAATGCACCCAAACTCGGCTTAAAAACTTTCAAGGAAGGAGAATAAAGAACCTCCTGAGGGAGACCATCTCACTGTTGAAAAGCTCTTACTGTTTCATATACAGTGGTACCTCAGGTTAAGTACTTAATTCATTCCAGAGGTCCATACTTAACCTGAAACTCTTCTTAACCTGAAGCACCACTTTAGCTAATGGGGCCTCCTGCTGCTGCCACGCCACCGGAGCACTGTACCTCGGGTTACATACACTTCAGGTTACAGATACTTCAGGTTACAGACTCCGCTAACCCAGAAATAGTACCTCGGGTTAAGAACTTTGCTTCAGGATGAGAACAGAAATTGTGCGGTGGCAGCGGGAGGCCCCATTAGCTAAAGTGGTACCTCAGGTTAAGAACAGTTTCAGGTTAAGAACAGACCTCCAGAACGAATTAAGTTCTTAACGCGAGGTACCACTGTACGTACCACTTACTGATTTCTATACCAACTTTATTTTTCAGGCAGTATTATTCTTCACATCTTTTGCCGCTTTATATTTCAAAGGGGGGGGGATCTCAACACAGTTTACAACAGAATTTTACAGAGCAAAACACATTCAGGCTTCAAGGGAAATATTTTTAGATCCTTCTCTAAGTGACATTTCACTTTCTGCATATATTGTTTGCCTACTTGATCTATACAGAAGAAGGCTGGGAAGACAGTGTGGTGCCGTGGGTAGAGTGTGCCGGACTGGGACCTAGGAGATCAGGGTTCAAGTCCCCATTCGGTCAGGAAGCTCACGGGGTGAGTCACTTGCCTCTTAACCTACCTCACAGCCTTGTTGTCGGGATAAAATGAACCATGTACTCCTTGGTGAAATGCAATAAGTAAGCTCTTCTGCTTAAGAAAGCTGGGGAGGCCACCCAGAGGGAGATGTCAGATGACAACCAGGCATCCCAAGATCTTCACGTGGTCAAAAATTGGAGTTGCAAAACGCAACTGGCACCTTGGGAATTTCTAAAGCTGCTTCCAAGGAGCTCAAGTTGGTGTTCCTGGTTCTCTCCCCCCCCCTCCAATTTCATTCTCACAACAACCCTGTGAGGTACGTTAGTCTAAGACAGGCATAGACAAACTTGGCCCTCCAGATGTTTTGGGACAATAATAATAATAATTTATTATTTATACCCTGCCCATTTGGCTGGGATTCCCCAGCCACTCTGGGCAGCTTCCAAAAAAATATTAAAATACTGTAATCAAACATTAAAAGCTTCCCTAAACAGGGCTGCCTTCAGATGTCTTCTAAAAGTCTGGTAGTTGTTGTTCACTTTGACATCTGGTGGGAGGCTGTTCCACAGGGAGGGCGCCACTACAGTACTTAATTCGTTCCGGAGGTCCATTCTTAACCTGAAACTGTTCTTAACCTGAAGCACCACTTTAGCTAATGGGGCCTCCGGCTGCTGCTGCGCCGCCGGAGCACGATTTCTATTCTCATCCTGAAGCAAAGTTCTTAACCTGAAGCAATATTTCTGGGTTAGCGGAGTCTGTAACCCGAAGCTTATGTAACCCAAGGTACCACTGTACCGAGAAGGCCCTCTGCCTGGTTCCCTGTAACTTAGCTTCTCCCATAATCCCTAGCTAACAGGACCAGTGGTCCAGGATGATGGGAGTTGTAGTCCCAAAACATCTGGAGGGCTGAGTTTGCCTATGCCTGGTGTAAGAGATGGAGACTGGCCCAAGGTCACCAAGCAAACTTCATGGCTCAGCATGGATTCGAACCCTGCTCTCCCAGTTTCCTGGCTTTCTCCCCAGCCCTCCTTCCACAGAAGCAGTGGCTTCTCGCTACAGTTTTATAAATACCATTTTTGGTCAAGATCATAACTGGGAGGTGGCTTTCAATCTGCAGTTCTGTACATACTGACTTTGGAGTAAGTCCCACTGAACTCACTGGGGCCTACTTCCAAGTAGAGACACGCAAGTCTTGCTTTAACACATATTTGTTGCTTTGGTGTCTCTGTTTTTAATTATCTTCTGTGTCAATCGCCTCGAGGCAGTGCTTTAGAAGGGGATAAATACTTTGGTGATGATGATGGCATAATGGAGGGGAACTAAAAATAGATGCCTTAGAAGGAAACCACCAGTGAGACAGTGTGTGCGATCCGACATGAATAGAACTCCTGACAGAGAAAAAAATGCTTTCCTGATTCTGCAGAGGAAAATCAAGTCGCACCTGACATTTCTGAAGAAGGAGAGAGAAAAGCTGGTGAACCTGAAACTTGCTGAAGAGATGGGGAGGCAGGAGTGTCTGGTAGGTTTGTGTTTCTTATGGGTCATGTTATGGGGCTGTGTGTTGTCATGTGGACTCCCCATGGCCTTCTGGAAATTTAAAATTTCTGGGAATTTTGAAGCCATGGGGGGGGGGGAACGTTCCCCCCTCGCCTGGGGAATGGAGGCACAATTTAATATTGTGGTTAAAAAATAGACAATATTTATGTTTTTAAAAGGAAGTTTTACAGATCAAAAGCCACTTTGTTACTTTAGAAGCATAAAACATACACTAGTGGCCAAAATTGTGGAAACCTTTTGGGGAAAGTGTGTTTCCGAGGTTTGGTGGCTCATAATACCATTTTTGGGGGAGTAATACCATAAAATTATGTACCGATAGAAAGATAATTTAATGAAGAATGTGATGCGGCAAAGGGGCGAAAGTGGCCCTTTTTCTGTACCCACAAGTTTTGTGAACAACCATGCCAAAGAACCTCATCATTGGACCTCTGCCCCCTCGCCCAATTTCTTTGTGTTTCCCACCCCCCTGCCCAGACGTTGTTTGAAACGGAGAAGAAGAAAGCCCAGTCTTCCTTTGAGCGAATGCACCAATTCCTTGTGGAGAAACAGCACCTCTGGCTGGGCCAGCTGGAAGATCTGGAGAAAGCGATGGAGAGGAAGCAGGAGGGAAACCTTGCCAAACTCTCCGAGGAGATTTCCCGACTCAACGAGCTGATCGTAGAGATGAAATGGAAGTACCTGCAGCCCACGAGCGAATTGTTACAGGTGAGAGTATACACTACCCTGTGGGGAGGGAAGAGGCCTGAGGGGTGAAAGAAGCCACCAACTCAAGTCTGGTCTCCTTGATTTCGGGCATGTTGTTTCCACCCACGTCCTGCATGACTTTCACCAATAAGCAAAATCCTTGCCTCATGGGGGCTGCCGTGATCCTGTGTGGCTGGCTGAGGTCCATAATTCCAATGCCTCCCTGTGAAGGGAGGGAACTAGGTACAGCGCGGGAGGAAAGTATTTGATCCCCCGCTAAATTTGCCCGTTTGCCCTCTGACAAAGAAATGACCAGTCCATAATTTTAATGGTAGGTTTATTGTAGCTGTGAGAGTCAGAATAGTAACAGGAACATGACACGAGCCAACAGTGTGACGCGGCAGCTAAAAAAGCCAATGCAATTCTGGGCTGCATCAATAGGAGTATAGCATCTCACCTGGAGTATTGTGTCCAGTTGTCAAGAAGGACACTGACAAACTGGAATGTGTCCAGAGGAGGGCAACCAAAATGGTCAAAGGCCTGGAAACGATGCCTTATGAGGAACGGCTAAGGGAGCTGAGCATGTTTAGCCTGGAGAAGAGGAGGTTAAGGGGTGATATGATAGCCATGTTCAAATATATAAAAGGATGTCATATAGAGGAGGGAGAAAGGTTGTTTTCTGCTGCTCCAGAGAAGCGGACACGGAGCAATGGATCCAAACTACAAGAAAGAAGATTCCACCTAAACATTAGGAAGAACTTCCTCACAGTAAGAGCTGTTCGACAGTGGAATTTGCTGCCAAGGAGTGTGGTGGAGTCTCCTTCTTTGGAGGTCTTTAAGCAGAGGCTTGACAACCATATGTCAGGAGTGCTCTGATGGTGTTTCCTGCTTGGCAGGGGGTTGGACTCGATGGCCCTTGTGGTCTCTTCCAACTCTATGATTCTATGAGGAAAACCCCCAGAAACCCAGAAGAGATTGATGTGCATTATAATGAGTGAAATAAGTACAGTGGTACCTTGGGATGCGAACAGGATCCGTTCTGGAGCGGCTAACAACAATAAAAGTAACACAACATTCTAAAATCAATTCGTTTTAAAATCAATTCAAAATCAAATTAATGGCAACCATTGGGCTAGAGTTCTGTGAGGATTACCAAAGGAGGGGGTCAGGCTGTGCCTTGGCCAAAGGCCTGGTGGAACAGCTCTGTCTTGCAGGCCCTGCGGAAAGATGTTATATCCCGCAGGGCCCTAGTCTCTTGTGACAGAGCGCTCCACCAGATCGGGGCCACAGCCGAAAAAGCCCTGGCTCTGGCTGAGGCCAGCCTAACCTCCCTGTGGCCCAGGACCTCCAAGATATTTTTGTTTGAAGACCGTAAGTTCCTCCGTGGGACACACCAGGAGAGGCAGTCCCGTAGGTACAAGGATCCTAGGCCATGAAGGGCTTTAAAGGTCAAAACCAGCACCTTAAACCTGACCCTGTACTCCACCGGGAGTCAGTGCAGCTGGTATAGCACTGGGTGAATGTGATCCCACGGCAAGGACCCCGTAAGGAGTCTCGCCGCAGCATTCTGCACCCACTGGAGTTTCTGGGTCAGTCTCAAGGGCAGCCCCATGTAGAGTGAGTTAAAATAATCAAGTTTGGAGGCAACCGTCGCGTGGATCACAGTGGCTAGGTCAGGGCGAGAGAGGTGATGGCAGTTTGTTTTCCACAGACAAGGAAGGGGGCAGAGGAATCCCCATTTGAACAAGTAGTCGCCCTGTTTGTGATCTGCCTATGCTGCTGGCACCCATTTCTGTCTCCCTCTCTTTCTCTTTCAGGACACCAGAAGTTCCTTAAGCAGGTACGTGGCTCTTTCTCCCCATCCCATTTCATAGAAACATAGAATCGTAGGGTTGGAAGAGACCGCAAGGGTTATCAAGTCCGACCCCCTCTTTGCATCAGGAAGTTTAGCTCCCATGGAGTTATCTGGAAGAGAAAATACATTATTTCCCTCCATCTCGTTTATTTTTTACTCCCCTCCTTTCCCCCCTGCTCCTTCTCCTTCCTTTTCCGATTTCATTTGCCATCAAACAGCTTAAATCCCCTTTAAAAACAAACAAACGAAACCCAGATTTCTGCACATGGCTTCCTCCGAAAATCCTGGGAAACGCAACGTACCCCTCCCTGAGTTACAGTTCCCAGCAACCTTAATAAAGCACAGCTTCTAAGAATCTTTGGGGAGTCGCCATGTGCTTTAAATGTATTTTGTGTGTGCAAATTTAGTTTTTTTGTCGGAAAGAAGATCACAAGAGGATTTAGGGATATAAGGCAGGGGTCCCCTAAGTGCTATGGATTCCAGCTGAAAGTGGTTCTCCCAGCTGCTTATATCAAGGTCTTCCCCAGCCTCTGCTACATGGGTTTATTTTTAATGTGAAGCATCACTTAGTGATGAGTCCTTGCTTTGTATCTGCACTGGAGCTCCCCATCTCTCTTCCGTTTGGCCTTCCTGATCCCCCCCAAAAAACAGCAGCAAGGAAATTTCATTGAGACAGGTTTGTATAATTAAATTGGCTTAAAGCATTTTGGTGCATCAAACTCCCTTTAAAAAAAACCACAGCCTTTTTGCGGGAAGGAAAGTGATGGAGAAATCACTGGGAAATGTGGAATAATAACCTCCACGCAAACAAATCAGAATGAATGCTTCCTAGACTGTGCATCACCTCCATGCAAGGTTTGTGCAAACAGCTCAGGATGAATGCTAAGTAAATTGGTCATCTGGAAGCACCTCGATGCTTACAGAAGAAAATATGTTTTCTTACTTTTAAAAAAAGTTATTTATGATTTTCAATTTTTACATTTCAATAATTTTACAATCATTTCAAAACTCGACTCCCCCCTTATTTGATTTTCTGCACATTCCAAATTAACTTAATCATTTATTCATCTACTATAAATGTATACTTTTATAAGCCTGAAGGTTATTACCATAATCCCACCAATGTTCTTATCTTTTTACAGTTGGTTTGTAAATATTGAATAAACCATTTCCATTCTTTTATCAAAAAGTTTATCTAGATTTCTTATTTTTCCAGTAAATACATGAATAAATTTCTATAGAGTTTGGGTAGTTCTGCCCCTATAATTCCCAAAAGGGGAGCTAATATGTTTTACTTCCACTCCATAAACACGACTGTGTTCCCTTCTAGGTACGAGAAGAATTTTGGGGGGCATGCGGTGGTCCTTTCTCCCAGGCTGGAAGAGAAGCTCAGAGTTTTCTCGCAGAAAAATGCTGCCTTGGAGAAAGCTATGGAGAACTATAAAGGTACTGAGGGGTTGCAGAAGGAGGAGGGGAAAGGACAGTAGCTGACACAGGGTTAGACAGGCAAAGTAGTGTTCAGCTGTCTTCCCACTGCCAAGAGCCGTAGTAGTAGTAGTAGTAGTAATAATAATAATAATAATAATAATAATAATAATAATAAATTCTTTTATTTATACCCTCCCCATCTCTCTGGGTTTCCCCAGCTGCTCTGGGCAGCTCCCAACAGAATATTATTAATTATAATAAATTATTATTAATAATAATTAAGCGATAAAACATCAAACAATAAAAACTTCCCTAAACAGGGCTGCCTTCAGATGTCTTCTAAAAGTCAGATAGTTGTTTATTTCCTTGGCATCAGATGGGAAGGCGTTCCACAGAGTGGGTGCCAGTACCAAGAAGGCCCTCTGCCTGGTTCCCTGTAACTTGGCTTCTCGCAGTGAGGGAACCGCCAGAAGGCCCTCGGTGCTGGACCTCAGTGTCCAGGCAGAATGATGGGGGAGGAGACGCTCCTTCAGATATACTGGGCCGAGGCCGTTTAGGGCTTTAAAGGTCAGCGCCAACACTTTGAATTGTGCTCGGAAACGTACTGGGAGCCAATGTAGGTCTTTCAGGACCGGTGTTATGTGGTCTTGGTGGCCACTCCCAGTCACCAGTCTAGCTGCTACATTCTGGATTAGTTGCAATTTCTGGGTCACCTTCAAAGGTAGCCCCACGTAGAGCGCATTGCAGAAGTCCAAGTGGGAGAGAACTAGAGTGTGTATCACTCTGGTGAGACAGTCTGTGGGCAGGTAGGGTACCAGCCTGCGTACCAGATGGAGCTGTTTCCTGGGAGGGCATGGGAGCTCAGCACGGTGCTGTTGGGGCAGCAGCAGCACCAAACTGATGACCCTGCTGCCTCACCTTCACCGCGCTGGCCTCCACATGCCTTTCCCTTTCAGTAACCACCAGTGACGCTCGGCACTGGGAAAGCGAGTGAGCCGTGCCATGCAGTCTGCGGCAAACGCTTCTAGCCATGGATGCAGCTATCTGTCAGCTTCCATTCCAGGCAGGTCACAAGGAAAGGCAAATCCTTTTAGATGGGGACCTGTCTTCCCTGGAGCTTCCTGGAAGTGTCTGAAAGGGCATCCAAAGAATTGGATAAGATGACAGGAAGGATTCGAAACCTGCGGGATCAGAGATTCTCAGAGGACTGGAGTAAATATTTGAAAAGCAATTGTAATAAACAGATTACGCTAGTAGGAATGCAAGACGTTTTGTAAGGAGGACTATGCAAAACATTGCAGAGAAGATTATGAAGAGAATTATTAGCTAAGGATTATTAAAAGTAATAAGGAAATTAATGATATGTAGATTAAGTGATAAAGACTGAAAAATCTTCAGATGTGGTTGATGGAAGTTCAAAACATTGTATAAGATAAGAAAATATGTTATATGATCTGTGGGAATATGTAAAAATCAATAAAAATATAACAACAGCAACAACAACAAGAAGAAGAAGAAGAAGAAAGGGCATCCGAAGAACCATTGCCACTGCTCCATCACCTAGTGGTGGCTTGTGCTGATCAAAATGCAGAGTTTCCTGCTCACAAGGGTCCTGAGATTGAATGCTTATTATGATTATTATTCACAAAACAAATCGCCGCTCAACGTATGATGGTCTGAATAACTTTGTCCACCTTTTCTTCTCCGTCACAGAATCTCTGGAGCAAGTTCTGCAACCAGGTAATTTTCTAGGAATAAAAGGAAATGTTGGTGCCCAGTTGTGCACGTCATGAATGCACAATGAACAGGACATTTCGGGAAGGGTGTTTGTCTCTGTGTTTACCGAAAATCAGCTTTTAAACTTGTCACCCTTTCCTTCCCGTAACAGATTGTTTGAAGCAGACCTTGCAGAAAGGTAAATAACTCAATGGAATGGGAAGCGTTGGGTGGGAAGTTGGAGATTTAGCGGCTGCCCCTTGCTCAGTTGCTTAATCGGGTGGCAATAATAATACAGTGGTACCTCGGGTTAAGAACTTAATTCGTTCCGGAGGTCTGTTCTTAACCTGAAACTCTTCTTAACCTGAAGCACCACTTTAGCTAATGGGGCCTCCCACTGCCGCCACATGATTTCCGTTCTCATCCTGAGGTAAAGTTCTTAACCCGAGGCACTATTTCTGGGTTTGCGGAGTCTGTAACCTGAAGCATATGTAACCTGAAGCGTATGGAACTCGAGGTACCACTCTAACAATAAAATAAAATTTTATTTATATCCCGCCCTCCCCAGCCAAAGCCAGGCTCAGAGTGGCTAACAACAAGAGCAGAAGGTCCCTGCCCTCGCCCCTGCCCCTTACCCCAATCCTTTTGCCGACATCATCCCTCCTCCAATTTCATTCTCCGCCCCTCTCTTTTCCACAGCGAACGTGACTCTGGATCCGGACACAGCCCACCCCTTCCTCATTCTGTCCCAGGACCTGAAGGCTGTGCGGAGAGTTCAGAGGGAGCAGGACCTGCCTTTCCACCCCGAGAGATTTGACACAATGCCCTACGTGCTGGGCTGCAACAGATTCACTTCCGGAAAGCACTGGTGGGAGGTGGAGGTGTGGGGCAAGGCGACATGGGCCGTGGGGGTGGCCACGGAGTCGGTCAGGAGGAAGGGGGGCGTCGACATCAGCCCCCACCAGGGGATCTGGGCCATGGGCAAGCCGCCCTGCTACTCCCCCTCCCCCTGCCAGTTCTTGGCTTTTACTTCTCCTCAGCCAACTGACCTGACCTTGAGGAGAGAGCCCAGGAAGATCCGCGTGGCCCTGGATTGCGAAGCGGGCTGCGTGGAGTTTTCCGACGCCGACACGGAGGAATTCATCTTCGCTTTCCCTCCGAGATCGTTCTTCGGGGAGAAAATCCGGCCCTTTCTGCAGGTGTGCTGCGACGTCAGCCTGAAATGCTGAAGGCCGCCGTGAAGCGCAAACTCTACGGGGCCACTGCCCTGAGAGGAGCAAATCCTCTCCGAAACTTCTCCGTTCTAGATGGTAAGATTCTTCCATCAGGAGACAAGAAAAGGCAGCAAATAAGAACAGTCTGGGTTCGATGGTCCCTTTCGTTACCACTCTTTGAAATGATCGTTCTAAACAAAATAGGAAAAAGCTCCAAATGCAGTGGTACCTCTGGTTGCGAACAAGATCCGTTCTGGAAGCCCCTTCACAACATGAAAAGAACGCAACCTGCAGCGTTGGGGTTGAGGGCATGATTATTTCAAAACATTGCAGGGAAAGGAAGCTTCTGACCTTGACGGTTTTGAGTTTTTTTCACTGGTTGCTGCTTATTTCCAGCACTTTTTCCCTGCATAGGAGTGAATATCTAGGCCCCCCTTGGAATAATTCCAGCAACATCCCTCACGTGTAATGTGCCTATTCATTCTCTCTCTTCCCACCCCTCCTCTAATTTTATGACACTGCAAGATAAAAAGGATGACTACAGGAAGCTTCACAGCAACACTGCCATCTTTAAATTATTTTTATTCCATTTTCTTGTATAAGATTTCTTACCTGTCCTTCACCACAGGGTCTCAGGGTGGGTTATGGCAATGTAATATATAGCTATAAAAGGCAAAGCCATTGCAGCTATCAAAAAAGAAATAATTCAGGTAAAACCGTTCTGTGGAACGGAACAGAGTAATATAAATTCAGCCAAAGATGTGGATCTTAAAAAACACAATACTTTAATTGTCAAACTGTTAAGTGGTGCATTTAGCATTTTGGGGTAACAGTCACATCTTATGCAGGGTGCCTTTGGGTTATGCAATATTTGTATTCATAAATAGCTGACAAAAGGGTTCAAGACATGTAATCATAAGACACACCATATTACAGCTAAAAGCAGAAGTTTATCGAGGGACATACAAAACGCTTGGTGAAGGTTTCACATAAAGAAACTGCTTTCAGATGATAGATAATATCTGAAAGGACAGCAGAGCAAGGCCAGACAGATGTGTATTTATGGTACAGGATAACTTCAGGGTTCTTTTTGGAAAAAGAGATTGAAGGACAGGATGAAAGGCTATCTCTGAAGGACAGTTGGCAGCCTGGGGAGTGAATCAGCAGGAGGTAGACTGAGGGAGAAGTGATGAGTAAGCTGGCAAGGGAGACCTGGACCTAGACTCGCAATAGTTTTTTGTGTGTGTTTGCCTTCCGTTATTTTTCCTCTTGCACTTTATTTCCTCATTAAATTATGTTACAATAAATCTTTCTAAAATCATCCAAACTTGTCCTCTTTCTCAGTGGTTGTGTGGTTCAGAAGGCAAGGAGATCTCAGGTCTGTGTATTCAAACTGAGTGGCACGGGATCTCATTATAAATCAAAACCACCAGAATGCCTATGTTATGCAAACCCACTTGAAAAAACATGTAAACGTAATACAGTGGTACCTCGGGTTAAGAACTTAATTCGTTCCGGACGTCTGTTCTTAACCTGAAACTGTTCTTAACCTGAAGCACCACTTTAGCTAATGGGGCCTCCTGTTGCCACTGCGCCGCCGGAGCACGATTTCTGTTCTCATCCTGAAGCAAAGTGCTTAACCTGAGGTACTATTTCTGGGTTAGCGGAGTCTGTAACCTGAAGCGCATGTAACCTGAAGCGTATGTAACCCGAGGTACCACTGTAGGCTGTATAATAACAATTGTGAAGTTATTTACTAGAAACTACTTCTCCAAATTAGATACAGCTTCTCATAATGTCAAGATCAACATCGTGACATAACATATTAAAATATAGCTTATTCAGTTAACCACCAAGTCCAGTGTGTACAAAATGTGATTCCTATTTTGTCAGTACTGTGCCGGCATCTACCAGTGCCAGTTTCTTTCACTGATTTCACGTTCACTTACCTTATCATCTTCATTAAACATTTACAAGACTATTTCATGGTACTCCTCTAAGGAATACGCCAGACAGAAAAATACAAGAGAAGATGAAGAAATTGGAAATGAATGTACTACGGGACTGACAAAATAGGAATCGCATTTTGTACATACTAGACTTGGTGATTAACTGAATAAGCTATATTTTAATATGTTGTGTCATGATGTTGATTTTGACATTATGAGAAGCTGTATCTAATTTTGTAAGGTAAAGGTAAAGGGACCCCTGACCATTAGGTTCAGTCATGACTGACTGGAGTTGCGGCGCTCATCTCGCTTTACTAAGCCACTTCTTTACTAAGCATGACTAAGCCACTTCTGGCGAACCAGAGCAGCGTACGGAAACGCCGTTTACCTTCCCGCCGGAGCGGTACCTATTTATCTACTTGCACTTTGATGTGCTTTCGAACTGCTAGGTTGGCAGGAGCAGGGACCGAGCAACGGGAGCTCACCCCTTCGCGGGGATTCGAACTGCTGACCTTCTGATTGGCAAGTCCTAGGCTCTGTGGTTTAACCCAGAGCACCACCCACGTCCCATTTTGAGAAGTAGTTTCTAGTAAATAACTTTACAATTGTTATTTTGAGAAGTAGTTTCTAGTAAATAACTTTACAATTGTTATTATACACCTATGACGTTTACGTGTTTTTTTCAAGGGGTCTCATTATAAACACAAAACAAAAATCCTACAGAGGGAAAGACAGACAAGTATAGATCAAGTGAACAAATTTGCTGTCCACCAACACCACAGCAAAGCAATTGTTCTTGTTTGTTTATGGGGCAGCACCCAGCTGTTAATACATAACAGAATCCTTCCTTTGCATGAGGGCGGAGAAAGGATTTTGCGTGGCGGGATGTCCCATGCATTGATAAAATGTTTTTACAAGAGCAGCTGACGTACATTATTATTATTAATAATAATAAAATGTGTACACTGCCCTTCACCCAAAGATCTCAGGGCCGTAAATAGAAAAACACAAAATGGATAATAAAAACCAGAACGAGAGAAGCTAGTAACACCCCCCTCCCAACTGTTAATGGAGAAATCTGAGGGCTCCCTTGGACAAAAAAACCAAGGACACCAGCCAGGAATACCAGAGCAAAACAGCAGCCAGTAGGCTTGGTCATTATTGAAGACTGTCGCGACAGGACTCCCACCTGCCACCAGGTGAAACAAGATGGAAGCCCCCGAACAAAAGAGAACCCAAATTTTATTAGCTACTAATCCCTCATGCTTCACCCCTAAGACTACATCACAACTACATCATTGACACATCACAAAAAGGAGGGGTTGAAGGAGGAGTTGTGGTGGTAACCTGAGTGTCTTGTCACCTAGCGGGTTCCTCCTTCCCCCTCCCCATGAGTACTTTCCAGGTGACAAAGGGGAGTTTGCAGTTTCCTGCCCCCAGAGGGAAGAGCCGATCACTGTCCTTTGTTTCAGTCCCTGCTGAATCCACTCCCATATGCATAGGACCATCAAGGTTGTCATGCCAACTGGGTAGGGCTTGGCTGCCTTGTGTCAAGTCTCCCCCCTTTAATAGTCCTTCCTTCATGGTGTAAAATAAAAGTGGAAAGGTGCAGATCCAATGTATGGGTGATTTTCTATGAATTTATAACAGAAGCGTCGCGTATGCCGTGTGTGAGTGTCGTGTTTGTACGAACTGAATGATGTTTCCTGCAACACCCCCCCCCCACAAACACATGCTCAGTTGGTTTGAGTGTGGTGCTGATAAGACCAAAGTTGCAGGTTGGATCCCTGTATGAGACGGCTGCATATTCCTGCATTGCAGGGGGGGGGTTGACTGGATGATCCTGGGGGGTCCCTTCCGACTCTGAAAAGAACATAAAATGTTACTCAGCTAAAGGCCTGGCAGAAAAGGAATGTACATGATATAGTGCAGTCAGTAGTGTATGACACTCAATCTTAGGGTTGTGGGTTCGAGTCCTACCTGAGCAAAAAAAAAAAATTCCTGCAGGGGGTTGGACTAGATGACCCTAGTGGACCCTTCCAGCTCTACAGTTCAATGATGGAAGGAAGGTGGGATTTAAGGAAATAAATGATAGCCGGGGGGGGGCTTGCTGGGCGCCCCTCCCCTCCAAAAAAACCCCCCAAACATCACGGAAAGCACCGCACGCAGAAGAGTTAACATTTGCTCTGCCCCGCCTTCCCTGATTGGGCGACGGAGTTCGAACTCCCCAGGCTGAGCCCTTTCCGACCAATGGGAAGAGGCAGGCAGCCTCGAATTTCTAGCGCGGCAGTTTGCTCGCCATCCGAACTAACATCGAGCGCAAAGGTTTGGATTTGCTCGTCTGTATAAAAAAGCGGGGCGGGAAAAGTGCAGCTTTTAAAAATCACCATTCTTCGTGCGCTCTTTTCTCCTATGCAAAGAAAGCAGCGTGCGAGGTGCTGAAAAATCACTTATTATCAAAGGCACTCCCCCTTTATTTTTATTTATTAAATATTTATTAAATATTATTTATTAAATAAATATTTATTTTTATTTTCTCCCTGACTCATTATGGGATGGAGAAGCAGTAAATTAGGCAAGGAGGTTTGGGTGCAAAGCTCCTCGTCATTTTAATTTCCCCCCCCCCCATGGCGTCTCGAGTTTGCAGGAAAATAGGGGGCAAAAAACACAGCCAGGCGGATCCGCCTTGCAGCCAGGGGAGCGGCTCAGTTAAAAACGTGTTTGCTGCAACCCCCCCCCAAACCCTGCTATTTTATTGAGGTTCCATGTGCCAGTAAGCCTCGCCCGACTCTCTCCAAATCTGCATTCGGTATGTGGATCCCTAGGGGAAAGCACTAGCGCCCTTGAGCATGTGCAAAGCGCCTCCGCCCTCTGGGAATCGGGTTATATGCTTAAGCGAAGTACAGTGCGCGGAATCGTTGCAGCTCGTAAAGCGGGGGCTTCCATTTCTCGTTCGTATACAGCCCTGCCCCACACCAGCCAGCCCCCTGGGTTACGAGCGCCGGGGGAAGACGCTGAAAGCTCTGCTGCTACTGCTGCCGCCGCCCACGTGCTTTCGCCCTGGACCACCCAGCGCGCCGCACCTCCCACTCTCTCACCCGATTGGGCGATGGGTCGCTTGGAACGTCGGGAGAGCTCGGCTGCCCTGGCCCATCGCAGGCGGAGGGAACGTCCGAACTTTCCGAGCATCGGATCCCGGATCCTTTGTGCGCTCCCACGAGACTCCAGCTGCAGCGCGCAGGACAGGTGAGAGGCGGCGTTGCGTGCTCACGGAAGAGATTTTTTATTAATATTTATTTCATTTATATCCTTCATTCCTGCCTGGGCGGTTTGCAACTTTAAAATACTGGTGGTCTAAAATGCAAAGGGGGAGGTGGGTTTGTTCTTTGGCCTTGAGTTTTTTCTCCTCTCCCCCCCCCCACGTCAGAAGATTTGTGGGAATGACTTTTATTTATTTATATATATATATATATATATATATATATATATATATATATATATATATCTAATATTAAAAAAACCAAAGATATGAAGAATGAAGAAATACCGTTGCAGCAGTTAGAAAGCAGATCTGGAGTTCCAGTGCTAAATAGACCACATGGTGCTTACACCTAAAGATCTGTTCCTGGTTATTCCAGCTCCTGGCAGCTCCCGCTCTCCCCCCCCCCCCAGTTCATTAGTTTAATTTGGGGTGGGTCGTCGTTAAACAGTTTGGATCTTGAAATATTTGCCCATCTACTTCAAATCAACTAGTTGGTCCTGCTCTGCGCATGTCCTAATTTGAGAAACGGCTTTTTCGCTCTTTGATTCAGAGACAGGCAAAGGCTAAGAGCATGGGTAGGCAAACTAAGGCCCGGGAGCCAGATCCGGCCTATCACCTTCTAAATCAGGCCTGCGGACAGTCTGGGAATCAGCGTGTTTTTACATGAGTAGAATGCGTCCTTTTATTTAAAATGCATCTCTGGGTTATTTGTGGGGCATAGGAATTGGTTCATTTCCCCCCCCAAAAAAAATATAGTCCGGCCTCTCACAAGGCCTTATGGACAGTGGACTGGCTCCCTGCTGAAAAAGTTTGCTGACCCCTGGCTAAGAGGAACCTGCGAGTTAGGTTCTCACAAAATGGGGCGGTGGGGTGTCAGCTGCCCACATTATTTTGGAGGATCCTGGTTTAACTAACAACAGGTTTCCTTGCCATTCCCAAATACTTTGGGACTGGAATGAGCTAACAAATAAATCCTGTGTTTTGCCAGCTGTTGTACTGAAACAGGCTCCACAGGCAGTTACTAATCCTATTCTTAAAAACAAACAAACCATTGATTGATTAAGGGGATCCTCTAGCCTAGCTCCATCCAGCTAACACAACTCCCCTGGCTGTTCTATATCTGCATTGGAGATCTCAAAAAGAAACTGATAATTTTGTCCTTATGCTTTAGGGTGTAATAAACAAAAATCTGCCCTTATTCCCTTATGGGGGACACAAGAGCCCTTATAGAGTCCTTTGTAGGTTCTCCATCGGTCGGAGAAAATAACAGAGGCCAACCAGAGAATATTGAGAAGCAAAGCAGTTAGTAAGCCTGATCTTTATTGAAGTTGCAACAGGGTGCCCCCTTAACAAGCGGGAGAAGGAGGACCCAGAACCAAGGTGTGCCTGCCTTTATATAGACATTTTAAATTGTCCGCCCTGGAGTCCAAGACCACCCCCAGAAACATCATACCTACGTCACAGAAAGGGGTGGTCTACAACAGAAATCTGAGTGGGTTGTTTACCAGAAATCTGTTGTTTACCTCCTGTCTGGCAGGTTGCCAGTTAATGCTTACTTGATTGGATACCCTGGGGAACCTGGCCAGTCTTTTGTAATAATAAATACTTAGTTCCTGAGCCAGGTCACAGGCTCACCCTAGTCATACACAGACATACCCTTAAGACAGGATTTGTGAAGGAAAAGACAATGGGGAGGCTTTTCCCTTTTCCTTGACCTCGCAGAGAAATCATTTGGTCAGTTTGGGAGTCAAAATGGTTTCCAGGCTGTTTTCCTGTGCTGCTTCAGACATGTGGTTTATATATTTATGTACGTGTTTGCTTGGTACATTTATGAACATTTTGTGTGTGTGTGTGTATCTCACACCTTAATTTTTTTATTTCAAGGAGGAAGTAGCCATGGAAGCTGAGGGTGCTATTGAGGGGCTCTGCGAGGAGGCGACATGTTCCATCTGCCTGGAGTACTTCATAGACCCAGTTACAATCGCTTGTGGGCACAACTTCTGCCAAGCCTGCTTTGACCAACTTTGGGAGGACCCCAATGTAGACTCCTGCTGCCCTCAGTGTCGAGAGAGGATCAAGCAAAGGAACTTCAGGCCAAACCGTCAGCTGGCAAATATGGTCGAGATCGTCAGGAACTTCCAGGAAAGGAAAGGATTGAAGAGAAAGTGGGAAGAGCCCCAGAGGCAGCAGGAGCCCCGGAAATTATTCTGGAGGGATGATCAGGCACCAGGGGGTGTGGTTTGGGACCGGTTGCACGCTGACCAGGGCCACACCGCGTCTTCTATAAGCAAGAGCTCCGTAAAATACAAGGTAAGAAATCGATATGGCAGGTGGGCCTAGGAAATGGCTCTGGCTCATTTTTTGGAGGGTTCTGTGCAGCCCTGTGAGTTTCCCCTGGAGTAAAAGGTCATGCAAAGATTACGCAGGAGATGGATTAAGGATTAAATTTGTAGATTAAAACACAAACCTCTTATCCCACACGTGTGGGGGAAATACAAAAAGTAAACACGCTGTGGTGATTTTTTTAGCATAGTAAAACACCTTTTTGCCGGTTATTTTTATTGACTTTCCATAATTTATAACAAACTGTCTCCAGATTTAAAAAAAAAATTAAAACTGACTCCCCGCCATGTCCCGTCTATTTTCCTCCCTTCTTTGCTGCTCCCAATAGAATAACCTTTCCAACTATCATTTCAAAATACATTCATCACATTGCTCTACACATCACCCGCTCAATTACCTATTTTGCTATGGCTTTTATACCTTGGTATAACCTGTCCTCAAAATAATAATTGAGTAAGATCCTCTTTTATCTATCTATAATAATCATTAATCAATTTTGAAGCACTTCCCTCTGACACCTATGGCATAACATTCCCTGCCTCTCACACCGCCAATCTCCCAGCGTCACCCACCCCTCACATTTCGCCAAATTTAATCCTCAGTTTTACATTCAACCAGCTCATTAATAATCCGTATCTCTTCTCTGTCTGAAAATCTCAGAAGTCGTCATGCTGCTATACGCTGTGGCCCATCCTGTCCCTTTCACTGTTCTTATTTCCAGCTTCAAGGAAGGGGGCTGATGTAATCTCAACAAAATCCAGATCTCCTTTTTAATACTTTTTATTTGTGGTCTGCTGACCTCCCTCTTTGAGACTCCCTTGGGTAGTGATAAAGCGGGAAATCAATCCAAACTCTTCTTCTTCTTCTCCCCCTCTTCATCCCCCTCACAGAGAATGAGCCACACTTTTTTAGTAAGATAAACAAAAAATGTTTACTTGCATTTCAAAGCAGGCAGCAAATACAAGTAAGAAAAATTATCAGGTACAGCATACAAAAGTTGACTTCAAAATAAGCTCTGTGTGTTTGGATCATTTTGGAAGCATGGTAGATAGAGTTTCCTAAGAGGCAGGAGGAAGTATAAAATATTTTCATTTGTTACAGAATTCCGACCCAGAAGAGACCGAGGAATGAGCGCACATAATGTCCTCTCTAGGAAGTTTTAGAACCCTCTGTGTACTGGCCCTTTGCACACCTAGCAAAACATGCATTTGTGATTTGGCTGCACAAATCACAAATTTGTGATTTGGCACAAAGATGGCACCACTCTTCCAATTCCAAAGCAATGCTCTATTTCCACAGAAATATCCTGCTGTTGTGTGCACCCCCCCCTCCACAATTGAATATCTGTTTCTTCTTTAAGTTCAAGGGCGCAAAATCGCTTGGCCAGAAGGGACCAGGCGATTGCTTCACAGAATAAAACCACAGTAGGTCAGATTTACAGCACAGTGAGAGCTGCAAGACTTCTGTAGTCATCTTAACCCAGGCATAGGCAAACTCAGCCCTCTAGATGTTTTGGGAGTACAATCCCCATCGTCCCTGACCACTGGTCCTGTTGGCTAGGGATGATGGGAGTTGTAGTCCCAAAACATCTGGAGGGCCGAGTTTGCCTAGGCCTGCCTTAACCAAATGCTCAAGTCAATCGCTACAAGATGCCTAAAACCCATCAGGGTTGGCATCAACTGGATCTCTGAGGTCATTCCAGATTTGGGGAGGTTCTGCATAGAACCCACTCATGTATTTTATCCTTTGCAAATGCTGGCACTGGTAAGATAGAGACTCCACTTGGTCTCAGACACTAGGGGGAGCAGACAGTCCAGCAAATAGTCAGGTCCTAAACTGTAGGATTTTATATGTCACTGCAAACATGATATGTAAGAAATTTCGGAGAACTAGAAAATGCACTAGCTTAAGTTTTAGGCAAGGAAATCTAAGAAAACATGACCTGCGCAGGTGGCATAATTTGGTGATTGAATGAAAAGTACAGTCATACCTCGGGTTACAGATGCTTCAGGTTGCGTTTTTTTCGGGTTACGGACGCACTGAAGCCCGGAAGTACCAGAACGGCTTACTTCCGGGTTCAGTGGTCGCGCATGCGCAGAAGCGCTAAATCACGCTTTGCGCAGAAGCACTGAATTGCAACCCGCGCATGTGCAGACGCGCTGCTGCGGGTTGCGAACGTGCCTCCTGCATGGATCACGTTTGCAACCCGAGCGTCCACTGTCATGTGGAACAAGCCATGATTGCAGGAAAAGTTAAAAATGTGTTGTGTTAAAACAATGTGACACAGCCGTTGCATGCAAAGATTGCAGCGTTCAGGATTAAAATTCAGCTGCAATTTAAGTCTTGCCGCCTCTTCTTTCTGAGATGCCTTCAAAAGAACTGGCAATGGATGCTCAACCCCACCTGAACTCTTTCACAAGGCCAACTAATTATATGCAGCGTGGATCAAATTTCCCAGCTGTATGGCAGTTCAGATTAAACTTAAGGCTGGGGAAAGCCAACCCCAAAATCAAATCAATCCAAGAGGTAAAGTCCCAAGATGTAGGGTCTAGGTAAACAGTAAGAAAAAATAAGTTTTTAAGTAAAACTCTGAAGTATTGAGCTCAACAGAGGCAAAGTAATTGGAAAAATAAAATGGGAAACTCCTATCTTGCCCAAGCAGGCTAGCTCAAGAACAACTATGAGCAGCATTGATCATGAAGAAGGGGGAAAATTCAGATACGTATTTACTAAAGGTAAAGGGACCCCTGACCATTAGGTCCAGTCGTGGCCGACTCTGGGGTTGCGGCGCTCATCTCGCTTTATTGGCCGAGGGAGCCAGTGTTTGTCCGCAAACAGCTTCCAGGTCATGTGGCCAGCATGACTAAGCTGCTTCTGGTGAACCAGAGCAGCGCATGGAAATGCCTTTTACCTTCCCGCCGGAGCGGTACCTATTTATCTACTTGCACTTTGAGGTGCTTTCAAACTGCTAGGTTGGCAGGAGCAGGGACCGAGCAACGGGAGCTCACCCCGTCGTGGGGATTCAAACCGCTGACCTTCTGATCAGCAAGTCCTAGGCTCTGTGGTTTAACCCAGAGCGCCACCCGCGTCCTCACGTATTTACTAGTACACCAGTAAAATATGTATTGCTGTCCAGTCTGGGGCCAGAAACCAACCAGGACATTTTCCCGTAAGTGTCTAACATAACCCATATCAGCCTTTTCAGAATACAGGGCCACAAAGGGAGTGTGGATGAGCCTCCAGTTGTTGATGAGATGCATAGTTAAAGTCACTGGTCTCAAAGTAACCCTCGGCTGAATCTCATTTTCCACCTTTGCACTTCCTTTGAAATCTTTCCTCCCCAGGCGCAGTTAGAAGCAGAGAAGCAGAAAATCAGATCCGCCTTCCAGAGAATGCAGGTATTTCTCCGTGCAAAACAGCGTCTCTGGCTAGGTGAGCTGGGAGATCTGGAGAAAAAGATTTGGAGGAGGGGTGAAGGAAACTTTGCCGAACTCTCTGGGGAGCTTTCCCGACTCAGAAACTTGATCGTGGCGACGGAGGCGAGAAACGTGCAGCCATCATACCACGTCTTCCAGCCCCCGAGGGAATCCCTCCAGGTGAGGCTTAATGCAAAGGCGACTTCCAGGTCTCTTGAACGAAAAAGAAAATGAACCTGGGTCCATCCATTTGTTTTTCCACAGGTCGGTGGGGGTGGGGAATCCTCACTTGAACGAAAAACAGCCCAGTGGTTTTTCCTGCCTGTGTAATTGACACCCGTTTATCTTTTTATTTTTATTTTTCAGGACATCAGAAGAGCCTTAACGAGGTATGTGGATCTTTTTCCCCTCACACACACCCTTTCTGCTTTCATGCGGAAGAAATTTGCTCCCTTTGGTGTGTTTCTGGAAAGCAAACGATAATGTTTCCTTCCGCGTTGTGTGAGGTTCATTTCTTTGCTCTTTTAATTTGGCCTTTCTCCCCCCAATCCCCTTTCTATCTAGTCTTGCTCACACTCCTCCTTTTTCACCCCCTGTGAAACAACCTTGGTTTTGTTTGGTAAGCAGGGAACAGATTTCTGTAAAAGAGGCCCACGTGAAGGCACTGTGGAGTACAGTCAGTCGTTAGAAACCATTTCCTTCCAACGGCAGTAGATGAAGGTTCTGGAGTTTTATGTTCTCTGAAAAGGGTGACTTCTCTACAACCTCACAATCAGATGCCCTTCAGATACCTAGGAGGGAATAGTGGCCTTTTTACCTTTAGACTTAAAGGTAAAGGGACCCCTGACCATTAGGTCCAGTCGTGACCGACTCTGGGGTTGTGGCGCGCATCTCGCTTTATTGGCCGAGGGAGCCGGCGTACAGTTTCCAGGTCATGTGGCCAGCATGACTAAGCCGCTTCTGGCGAACCAGAGCAGCGCACAGAAACACCGTTTACCTTCCCACCGGAGCGGTACCTATTTATCTACTTGCACTTTGAGGTGCTTTCAAACTGCTAGGTTGGCAGGAGCAGGGACCAAGCAACAGGAGCTTACCCCGTCACGGGGATTCGAACCACCAACCTTCTGATCGGCAAGTCCTAGGCTCTGTGGTTTAACCCACAGCGCCACCCACGTCCCTTCACCTTTAGACTTAGTCCGCTGCTATACAGTCATACCTTGGAAATCGAACAGAAACCAAAGTGCGGCTTCTGATTGGCTGCAGGAACAAAATCGTTCAAAAACCTGGAACGCTCACTTCCGGATTTCGATTGTTCGGGAGCCGAGGCATTTGAGATCCAAGGCACTTGGGATCCTTTTTATTGAAGCTGCCATGGAAAGAACATGCAGACATGTTCATGTGAAGTACCTGCCCTGCCGCTGGGCAATCAGCCCCGGCTTTCTTCTGCGCTGGTGCTTTCATTTTGGCCAGGCCAGGCCCACCTGCTCTTACACCTGTTGCCACCTGCGGAGTAAAGACTCAGGTCGGCAAAAAAGGGGCGCCTGCAATGTCCGGCGACTCAGCACTTTGAAGCCCTGCAAATGCACCAACGATCAGCCAATTGCCTTCTTTGGTGAACATCAGATTGCCTGAGGCAAGTGTGGGAGACTGGGTCTAGGCCAGTGGGCCAGGTCTTTACCTCTCCCCGGCCCCTGTGACCCCATTCTGGCAGGGGGTGGTCCTGGCCACCTGCCAGTCACCTGAGATCAATGATTTCATGGGACTCATTTTCACCTGCACAGTGTGAAATTAAACCACGTGTGTGCCATCAGCTGGTTATTGGGGCTTCAAAGTGCTTTGTGTGGCCTGCTTGCACTTGAGTATCTTAACTGCGCACAACCTCTGTTGATGTTTGCTTCATCTTTTGACACACGTACCAGCATTTTGTTCTCAGCGCTGGGCCTTTGCTTCTCCCTTCTCTGCAAGCTTCCTAGGCAATTTTTATAAGGTTCTCCAGGGTGGACGGGTGATAGGAAATATAGGAGGCTGTCCCTGTCCCTGTTCAGAATGAATTTGACCGGATTAGAAGCAGTTGGCTCAAAAGATCTCAGGTAGCTTAGGGCACCTTCCCGATGAGTACATCTTGAGTAAGAGCTCAGCCCTCTCATTTAATGTTTTGAGAGCTGCAGTCTGCAGCTGTTATTTAAACTTGACTGTGTTCCCTTCCAGGTGTGAGAAGAAAGCATCTGAGCACGAATCGGACCTTTCTCACTGGTGGGACGAGACGCTCAAAATAGCTGTGGAGAAAAGTTCTGCCCTGGAAAAGGCTACGGAGAAATATAAAGGTACCGCCAAAAGCATAGCAGGGTTTGCTTTACTTGGTAAACACAAAACACAGTTGCTTCAAGAAGGCCTCTCTCTGAGCCCAGAGAGGGCTTTCAGCTTTCATAGTCCTTGCTTAAAGTGCAAGTTCAAAGCCCTGCAAGTTTAGTCTTCTATTTCTTCTTCACATGTATTTCCATTTCTGTCTTCCAACAATCCTCCACAATTCTGCGCCACACAGTACCACAGAATGCTGTAATTGGAGCTTATGGTATAGGCCAGAACTACGTACCTGACCACACAGGAACAGAGATAAGACAGCCATGAGTATTCTGCAACTGTATCCTGGAAAGAAAAGCATTTTGTACCAACTTACAGAAAATTAATTCACTCCTTAACCTGTCCTACCCTATGAGATTCCGCAGAATGTCAGAGGAGACATCTCAAAAATATTTTCTCCCTTTGGTTCTGCATCAGCAGAGAAGCAAGGTTCTGCTTATAATATCATGAAGCCATTTTGAGGAGGAAAAACTGGTGTATAAGTGACCTTACCTTTAAACCTCCACCTCACCATTCCATTCCGAAAGCTGTCCATTTCTTGTTTAAGAAGAGAAACTTTCAGAGCCAGGCCCACCTTTTTCTGCAAGGCGGCATATCGGAACACCAGGACGCGGGTGGCGCTGTGGGTTAAACCAGAGAGCCTAGGACTTGCTGATCAGGAGGTTGGCGGTTTGAATCCCCGTGACGGGGTGAGCTCCCGTTGCTCAGTCCCTGCTCCTGCCAACCTAGCAGTTCGAAAGCACGTCAAAGTGCAAGTAGATAAATAGGTACCGCTCTGGCGGGAAGGTAAACGGCGTTTCCATGCGCTGCTCTGGTTCACCAGAAGCGGCTTAGGCATGCTGGCACATGACCTGGAAGCTGTCTACGGACAAACGCCGGCTCCCTCGGCCTATAGAGCGAGATGAGCGCGAAACCCCAGAGTCGGTCACAACTGGACCTAATGTTCAAGGGTTCCTTTACCTTTTACTATATCAGAACACAGTGTTTCTCCTAGTCAACAAGAGATCAAAGCAACATCATTTGTTTTGGGAACCTTAAGTGAAAATGCACCCGATTCGCATGGAAAGTGTGGCCTCTTGCTGCTTCCAAGTCCTCCTTGCGACTTGGCTTCCCTTTTATCTCCTTGCCATTAAGCTGGCCTTCAGATTTAAGCAGCAAAACATTATTGCAAGCAGCATAATCTTAATTTTAAATTGGGTGGGGCTGGCCAGGGGCCAAGGCCCTTTACGGCCATCTTTCCAGAGGCAAAAGCAGGCAGAGCAACGAACGTTAATTTTGTCGTTGGTACAGAAGGCTAGTTTCCACACACCTTCGTGAATCCTTTTCTAACCATCCTCCAGACAAGCAGGCAGGCATGGTCAGAGTTCAATGGCATGTTCCAGCCAGGCAAAAAAACTAGATGACTAGTAGAGGATGTGGCCTGCGGCAATAGAGGCCTGGAGGTGGCTGCTGTTTTTAACCTTTGGACACAATGAAAACGTTCCTGTGTTTCCAAGCTTACACAGGCAATTAAGAAAAGGTGTTTCTGAAATATTTGACCTCTGGTTTTAAGTACTAACCTGGTCTTCATTGTATGTGTGTGTTGTTTGTGGTTGGAAACTGCTTTGGCATTTACCGTATGGTATAGCAATCTACAAATATTTTTATAAGTAAACACAAAAAAGTGCTGATGTAAAGCACAGTCCTATATGTGTCTACTCAGAAGTAAACCCCACTGTATTTCATGGCATTTAATCTCGTTTAAGGGAGTGTGGGTCTACAACCTGAATGTGAAAGTGCTGAGATACTTTGTTTGCAAAACAACTTGTTGTATATATTACCTGATTTATTTATTCCCCTGTCTTTTCTTCTGCGTCAGCGTCTCTGGAGCAAGTTCAAGACACAGGTAATTCTCTCAGACATTTTTGATGGAAGATGGGTGTTTGGAGTAGCCACTCAGCTGCATCTAGGAAACCTTTTGTGTGGCCCATGGGGGGGGGACTTCCCACAGCAATGAATCCCTTCAACAGAAAATCAATTAAAATGCTAAATTTAGTTGCACTTTAACGTGAAATGTTTTTATTGCACCAACACACGTTAGGATAGTCCAGCTTTATCAAAAGATCCTAGGGTGTTGTACTACATTAAAAACATTTTACAAAACCTGATACAAAGCATAATAATAATAATACAAAGCAGAAAAGCATAATAATAATATTAACAGGTCCCTGTCCCCCCTGAGCTTTAACAGACCATAGAGTATTTAATGGTCAAAAGCCTGGGCAAAGAGGAATGTTTTTGCCTGGTGCCTGTAATGATGGCGCTAGCTGAGGCTCCCTTAGTGAAGGAAATTATCTTGGAACATGGAGATCACAAGGGAAAATAAAGTAATCCATTTCATATCTCAGAAGGTGGTGGGCTTTCCTTCCTTAGAGTTATTTAAGCAGAGGTTGGATGGGCACCTGTCATGGATGCTTTAGTCGACATTCCTTGACAATTCTTTGAGAGGGTTTGTTTTTGTTTTAGTGCTAATCTGTCTCCAAACTTGTCACTCTTTCCTCCCTGCCACAGCTCCTCTGATGCAAGACCTTAACAAAGGTAACTCGGGGAATGATTTGGATAACGTGGGGGTGGGAGAGACTGGATGGTTCTTAGGACCAGAAGAGGGCTGAAATGGGTGGAGCCGCCGAAGGCTTCACGAAGGCCTAGTCTCAGATTGCTTGGGGGAAAACGCTGGAGAGGGGAGAACGTGGAAGGCTGTGGGGAAGTAGGGCTTTTAGTATTGGCAACAGATCCATGGAGTGAGACCCTAGCAGGCATGAGCTTCTGTGTTCAGTAGGCCGGACGCCCTGCCAAGCCTGTGTAGATAGTGTGATTTCCTTCCGTCTCGCTCCTGACACCGCCATCCTCTCCCCTTTTTTCTCCTGCAGTGGATGTCACCCTCGATGCAAATACCGCACACCCTTGCCTTACCGTCTCTGAGGATTTGAAGAGTGTGTGGTGGGAGGTGGAGAAGAAGAGGAAGGGGGGAAAGAAGAAAAAGAAGAAGAGCAACAACAGAGGGGCGACGGGGAACCTCCCTGACAACCCAGAGAGATTTAACGGGGAGCTCTGTGTGCTGGGCCAGGAGGGGTTCACGGCAGGGAAACATTGGTGGGTGGTGGAGGTGGAAACCTGGGGGAGGGCAATGTGGGCTGTGGGGGTCGCCCGAGACACCATGAGGAGGAAAGGCGTTATCTGCACCCATACGAACGAAGGGGTGTGGGCGGTGGGGAGGTTTTCCCGCAGCCCATCTAGGCCTTGCCAGTTCTTTGCTTTCACCTTCCCCACACCGACCCCTTTGGCCTTGGCGAAAGAACCCCAGAAGATCCGCGTGTCCCTGGATTACGAAAGGGGTCAGGTGCAGTTTTCTGACGCCGACACCGACGGTTTGATTTTCACCTACCACACGGGGTCGTTCTCTGAGGAGAAGCTCCGGCCCTTTTTCCAAGTGAGGAGCTGTGGGACGGCTTTGAAGTGCTGGCCTCGGAGCCCCGCTGCCGTGAACGGAAATGACAACGCCAGAACAGCGACGGGGAACCGGTGGTTCTTGGATGAAGTTAGACTCCAACGCCCACCAGCTGCGGAAGCGTTCCACATTGATCAGGGGTGGTGGGAGTTCTGAACCTGCAACATCAGAGAGGACCGCAGGTTTCCCCGTTCCATTAACACGTTTATGGTTTCAGATAATTTTTCTTGTCAGTTTCTTAACCTTAGTTAAGCCAAGGAGAGGGCCATAGTCTAAACGGCAGGATTTCCAGTTCCTCATCGCAGATCTTGGAATATTCCACCTGCAAATGATGTAGGCTGGTTTTAGAGTCTTCCTTGTGTACGTGTACCTTTGAAATGATCATTTATTCAGATAAAATAAAAAGAGGAACAGGCTCTTTGTGTTCCACAGAATGATTCAGTAGGTTGCTGTGTTGAGTCCCCACCTCAACCCCATTTTTTGTGTGATTTATAGGCACAGGAACCCTGCCAGGAAAAAAATGAACCCAGCAAGGCAAAAATGTATAAAAAAGAGAATTCCTGTATGCCGAGAATCATGTTTGGGGCAAGGACTCTTGGTGTCAGAACCCCAGCAGAGATTTAAAGTAACAAAATATGCAGCAAAGTGAAATGTGAAAATATAGGTTGTTAGACCTTGAAAATACACCATTCCAAAATTTCCCTCTTCCTCCAGCCTAAGAAAAGGCCAGACGTTTGGCAAGTTAAAGATTAGTTTACTTACAAACTCTTCAAAGGCCCAGTTCATGTGCTTTTCCAACACCAGACAGGAAAGTTGCACAGGCAGTAAAACAAGTTATAAAGTGGTGAGACTTCCTAGGTTATTGGTACAGGAGTGGCTGGTGAGAGCCATGTTGTGGAGCAGCCAGCTCAACCCTCTTCACAGCCTCAGTGGAGGTAGGCTGGAACACAACAGAAAGCTTGATTACCTATTTCCTCCTAATATGAGGGGACGTGACTGTGGTGATCACACAGGGTCCCCAGACGTTTGACTGTCTATTGATCCCTGTGCCCCCTTTCCCGCTGCCACCAAACTGCTACTTTCGGGTACACACTGAGTCCAGACAGTTGTTAACATTAGACCAAATAAACAAGTTTATTTTATAAGCATTAACAAGTTTGTGGTTTCAGATAATTTTTCTTGTCAGTTTCTTAACCTTAGTTTCTTTACTGGCCTATACCTTCCTAATTAGGGACGCGGGTGGCGCTGTGGGTAAAAGCCTCAGCGCCTAGGGCTTGCTGATCGAAAGGTCGGCGGTTTGAATCCCCGTGGCAGGGTGCGCTCCCGCTGCTCGGTCCCAGCGCCTGCCAACCTAGCAGTTCGAAAGCACTCCCGGGTGCAAGTAGATAAATAGGGACCGCTTACTAGCGGGAAGGTAAACGGCGTTTCCATGTGCGGCTCTGGCTCGCCAGAGCAGCGATGTCACGCTGGCCACGTGACCCAGAAGTGTCTCCGGACAGCGCTGGCCCCTGGCCTCTTGAGTGAGATGGGCGCACAACCCTAGAGTCTGTCAAGACTGGCCCGTACGGGCAGGGGTACCTTTACCTTTACCTTCCTAATACCGTCTGACTGATTATCCCAACTGTTTAACTGACTCCTCTTAACAGATTCTCTCACTCTCACATCAAACTTGCCCAACCCACCAACTTCCTCCCTCTCCCTTCTCTAACTCCAGACTTCAGACTGACTTCTTAACAACTCGAATTCCTTCCCTTGGGTTCCTATTGGTTATTCATTTTACAATTAGTTAACCCTTTCCTTATGACCCAGTATGATGTCACACACCTAGGAGGGCAAACGCCACAGGGACATAGCTAAGTTTGGCAGGTCAGGCTATGCTATGGTAGTTTTTGGTGGGTGTAAAACTGGGTGCCAGACTCCTAATTCCCAGCTTCAGGAAGTGTTCAAATCAAGCCAGGCTATCCTGGCTAGGTGTAAGGAGGGCAGAGGAAGGGGCTCTGTGGCAGATGAATTGGGGAGGGGGCTCTTCACTGATAGGAGAAATAAAGCCAGTTTAGGGGAGATAGCTATGTGAACTAGCAGGCTGGAATGGTGGAGAGAATGCCAAGAATGAATTCAGAGTCCAAGGCTGTGGCTATGGGAGAAGACCAACCATTTTTGGGGTGTTATTACTATGAACCTCTTCATCATAGGCTCAGGTTGTATATACAGTGGTACCTTGGGTTAAGTACTTAATTCGTTCTGGAGGTCCGTTCTTAACCTGAAGCACCACTTCAGCTAATGGGGCAGCTGCACGATTTCTGTTCTCATCCTGAAGCAAAGTTGCTTTTTTCCTTTTTTGGAAAAGTTTTTATTATTAAAATAATTCAGCATTAATACACACACATTGCAAATATACAAACATACATTTCATACAATCCTTAAAAATGTTCAAACATACCTACACTCAGTCCCACAGATAATTCCTTCTGGAAGTCTGTTCTTAACCTGAGGTACCACTTTAGCTAATGGGGCCTCCCACTGCTGCCGCCACGCCGCCAGAGCACGATTTCTGTTCTCATCCTGAAGCAAAGTTCTTAACCCGAGGTACTATTTCTGGGTTAGCGGAGTCTGTAACCTGAAGCTTATGTAACCTGAGGTACCACTGTATGTGTCAATAAACCATATATCCTGGAGACGCCACAGTGTCTGCTGTGCCTCAATTCCAAAAGGAAACACGAACCCCGCAGCAACGCCTGGAACCCCTGAAATGTCACCTTTCAGAGTTTGGGGTGGTGGTGAGCAACACTATTAAACCCTGAATGCGTTAATAAGACTAGCATCTTGGCCACATGAGGCTGCTTATCCCACTAAAAAGCTCCCCTTTATGTTGCTTCCTTTCAACTTGTGTGCACAGAGAACTGGATTATCCAAAACATTGCAACGGAGAGAAGCTGCTAATCTTGTTTTGTGGTCTTGGCAGTGATCCCTCTTTTTAACGCCAAGGACACACAGCTGTTCCACCTTTCTTCATCTTTTGACGGTTAGCAAAACCTAGTAGCAAAGGTGCATTTGCATGCAACCCTATTTGAGTCCTCAGCCAATAAAGCATAAACCCATATTCCCCTCTTTTTCCCTTTCTCCTGTGATGAGGCTGTATTTTAATGTTTTAATGTTGTATTTTAATCTTGTTTTTAAATTGTATTCATTCAACTTGTTTTTATTATTGCTTGTTAGCTGCCCTGAGCCCAGCCTTGGCTGGGGATGACAGGATATAAATAAAAATTATTAGTATTATTATTAAACTCCAGAGTCATTCACGACTGGACTTAGCTGTCAGAGGTCCTTTACATTTACCTTTTTTATTGAGTTCTGTGAGGTTTCTTTCAAGGAAACACCAGATTGCAGCCATGTTACCTTCCCAAGGAATCTAGTTTTGGCTCAAGCAGCCAGGCAGGACCTGGGAGGGGGGCACCTCAGGTTTCCCACTCCCCACCCCCTGTTTTGCATATGGTAGGTGAGAGTTCGCACCAGAAGCTTCCATGGGCATAACGAGGATTTAGGAGGGGCAGGCTTTGTGTTGGGGGGGGCAGAACTGAGTTATCTGTGACACAATTGGCCAGTTAAGTACTTTATTTATTTATTTACTTACTTACTTACTTGATGGGACGCGGGTGGCGCTATGGGTTAAACCACAGAGCCTAGGACTTGCCGATCAGAAGGTTGGTGGTTCAAATCCCCGTGACGGGGTGAGCTTCCGGTGCTCGGTCCCTGCTCCTGCCAACCTAGCAGTTCGAAAGCACGTCAAAGTGCAAGTAGATAAATAGGTACCCCTCCGGCGGGAAGGTAAACGGCATTTCCGTGCGCTGCTCTGGTTCGCCAGAAGCAGCTTGGTCATGCTGGCCACATGACCTGGAAGCTGTACACTGGCTCCCTCGGCCAATAAAGCGAGATGAGCGCCACAACCCCAGAGTCGGCCACGACTGGACCTAATGGTCAGGGGTCCCTTTATCTTTACTTACTTGATGGGGGGCAGCTGTCTCCCCCCCCCAGGCTATGCCCATGGCAGTTCTCCTGCTTCACCCTCAGACCCTAGAGAGTGAAATATTTTGATTTCCTTTTGAACAACACATAAAACACTACGGTCATACTTTATGTTACGTCCGCTTCATGTTACGTTCTTTTAGGTTACATCCTGCGGGGACCGGAAGTACTGGAAAGGGTTACTTCTGGGTTTCGCCGCATGCGCAAAATGATGTCACGCGAGTGCGCAGAAGTAGCGAATTGCAACCCACACGTGCGCAGACGCGCTGCTGCGGGTTGTGGTTTTTTCATGTTGCAAACGGGCCTCCAGAATGGATCCCATTCGCAACCAGAGGTACCACTGTATATGCATATACCACTGTATATACATATATGGTGTACATTTTTAAAGCGATAACCTTAATTGCATTATCCTTTTTTTTGTAAACCGCTTTTGGAGGTTTTTCCCTATGACTGAGCCATATATAAAATTTTATGAAATAAAAAAATTATAAATACAGGAAGATTTCCTTCTCCCCCCCCCCCCCAATAAAAGCTCATAAAGATCCCATACAAAAATAAATTTTTAAAATCTTATTTCATATCCTGGTGGGCTCTCCTTTCTTGGAGGTTTTTAAGCAGAGGTGGGATGGCCATCTGTGACGGATGCTTTAGCTGAGGTTCCTGCATTGCAGGGGGTTGGACTAGATGACCCCTGGGGTTCCCTCCCAACTCTAAAATTCTAACAATTCCTTACACGGAGGTTTTAGAGAGGGGACTCATGCAGCCACTTTGCACAGGGAGGGTCCCAGGTTCAAATCCCCGTGGGAGGCAGCTAACTCTTCTTCCCAATTCTTCCCACCCCAGACAGCATCGCAGGAAGGGCTGGCAAGAAACGAGATTTCGGGGCGGGGTGCGTTTGTGTGTTGTAATTGCCCTTGGTCCGCCCCGCCCCTCTCCCCGATTGGACGGAGGAGCGCAGCCTGAGCCGTCCTGACCAATCCCAGGCGAGGCGCTTTCGAATTTTCAGAGGGACTAGCGCCTTTTATCCCCACTGTTTTGGTTTGTCTCCCATTCGCAGCCTGGGAAAGCGGCGCTCGCTCTGCAAGCGGATAAGCTAAGGTGATGGTTTTGGGCAGAAGGGCTGTGAGAAGCGAGAGAGCCTTTTTTTGGGGGGGCGGCGGGGGGTTGCAGGGTTTGGGTGGTCCGTTGTCCTGAGCAAACAAAACAAGCCACCGTGCAAGAAATTCAATCCTCCTCCTCTTTCGTAGAAATATTAGAAAATATGTATTGTATTTGGTTGCGTTTTCTATCCCGTTTTCCATCCAAGGAGCGCAAGGTGGCGCACGTGGTTCTCTTCCCGTTCAAATTATGTGTAATTTGTTAGTTTGCTTCTGAATTATTATTATTTTAACTCTGTGTTTTAAATGGCTGTGACCTTACCCTGAGGCCTGGGTAGGCAGTAAATCAAATACAGTCAGTAAAAAAAATAATATATCTGGGTTGCTGTTCTTTTAATTTTAATTTACCTTAATTGCCTTCTGGATTTCAGCTGCTTCTCATCTACCGTTTTACTAGAGCCTGCTTTGATTAAGCGGTTTATAAATGCTATTAGAATGAAAAGTGGCACACATAGGTTTAGCAAAGGGGTGTGTAAGAGAAAGTGAGAGTGAGGGCTAAGCGTTTCAAAGTACCAATTTTTTTAATGTCCCCCCCCCCTTGAGTTTGCAACAGGGTGTGGTTAGCAGCCAAGAAAGCTTCAGCTTTCAGCTTGGAGGCAAAACGAGGTAAGTCAGGAAGGCAAGGCCTTGCTGTTTCAATGTGTTAGCCCCACTCCGATTCAATATTTAATAATAATAATAATTTTTATTTATACCCCGCCCTCCCCAGCCAAGGCTGGGCTCAGGGCGGCTAACAAGCAATAATAAAAACAAGTTGAATGATTACAACTTAAAAACAAAATTAAAATACAACAATTAAAATATTGAAACATTAAAGTATTAAAATGTAGCCTCATCGCAGGAGGAGAAAGGAAAAGAAAAGAAAAAAGAAAGAGAGGGAGGGAGGGAATCAAATTGGCTCCAAGCCAAAGGCCAGGAGGAACAACTCTGTCTTACAGGCCCTGCGGAATGAAATCAGGTCCTGAATATTAAACATTTCAGCTATCAGCTCCCCTTTCCCATCTATGGTCCATTTGTACCATGTAAAGTTTTATTCTACAGTGGTACCTTGGTTAAGGACTTAATTCATTCCGGAGGTCCGTTCTTAACCTGAAACGGTTCTTAGCCTGAGGTACCACTTTAGATAATGGGGCCTCTCGCTGCCGCCGTGCGATTTCTGTTCTCATCCTGGGGCAAAGTTCTTAACCCGAGGTAATATTTCTGGGTTAGCAGAGTCTATAACCTGAAGCGTTGAACTGTGCCCAGTAGTATATGAAATGGTATTCAGACGTCTTGTGAAGGCGTTATCTTCTTCCTCAGGAGTCCTTTATTTTAATATTGTATTGTGTTTATATCCCATTTTCCTGGAAGAGGTCAAGGTGGCGTTCAGCGTTTTCACCCACCCTCCTTTTTTCAGGGTTTTTTCAACAACCCTGTTAAGCTGAGAGTTGGAGACTGGCCCAAGGTCACCCAGCCAGCCTTCATGTCTGGTTGCTGGGGATTTTAACACTGGTCTCCTGAATTTCTGTTTTTATAATGCTGTTTGTTTGCATTTTGTGTGTGTGTGTGTGTGTGTGAGAGAGAGAGAGAGAGAGAGAGAGAGGTAGTCTTTTAGTCTTTATTTGTTATTTTGTTACATCCCCTGGGAATTTTAAAGTGGATTAGGCATGGATTTTGAATGAGATAAAATCTCAAAAGAATATAGTTCTTGAGCAAGTGCAGAGTAATAATGACTCTGAGGCTCCTCTTCCAAAATTGCAAGTGCTGGTTCTTCTCTCCTCATAGGAAGAAAAGCACATTAAAAAGAAAAGGTGGAAAACAGGATCCTTTTTTGCCTTCAGCTTTGTCTAAGCACAGGGGTAAGCAACGCTTTCAAGACAAAAAAGAGCCACTTGGACCGTTTCCGAAGGGAAAAACCTGGAGCCGCAAAAACGGGAAGGTGACATCGGGACGGTGGCGGACTAACGCACGCACCGCCCCATGGACGTCACAGCCCAGTTACAGCGCCGCCACATGGGGAAGTGAGGGCGCACGATGTGCCTTCCTCCCCTCGCTAGGTTATCCGCCCGGAGCCACGGCAAAGGTTGTAAAGAGCCAAAAGCGGGCTCGGAGCCGCGAGTTGCAGAACCCCTGGCTCTACAACAACAAAAAGGACAAAAAGCTGAATGTGGGAGGTAAACATTTTAAAGAAACAGTTTGATTGGTAGAATTAAGTAGCAATGGAAAATTTAGTTTTTTCTCAGTGTACAAAAGCCAAGCTCTACAGATTCCTCTTTCCAGTCCATCTTAAGGAGCAAGAGTTGTGTCTGTACTTCCATAGGTGGTGGTTTGGGTGATGGTAAAGGAAGGGACGGATTATCCCATATAAAAGAATCAGAGCAGCAGAGGAGTGAATGGAAAAGAACTGGAAAAATACATTAAAAAGAGGTGTGCGAAAGCAGTCATATGGACCCAGGGGATCTCAGTGAGTCTCCCTGCCCCCATCTCCCACAGTTCTAGACAGGGAAAGGCAGTGCGGTGTAGTGGTTAAGGCTAGGACCTGGGAGACCAGGCTTCAAATCCCTGCTCAGCCATTTTGTTCACAGGGTGACTGTAAGCCGGTCATGCTCTCTGGTGGCCTTCCTCACAGGGTTGTTGTGAGGAAAGACCATGCATGCTGCCTTCAGCTCCGTGGGGGAAAGGTGCGATAAAGACAGGGCTTGTTTTTAGCCGGAACTGAGTTTCCGGCACCTCTCGGGTGGGCGCCATTGCCATCCTAAGAGAACAAGGAGGCGTTTGTGGTGAGTTCCGGCACCTCTTTTTTCCCTAGAAAAACAGCACCAGATAAAGATGTACAGTGGTACCTCTGGTTACATACGCTTCAGGTTACATACACTTCAGGTTACAGACTCCGCTAACCCAGAAATAGTGCTTCAGGTTAAGAACTTTGCTTCACGATGAGAGCAGAAATCGTGCACCGGCGGCGCAGCGGGAGGCCCCATTCGCTAAAGTGGTGCTTCAGGTTAAGAACGGACCTCCGGAACAAATTAAGTACTTAACCCGAGGTACCACTGTACAGTAGAACCTCGTGTTACAGACAAGATCCGTTCTGGGGGCCCGTCCGTAACACTGAACTGACGTAAGCCGAAGCACCACATTTCCGCATGTACACACGCAATTTAGCGCTTCTGCGCATGCGTGAGCAGCGAAACCCAGAAATAACCCATTCTGGTACTTCAGGTTGCTGCGGGACGCAACACAAAAACATGTAACCTGAAGCGGATGCAATATGAGTGTGACTGTACAGTGGTACCTCGGGTAAAGAACTTAATTTGTTCTATAGGTCTGTTCTTAACCTGAAACTTTTCTTAACCTGAGGTACCACTTTAGGTAATGGGCCCTCCTGCTGCCCCCCCTCCGCCTCACGATTTCTGTTCTCATCCTGAAGCAAAGTTCTTAACCCGAGGTACTATTTCTGGGTTAGCAGAGTCTGTAACCTGAAGCGTCTGTAACCTGAGGTACCACTGTAGTGATAAATAAACGAAGCACAGTCTCATTGGGTTGGACAAATTCATGGCGGACCGAACTATCAACGATGACCATATCAGAGGAAATGCTTTGCTGAATAACAGGGGGAATGGTGGGATGTTGTCTTCACGTCCTGCTCACAGGCTTTCGGTTGGCCACTGTGAGAAAATATTGCAGGCCTTCGATGGGCCTTTGGCCTGATCCACAGAGCTCTTGCTAACCAAGCCTGTCCTTTTGCTTCAGAGGGAGGCAGCCATGGCCACCAGGAGTCCCACCAGCACGTCATTCTACGATGAAGTAACCTGTCCCATCTGCCTGGACTACTTCGAAGACCCAGTGACTGTAGACTGCGGGCACAACTTCTGCCAAGCCTGCATCACCCAATATTTGGGGGATTCCGACGCAGACCCTTGCTGCCCGCTGTGCAGAGAACGGCTTGAGGCAAATAACTTCAACCCAAACTGGCAACTGGCAAGCCTTGTGCTTATCAAGAAAATTCAAGAGGAAGGACAAGTCGAGGGAAAGGATGGGGTATGCAAGACTCACGGGGAACCCCTGAAACTCTTCTGCATGGATGACGAAGTCCCCATCTGCGAGGTGTGCAACGGGTCGAACTTGCACAGAGGCCACAGCGTGTTTCCCGCTGAAGAGGCTTCTCACCAGTATAAGGTAGGAAATTGCCGTAGCAGGTGGGTGAGGAGCAGTGTTCGAAATTAGCCAGGCGCCAGGCGCATTTTGCACCTAGCTCCCGGCCACTTGCTGGGACGCGGGTGGAGCTGTGGGTTAAACCACAGAGCCAAGGACTCAGAAGGTCAGCGGTTCGAATCCCCGCGACGGGGTGAGCTCCCATTGTTCGGTCCCTGCTCCTGCCAACCTAGCAGTTCGAAAGCACGTCAAAGTGCAAGTAGATAAATAGGTAAGGTAAACAGTGTTTCTGTGCACTGCTCCGGTTTGCCAGAAGCGGCTTAGTCATGCTGGCCACATGACCCAGAAGCTTTCTGCGGACAAACACCGGCTCCCTCGCCGTATAGAGCGAGATGAGCGCCGCACCCCCAGAGTCGTCCGCGACTGGACCTAATGGTCAGGGGTCCCTTTACCTTTACCTTACCGGCCACTTGCGACCCGTTGAAGATGCCTGGGTGTCAGGATGGCGCCTGACATCTCCACCATCTAGGGATCTTTGGATCTGGACTGTTTTCTTTTTCTTTTTTTCCAGTTTTTTCAATTAATTTTCACATTAATCACATAGAAAATGAACAAGTAGAAAAGGAAAAAAGAAACATTACAATACACAAAAATAAAGAAAAACATAAAAAAGAATTTTAACTTCCAAATCCTAATTTCATTACATTGATAACTGACTTTCTCGAATCTCCTCTAACTGAATTTCATTATATCGCCTGATTAGCAGTTCTCCAAATTCATATTTCTAATAATATTAACTTCTTTCATTTACTAACTTCTTCTCCGTTATTAATACGCCAATCCTTAATATTTATAAACAACATAATCTTATTCTAACCCTAGGCCTTATTTTTACTTTCAAGAGGTTTCTCTTTATCTTATATTACAGTATTTAGTCAAATATTCTTTAAAATTCTTCCAGTCCTTTTGTGTCTCTTCTTCTTTCTGGTCGCGGATTCTTCCAGTCAGGTCAGCCAGCTCCAAAAACTCCAACATCTTCATCTGCCATTCTTCTATTGTTGGTATCTCTTGCGATTTCCAGTTTTTGGCTAATAAAATTCTTGCCGCTGTAGTGGAATACAAAAACAATCTAACATCTTTTTTTGGCAATTCCAATCCTATTATTCCAAGTAGAAAGGCTACTGGAAAGGCTGTTTTCACACACTAATACCCCCATTCTATCCATTATATTTTATCTGCGCAGTCGGAATAAATATATTGGAACCCAAATGCTTCTTCTGTGCAGCCTGAGCGAGAGCAGTCACCATTAAGGAACAGAGGCAGAAGTAGGCTGATATATATGTGGACTGTCCCTGCATCAAGTGACTTTTAAAATGGATGCTGATGGCACTGTGGTCTAAACCACTGAGCCTCTTGGGCTTGCCGATCTGAAGGTCGGTGGTTCGAATTTCTGCATCGGGTTGAGCTCCCGTTGCTCTGTCTCAGCTCCTGCCAGCCTAGCAGTTTGAAAGCACACCAGTGCAAGTAGATAATTAGGTACCGCATGGTGGGAAGGCAAATGGTGTTTCCGTGCGCTCTGGTTTCCGTCACGGTGTTCCGTTGCACCAGAAGTGGTTCAGTCCTGCTGGCCACATGACCTGGAAAGCTGTCTGTGGACAAACGCCGGCCCCTTTGGCCTGAAAGCGAGATGAGCTTTCTCCGGCAAGTCTTGCCCAAAAAGTTCTTGCAAAACTAAGAGGCGACACTGATTGAGCACCGGAAAGCCCTATGCAGATGTCCGGTACTATTATGGTTATCTCCATTTAAGCATAGTATTTAGTAATAATAAGTTTTACTTTGGTTTCAAACCTTCTGGGTTTCCTGTTTTCAGTTGCTGTTCGCTGTTCTGTTTTGCATTGCCTGGAGACGTTGGTATGTTGTTGTTGTTTAGTCGTTTAGTCGCGTCCGACTCTTCGTGACCCCATGGACCAGAGCACGCCAGGCACTCCTGTCTTCCACTGCCTCCCGCAGTTTGTTCAAACTCATGCTGGTAGCTTCGAGAACACTGTCCAACCATCTCACCCTCTGTCGTCCCCTTCTCCTTGTGCCCTCCATCTTTCCCAACATCGGGGTCTTTTCCAGGGAATCTTCTCTTCTCATGAGGTGGCCAAAGTATTGGTATAAAGGTAAAGGGACCCCTGACCATTAGGTCCAGTCGTGACCGACTCTGGGGTTGTGGCGCTCATCTCACTTCATTGGTCGAGGGAGCCGGCGTACAGCTTTTGGGTCATGTGGCCAGCATGACTAAGCCGCTTCTGGCGAACCAGAGCAGCGCATGGAAACGCCGTTTACCTTCCCTCCGGAGCGGTACCTATTATCTACTTGTACTTGACGTGCTTTCGAACTGCTAGGTTGGCAGGAGCAGGGACCGAGCAATGGGAGCTCACCCCGTCGTAGGGATTCGAACCGCTGACCTTCTGATCGGCAAGTCCTAGGCTCTGTGGTTTAACCCACAGCGCCACCCATGTCCCATAAGTATTGGTATAGAAGGCGATAAAAGTAATAACGAAGCATGTGACCCCAAAGTTTCAACCTCTTATTGAAGTTCTTCCCATCTCTTCCCAAAATATCGCCACTTTGAGCAGGCTAGTCAGAGATGGGGACAAGAAGAAGAAGAAGAAGATAAAAGTAGTGATACTTGATTGTCCTGGAATAAAAGGGGGGGGGCAGGCAGAGCAGGGAAGAATCTGTTGCCTTGAATCGGGCTTTATTTTCTAAGGAAATGACTGCTTAACGTCAGGTGGGTTGAACTCCTGACAGAGCTAAATGACTTTTCTCTTCTCTTCAGGAGAGAATTGGTGTCCTTGTGAAGTCTTTGAAGCAAGAGAGGAAAAGGCTTGTGGACCGGAAATTAGCTAAAGATCAGAAAAAGCAGAAATGTCTGGTAGGTTTATGTCATTACGGTGGGGAATCTGTGGGCCAGTATTGACAGATGGGCAGGGGCCACCCACCTATCAATCAAATGACATCATGGCCAAGTGACTGATAAAGTCACCTGTCAAGGTCAACCTTCAGGGTTGAGATGGGGACAGGTTTGCCTCTCCACCACACTTCATGCAGACAATCTCTTGTCAGAGAGATTGTGGGTACGATATCGAGGCAAGGTGCCCCCTTTTCTGTACCCGCAAGTTCTGAACAACCAGCCGTGTTGGTTTTTGTAATTCAGACCTCCCTGGCTTGGTGTCCTCAAGATTGTTAAAAAAAAATTATTAAGACTTTTCATAATGTGTTACACTAAAAAAACTTAATCTAAACAAAAATAAAAACAGAAAAAGAAGAATACAAATCCTCTCTCCATGGGCATAGCCAAGGGGGAGCGGGGGCCAGTTGCACCCCTAACAGTAAAAAAAATACAAACCTGAAGTTCTGTCCCCCTAGCAAAAGCCTGCCCCCTCCCAAAAAGCCTGGCTACTTCCATGCCTCTCTCACAGGTAGATCTTAAGTCTTATCCCACTACGAAAGAGGTAAACTCTCCCAGCTGTCCCTTGGGAGCTTCTCTTCCCATCAGTCCCAACAAGGACAACCAATGACCAGGATGGTGGGATTTGTTGTTCAGAAATATCTGAAGGGCCCAAGGTTCCCCAACCTGATCCAACTCTTCCAGTGCTAGATTTACATATACGCTAAACAAGCTATAGCTTAGGGCCCCACTTTCTTGGGGCCCCCCCCCAAAAAAATAAAGGGGGGAAAACTGGATGTACATTTCCAAAATTATATTTCAGTTCAACAATTACTTTGATAAAATACATATTTTGTTATGTGCAAATGGCTTTAGATACCTATGGAGAGCCAGTGTGGTGTAGTGGTTAAGAGTGGTAGTCTTGTAATCTGGGGAACTGGGTTCGCGTCTCTGCTCCTCCACCTGCAGCTGCTGGGTGACCTTGGGCCAGTCACACTTCTCTGAAGTCTCTCAACCCCACTCACCTCACAGAGTGTTTGTTGAGGGGGAGGAAGGGAAAGGAGAATGTTAGCTGCTTTGAGACTCCTTCGGGTAGTGATAAAGCGGGATATCAAATCCAAACTCCTCCTCCTTCTATGAGGTACATAAATTACCATATAGCATATATTCAACACAAAACACAGCAACAGTTTGTTGTTGACAAAGGACAGCTGGACATATAAAGGGCCCCATTACCTTCAGTAGCTTGTTGTTGTTTAGTCGTTTAGTCGTGTCCGACTCTTCGTGACCCCATAGACCAGAGCACGCCAGGCACTCCTGTCTTCCACTGCCTCCCACAGTTTGGTCAAACTCATGCTGGTAGCTTCGAGAACACAATCCAACCATCTCATCCTCTGTTGTCCCCTTCTCCTTGTGCCCTCCATCTTTCCCAACATCAGGGTCTTTTCCAGAGAGTCTTCTCTTCTCATGAGGTGGCCCAAAGTCTTGGAGCCTCAGCTTCAGGACCTGTCCTTCCAGTGAGCACTCAGGGCTGATTTCCTTCAGAATGGATAGGTTTGATCTTCTTGCAGTCCATGGGACTCTCAAGAGTCTCCTCCAGCACCATAATTCAAAAGCATCCATTCTTCGGCGATCAGCCTTCTTTATGGTCCAGCTCTCACTTCCATACATCACTACTGGGAAAACCATAGCTTTAACTATATGGACCTTTGTTGGCAAGGTGATGTCTCTGCTTTTTTATATATATCATATATTCAACACAAAAAACAGTGACAATTTGTTGTTGACAAAAGACAGCTGGGCATATAAAGGGCCCCATTACCTTCAGTAGCTTAGGGCCTCCTCAAACCTAAATCTGGCCCTGTTCTTCTCCCTTATTTTTCCTTAATGTATTCTCTCCCACTCCCAGAAACAGTTAGAAACGGAGAAGCAGAAGATTGTGTCCGCATTTGAAAATATGCACGAGTACCTCGTTCAGAAACAGCACCTCTGGCTAGACCAGCTGGAAGACCTGACCAAAGAGCTGGAGAGGAAGCAGGACGAGAACCTCACCAGAGTCTCTGAGGAGATTTCCCGGCTCAATGGGCTGATTGCAGAGATGGGAGGAAAGTGCCGGCAGCCCCCGAGCGAATTCTTGCAGGTGAGACTTAGAATCACACACACACACACACACACACACACACACAAAATGCATGTTTCAGGACCCTAGGAATGAAAGAGGCACGATCCTAGGAATGGCCATTTGCTTTACACAGTCAAAGAAATCGGCACTAGGACAAGAGGAAGCCCTGTGTGTGTTTTGTCTGGGCAAAGGTAAAGGGACCCCTGACCATTAGGTCCAGTTGTGGCCGACTCTGGGGTTCCAGCGTTCATCTCGCTTTATTGGCCGAGGGAGCTGGCGTACAGCTTCCAGGTCATGTGGCCAGCATGACTAACCAGAGCAGCTCACGGAAACGCTGTTTACCTTCCCGCCAGAATGGTACCTATTTATCTACTTGCACTTTGACGTGCTTTCTGCTAGGTTGGCAGGAGCAGGGACCGAGCAACAGGAGCTCACCCTGTTGCAGGGATTCGAACCGCCGACCTTCTGATCGGCAAGTCCTAGGCTCTGTGCTTTAACCCACAGCGCCACCCGTCCCTTTTGTCTGTGTAGCTGAGATCTATTTCTCTCTTTCTTTCAGGACGTTAGCAATGCTATCAGTAGGTATGTAGCTCCCCTTTTTGTGTCCTTTGCTCTTTGCATGGACGAGTTTCGATCACACTGGGGGTGTTCCTGCAAACAAATGGCGCAGTTTTCCTTCACTGTGTGTGGTTCACACTGTTGTCTGTCTGTCTCTTTTAATTTTGAGTTGGTGCTGCCCTGCTATTTTTCCCGGGGGGGGGGGTGTCCCACCCCCTCACACATTTGTTTTCATTTTAAAAAACAAGCATAAATGGATCTCTGCAAAATATGGTTCTAACATTCCTTAGATACACTCAACTGCTGCAAGCAGTTTTCTTCGTAGGGGTAATATGGAAGATTGTGATTTTCTTATTTCCTCTGCAATGTGAGAGCTGTCTACCTGCTTTTGGGGTTTCATGGAGGATAAGTTTGTCAACGACAAAAGGATACTGGGCCAGATACAATCTGGGCCTGATCCAGCAGGTCTCTTCTTACTTTAGGAGAGAAGCCCTTTTTTAATTACTATTTTACATTGTTTTATGTGACCCACTTGGAGGTGTGTTTTTTCTTTTATGATTAAGTGGTCTATAATTTTTATTTTTCCTAGAGGTCTCAAGCTTTAGAACACCAGGTCCTTGTGGTCTATTCCAACTCTATGATTCTATGATTCTAGGCCCAGGCACTTGTTCAAGAGTGGTTCTTGAGTTAAAAGCCCGTCTTGTCCTTCAATGATACAAGTTCACGGGAGAATGGCATTATTTTACTATTTTGTATTTCCTTCCAGGTGTGAGGAGAATTTAGTAGAGCCTGTGGTGGTCCTTCATTCCTGCTTGGAAGCCCATTTCAGAATCGCCATTCAGAAAACCACCGCTTTAGAGGAGGCCATGGAGAATTACAAAGGTACAGTTTGTTGTTGTGTGTGCAGCATTTACACTTGGGTTTTCTTCTAATAGACTTGCAGCGGAGTTTCCTTTTAACTGAGTATCTTTATTATTTACAAACATGTACACTGCCTGAATACAAATAAAATAACACAATCCTTTCCTCTTCCACCCATCTGGCCAGAAACCCATGCTCATTTACACACCGACCCTTGTTGATCACATGCCGTTAATAAAGGCACCTGTTGCTGGGTAGATTTTTTTTGTTGCCTGGCAACCTGTTCAAGACCAATTCTCAAGTTCTTTCTAGAATATTCCAACACAGTTGACGTTTGAAGGAAGGGAAATGGCTACAGGTGTTCTCAGAAAGTTCCAATTTCAGGCTCCTCTGCATAGCTGTCAACTTTTCCCTTTTCTTGCGAGGAATCCTATTCAGAATGAGGGAATTTTCCTTTAAAAAAGGGAAACATTGACAGCTATACTCCTCTGCAACAAATGTCATTAAAAGGGGGGGGTCAATTCCCCTATAAGGTCCCTCAGTAGGTCTTCAAAAAAGAGTCATCGCCTGTTTCTATTTCTCCTCCACACAATCTATATTCCAATCTATACGGAATTTGCCACCACAACATGTAAGATGAGTTTACAAAAGGCTCTTGGTGGTTACAAATCATGATAGCTGCAAGTCCTGTGAAGGTCCTGAAGTGTAGGTGAGTTCCCACAAGGCAAGACACAGTGAATAACAGCAAGAACCTTTATTGAACTAACAGAACTGGACAACAGGGGCAAAGCAACTGCTTATACAGTGGTGTCCCGCAAGACGAATGCCTCGCAAGACGGAAAACCCACAAGACGAAAGGGTTTTCCGTTGCGGAGGCGCTTTGCAAGACAAATTTCCCTATGGGCTTGCTTCGCAAGACGAAACGTCTTGCGAGTCTCGCCATTTTTTCCCCGCTTCCCCCCCCCTTTTTCAAAGGCGCTAAGCCGTTAATAGCCTTTTAACAGCTTAGCCGCTATGTCTTTAATAACCGCTAAGCCACTAAATCGCTAATAGCGCTAATCCGCTTAGACGCTAATGGGGTTGCTTCGCAAGATGACAAAACCGCTAGACGAAGAGAATCGCGGATGTCTGGGCCACTCCCACGCCCAACATGATTGGCTGTCTGAACTTCCAAGCTGCCAATCATGACTCAGCGTTTCAGGGCCAATGGCAGAGGCCCAAATCCTGAAATGTCCTGGGATTGGCTGTCATGTATCGAATCAGAACACAGGGGCTCAGAATCAGTAGTCCAGGCTCAAGCTCAGGCAAACACAGCCCACTGAATAAATAACAGGTCCCATCTGCAGAATATTGGAAGGTGGGTGCTTTTGACGGGGTGACACTTTGTGGCTTGCTCAGTAGGGCAGGTGGGCATGGTTGACCGAAAAGGCTTCACAGGTATAAATGGGCAGATACAGCACCACCATTGCTCTGTCTCTGCCCCAGTTAGCAAAAAGTCTCTGAGTGCACCGGCACAAATGGAAAGAGCCTCCTCTTCCTGCTTTGGGAATCCTCCCCTCACTTTCACCTCCGTATGTCATTGGACTCGATTACAGGCTTTAAGAATACAGTGTAATTCCAAACAGCATGATCTCAATTTAAATGCTGACTCCCTAGGGTTTTCTGCACCTTGAGAGAGCTGGTTTTTGTTGTTGCTGTTCATGAAATCACCATCAAAATAAAATTTATATGCCGGCCTATACCTGCAGGGCGGTTCACAAGATAAAATTACAATAGAAAAACACAAAATGCATAAAATATAAACAAAAGTGGCTGGATAACCCCCCCCCAAAAAAAAACACACACACACACAGAGTGTTAAAACAATTTTTAAAAACACAATTACAAAGCAGTTTAAAAGAATGTAAGCAGTACTCTCCTGGGTGGTAAGCAGTCCTTTTGGAGGCTAGATTCAGGTAGGTAACCGTGTTGGTCTGATGCAGTAGAAATAATAATAATAATAATAATAATAATAATAATAATAATACAGTGGTACCTCAGGTTACATATGCTTCAGGTTACATACGCTTCAGGTTACAGACTCCGCTAACCCAGAAATAGTGCTTCAGGTTAAGAACTTTGCTTCAGGATGAGAACAGAAATCGGGCGGCGCAGCAGCAGCAGGAGGCCCCATTAGCTAAAGTGGTGCTTCAGGTTAAGAACAGTTTCAGGTTAAGAACGGACCTCCGGAACGAATCAAGCACTTAACCTGAGGTACCACTGTAATAATGAATTGTCCAGTAGCACCTTAGAGACCAACTAAGTTTGTTCTTAACTTAACTTAGTTGGTCTCTATGGTGCTACTGGACAATTTATTTTATTTTTAATATATATTTCTTTTGTAGTCTGTCAGGCCCCACTCTAGGCCTGGGGAAGAGAAGCAGGAACAGGACCCTCAAACTCTCTGCAGATGTTCCTTCCTTGCCCATGGCCATTTTCTTTATGTTTGAGGGTCTGAGCAATTTCCCTCTCCTTCACAGATTCTCTGGAGCGAGCTCTGGACGCAAACAACTTGGAGGAAGCTGTCAACACAGGTAACTTCCCAGCGGAGACACAGAGAGGGGACATTTTAACAGAAGGTGGTGTTTAGGCGTTGGGGTCTAAGAGAGCCCCCTCTGCATAACCCAGGGGGCTACTTTTGCAATGAGATGTACAGGAGATGGAATAGCATAGGATGAGGTGAACTGCCCTGAGCGTGAGATCAAATGGCACTCGGGCCACAAACTCACAAAATTGGTTGGGAACCCTGTGGCTGTTTGCTGTGCCTCCTTGCCTACATTCAGCTGAAGTTTTGGGGAAGAGTCTGGGGGTGATTCTGCAGCAGATGAAGATTATCCTTTGCATGGGAAGCTGTGCTGTACTGACTCCAACTACGGTGGTACCTTGGTTCTCGAACGGAGTCCGTTCCGTTCAACTTCCGAAAATGTTCAGAAACCAAGGTGCAGCTTCCGATTGGCTGCAGGAGCTTCTTGCACTCCGTCGGAAGCCATGTTGGACATTTGGCTTCCAAAAAACGTGTGCAAACTGGAACACTCACTTCCAGGTTTGTGGCGTTCAGGAGCCAAAACGTCCGAGTCACAAGGCGTTCGAGAACCAAGGTACCACTGTATTGGCCGATCCAGTTCAGTATGGTCTACAACCAGGGTTTCCCGAACTTAGGTCTCCAGCTGTTTTTGGACTACAACTCCCATCATCCCTAGCTAGCAGGACCAGTGGTCAGGGATGGTGGGAATTGTAGCTGGAGACCCATATTTGGGAAACCCCGGCCTCTCCCGGTATGCCCCACGGAGAGCCTCAAGGTCCATAAATAGCAACACCCTAGTGGTCTTGGGCCCTAAGGAAGTTAGATTAGCTTCAACCAGAGCCAGGGCCTTCTCAACACTGGCTCCGGCCTGGTGGAACTCTCTGTCTCATGAGACCAGGGCCCTGCAGGATCTGATTTCTTTCCGCAGGGCCTGTAAGACAGAGTTGTTCCGCCTGGCCTTTGGCTTGGAGCCAATTTGATTCCCTCCCCCTCTTTCTTTTTTTCCTTTCCTTTCTCCTCCTGCGATGAGGCTACATTTTAATATTTTAATGTTTCAATATTTTAAGGTTGTATTTTAATTTTGTTTTTAAGTTGTATTCATCCAACTTGTTTTTATTATTGCTTGTTAGCCGCCCTGAGCCCGGCCTTGGCTGGGGAGGGCGGGGTATAAATAAAAATTATTATTATTATTACTCTGACGGGTAGGGACCTTCAGGCTTCTCAGGCACGGGTCTCTCCCAGCCTTACCTGGAGTTGCCCAGGATGTAACCTAGGGCCTTCGACATTACCTGTTAAGGGAAGCTTTTAATGATTGATGTATTACAGTATTTTAATATTTTTTTGGAGGCCGCCCAGAGTGGCTGGGGAAGCCCAGCCAGATGAGCGGGGTATAAATAAATTATTATTATTATTATTATTATTATTATTATTATTATTATTATTATTATTATTTATTTAATTATGCAAGGCACCTCTACCGCTAAGCCACAGGCCTTCTTCCCTGAAGCCACTCAATCTTCCTTCTTTCCTGCAGTGAATGTCGTTCTGGATCCAAACTCAGCACACCCCAATCTCGTTCTCACTCCGGACCGGAAGAGCGTGCGATGGGAACCGTCGTGGAAGGAGAGGGAGTGGCGGAAGAAGAACGTTTCCCAGCATTTGGACAGATTTGACTGGGAGGTCTGTGTGCTCGGCCGCGAGAGGTTCATTTCGGGGACGCAATGGTGGACAGTGGAGGTCTTGGGAGAAGGAAGCTGGACCCTGGGGGTGGCGAAAGACTCGCTCGCGAGGAAAGGACCCTTCAACGTCAGCCCTGACAAGGGCATCTGGGCTTTGAGGAAGCCGTTTTGCGACACGTACATGCCTCACGAAGTCTTGGCCTTAACTTTCCCCGAAACCACTCCGTTGATGTTGACAAAGGAGCCCAAGAAGATTCTGGTGGCCCTGGACTACCCGTTAGGCTGGGTGGGCTTCTTCGACGCCGATACCGACGAATTCATCTTTGCTTTCCACTCGGCGTCATTCGCTGGGGAGAGGATCAGGCCCTTTTTCCAGCTGCGGGAGAAGGGATTCGCTCTGAAGTGCTGACTCTTGAGGGGGGGCCTCCTGTCACCCTGAAAAATCCCACCCAGAAAGATGGTGACACGCTAGAGCTTTATCTGTGACTATATAAGGGCGGCCATTTTAACTGGTTTTCGCGCAGGACTTCGTTTCCTGACCACAGCTTTTAGATTGCTTTCCCATCTGCTTTATTTGCATGTTTCCAAGAAGGCTTAGGGGCCCTCCGTGTCATTACTGTGTTTTGAAATAATGATTCCTTCTATCCTTTTTTATATATATATAAAGAAGCTGCAGACAATCGAAAAATTTAGGGGTATTGATCCAGCACCTTTGAGAGGGGGGAAATGAACGGATTTGAGAATTGCCCTCACTGTGCAAGTGTTGGGGGCAAACAAAAAAATGTGAACTCTACCAGAAAACCTTATTATTATAAAATTATTTTGTGGTAGAAAGGAGGTTTATTTCAGGATATTGCAGTTGGAAGAAGCGTCTAACTGTGCTCACTTTGAGCTTTTGCCTTTATTTCCTTGTGCTTTATTTCCACCATTCTTTCCCTCCATATGAAGGAATATATATATATCTGTCCCTCAACAACTGCAAAGGGGCAAGTTTCCCCCTCGTAGCCATTCCACGCAATTGGGTCCCCTCCATTGTGATCGCAAAGAGTGGCCTGTACTTAAACAGCTGCTCATGCCTTACTCTCTCTTTCGGAACTGTCAGGGGGCGGGTTTGGGGTGCAATTTTGGGATGGGGCTCTCGGTGCATGCCTCTGCTTCCCTTCTGCACAAAGAGGCTTGTAGCTGCAATGGGGAGGTCTCACTGGTGAGGAATACGTTTATTTTGGTGGGTGAAGGGCTTAGGTAGTCACATGACATTTTAGATCAGGTGACTGAATCTGAGAGCCGAGGCAGGAGTTTCCTGCAGGAGGGGAACCACTATAAAGAGTGGACAAGTGTGGTGGCAGAATGAGGTCAGAATTAGACAAGCTTAATTCCCATCTTTGCAAGACGTTTGAAGCTATATCATGATGCTTTGAATAGTCATGGCTTCTCCAAAAGAGTCCTGGGAAATGTATAGTTTATTAAGGGTGCTGAGAGTTGTAAAGAGCCCTCGGTTTCCGTCGCAGAGCTAGACTTTCCCTGGGAATGGGGAATGATTAGAAACCACTCTGGAAATTGAGGCGCGTAGGAGTTTCCTAACAACTCTCAGCACCCTTAACAAACTACAGTTCCCAGCATTCATTGGGACTGTTCAAAGTGGCACGCTACAGCTTTAAATATTTAGTGCAGGTGGGTCCTAAGAGACTGGGACATACCCCTCAAGTGGTTTGATTGCTAATAGGGAGAAATTCCCACTTTTAAAATTCTTCTTTTATTACCTTTGACACGATACTGATTTGGGAACATGCAGCTCACACTTTCCTCGTAAAAGTGCTGTTACTTCTGTTTTTAGGGGTTTTTTAGCCATCATTTGTGTGTTTTTAAAAGGATTATGTAACAGAGAATAAAGTTACTTTTTTTGAAATTTTCATTGCTTCATGTGTGTCGTCCCCCCCCCCCCCAAATAAAAACCCCTGCAGGTGTTCATAAGATTTTAAAATACTTGCAATTTGCATCCTGGCAGCTTGAATTAAATATTTCTGTCCTGTCATTCTGCACTCTTACGATATTGCATCCCTGATTTTAAGCGTGCGCGTGCGCGCACACACACACACATACATGCAAGCAGCTAAAACACACCAGTTCCACTTTAAAAACTGAAGCAAAATATTCCCGATAGGCATGTTTTAGAAAACAACCAACACAAAACAGCTGTTCTCAACTTTTCGGCCTTAAAGCACTCTCTAAAGAAGAGGTGGAGAACCCGGTGACCCTCGGGATAATAGAGTTTTATAAGCAGAGGTTGGATGGCCACCTGCCATGGATGCTTTAGCTGAGATCTCTGCACTTCAGGGGGTTGGACTAGATGACCCTCAGGGTCCCTTCCAAATGTATGATTCTATGATCCTTGCAGATCCTGCCACCTTCCATTCTGTCGACGTGGAATAGCATAGACGTTGCTGAGACAGGTGTGTGAACACCTGACCATGAACCTGTTTACTAGCAAGCAGGGCATCACTCGCAAACAGAAACTCCTCTGAGAAACGAAGCTGGTGGAGGCGAGAGGACAGAGAACATCCTGGACAAGATTCAGAGATATCGTTAATCCTCTCCAAGGTTGCAGAAAAGGCCTTGTTTCCTTCTCAGTTCTCCTCCCAGGCCAAATCAAGCACTCAGTTGCCCGCCAAAGCCTTGTGCTCCGTTGACTTGCATGCAGACTGGTTACACTTTTAGATATCATAGTAGAGTTGGAAGGCACCCAGTGGTCATCTAGTCCAACCCCCCACAATGCAGGAATCTCAACTAAAGCATCCATGAAAGAGGCCCCATGGTTTCCCCATATTATGTCATACAGTCGTACCTCGGAAGTCGAACAGAATCAGTTCGGGGGGTGGAAGGAAGGAAGGCAATGGGAGGCAGGTCACACAGTGCAATTTGCCCCAAGACCCTGCACCCCTCTAGGAATAGTCCTGCATTCGCTCTGCTTTGCTTGCAGAGAGGTTAGACAATGATTCATTCCCCACTTGCTAGTGCATTTCCCCATCACTTTCCATATTGCTAATAATAATAATTATTACCGTATTTTTTGCTCGATAAGACTCACTTTTTCCCTCCTAAAAAGTAAAGGGAAATGTGTGTGTGTCTTATAGAGCGAATGCAGGCTGCGCGGCTATCCCAGAAGCCAGAACACCAAGAGGGATTGCTGCTTTCACTGTGCAGCGATCCCTCTTGCTGTTCTGGCTTCTGAGATTCAGAATATTTTTTTTCTTGTTTTCCTCCTCCAAAAACAAGGTGCGTCTTGTGGTCTGGTGCGTCTTATAGGGCGAAAAATACGCTATTTATTTATATCCCACCCTCCCTGGCTGTTGCCTGGCTCAGGGCGGCTAACACCAGTAAAATTACAATAAAAACATAATGGGGGAGGGGACCAATTTAAAATACAGTGGTGCCTCACAAGACGAAATTAATCCGTTCCGCGAGTCTCTTCGTCTTGCGGTTTTTTCGTCTTGCGAAGCACGGCTATTAGCGGCTTAGCGGCTATTAACGGCTTAGCGGCTTTAAGAAAAAGGAAACTCATCTTGCGAAGCAAGCCCATAGGGAAATTCGTCTTGCGGAACGACTCAAAAAAACAGAAAACCCTTTCGTCAAGCGAGTTTTTCGTCTTGCGAGGCATTCGTCTTGCGGGGCACCACTGTGCGGGTTAAAATACAATTTAAAACACAGCCTCATTTTAATAGTAGCCCATAGATCAAAACCATAAGGGGAGGGAAACATAAGGGTCAGACTGAGTCCAAACCAAAGGCCAGGCACAACAGCTCCATCTTGCAGGCCCTGCGGAAAGATGTCAAGTCCCGCAGGGCCCTGGTCTCTTGTGACAGAGCGTTCCACCAAGTTGGGTCCAGTACTAAAAAGGCCCTGGCCCTAGCTGAAACCAATCTAACCACCTTGCTATCTGGGACCTCCAAAGTGTTGTCATTTGTGGACCTTAAGGTCCTCCGCGGGGCATACCAGGATGATGATGATGATGATGATATTTGTACCCCGCCCCTCTGGCTTGGTTGCCCCAGCCACTCTGGGCGGCTTCTGACATATACAAAAAACATAATATAAACAGAAAGCTCCAAAGAAAAGCAGGTGGTCTCCTCAGGGAAATACTGGAAGGGGAACTCACTCGCCCCAAAAGCTGTGGGTTCGGCCTGGGCAGCCAAAAGAACCCAGAAGCCAATTTGTCTGTCAAACCGGGAGTCTTTATTAAAAACATTGCAACGGTTGTGACTTCACCCCCACAGATGCCCTTTAGGCAAAGAGGAAAGTGCCACTGCCTCGGGGTAAAAGACACAATATTGATGCCACAAGCATTCATAAACAGCAGATGTTCCGTCTCGCTCCGGCAAAGTTGCATAGCAACGGCCTTCGGCCTTCACTCCTTATCTCCTCTTCCCTCCAACCTCCTCCTGCTTACGTGCTACTTTGACCTTCTCTTTTGAAAACGCAAGCTTCCCATGATGAATCCTTCCCACACATATTTCAGTTTTCATTCTATAGTTTCTATAATCACTCCAAAAGTCTGAGTGGACTTATTCAGGCACATCCCAAGCAATTTTGTGGGGTGAGAATGAGTTAATCAGCTTTTATCCACTGCTCGTATTAAAATGTCCCATCTAAAGTTTTTTGGATATTGGCCGAAAACATTTCTCCCAGGCGTTGACAAATGAGAATCAGACAATTGTAGCGTTGGAAGGGACCCCAAGAGGCAACTAGCCGTGCAGGAATCTCAGCTAAATTAGCCTGCTTTAATTTCTGCATTTTTTCCATTCATGTCGGATTGGACACCTTAATATTGTTTCTTTGCAATCTGTATAATGCTTTATTTCATACAATGTGTACAGTGGTACCTTGGTTCTCAAACTTAATCCGTTCCGGAAGTCCGTTCCAAAACCAAAGCGTTCCAAAACCAAGGCATGCTTTCCCATAGAAAGTAATGCAAAATGAATTAACCCGTTCCAGACTTTTAAAGACAACCCCTAAACACTCAGAACGGAGCACATTTGGCTTCCGAAAATAGTTCTCAAACCGGAACACTTACTTCCGGGTTTGCAGTGTTTGGGTCCCAAGTTGTTTGAGTACGAAGGCATTTTGAGAACCATGGTACCACTGTATACCTCTTGATGGTAAAAAAAAGAAAAAGTGGTTTTGTAGAAACGATAAAATGATGAGTAAAAACAGCTATTTAAAGCATTCAAAAAGTAATCAGAATCAACAATAAGCTAATAACGGACACAAACACATGTCAAATCTTGTACAGTGGTACCTCGGGTTACATACGCTTCAGGTTACAGACGCTTCAGTTTACAGACTCTGCTAACCCAGAAATAGTACCTCAGGTTAAGAACTTTGCCTCAGGATGAGAACGGAAATCGTGCGGCGGTAGCGGGAGGCCCCATTAGCTAAAGTGGTTCTTGAGGTTAAGAACAGTTTCAGGTTAAGAACGGACCTCTGGAATGAATTGCCATATTTTTCGCTCTATAGGACGCACTTTTTCCCCTCCAAAAATTAAGGGGAAATGTGTGTGCATCCTATGGGGCGAATGCAGGCTCCCTGGCTTCAGCGATAGCAACGCGAAGCCTCCGAAGCCTGCGCTCCGGAGGCTTCCCGTTGCTTTCGCAGAAGCCAGGAGAGTCTGGTCTTTGAGGCTGGCGGTGAGGAAAAGCAGCGCTTCCCCCACCGCCAGCCCCACAAGCTCGGTCGAAAAGCCCGCAGGAGCCGTGCGCTCTTTAAAGGGTGCGCGGCTCCTGTGCGCTTTTGCGGGAGATGGGGGAATTCCCCCACCTCCTGCAAAAGCACGCAAAAGCCGCGCGCTCTTTAAAGGCTGCGTGGCTTCTGCGGGCACCTCCTAGAAAAGCCCGCAGGAGCCGTACAGCCTTTAAAGAGCGTGCCACTCTTGAGGGCTTTTCCCCAAGGAGGGAGAAGGGACTGACTGGCCGAGTCAGTCCCTTCTCCCTCCTGTGGGCTTTTGCGGGAGATGGGGGAATTCCCCCACCTCCCGCAATAGCAGGGAGAAGGTCTGGGAGATGTGCACAGGCTGCACAGCCTGTCCGCTGCTCCCAGAGCTGGGGGGGGGGCCATATTTTTTCCCCTAGATTTCCCCCTCTGAAAACTAGGTGCACCCTATGGTCAGGTGCGCCCTATAGGGCGAAAAATACGGTAAGTTCTTAACCCGAGGTAACACTGTATTTTGTAAGTCTTATTGTCAGGTGGATGGTTTGATTGGAGACGGTAAGCTGTTCTATGGTGGCATACATTTTTGCAGGGCTTTTTTCTATTAAAAAAAACGTTTAAATGTACTCTCATTTTCCTACTCATTTTGAAATACTGCCCCTCCATGAGGCCAGACGTAGATTCACAAAATGTTGAGGGGTATGCATACTCCTGCGTATCCCCAGAAAAAAAGCACTGCGTTTTTGAACGAATCTTTGGCAACTGTCAACGCCCACCTTTTAATACGAAGGGATGTGGCATAGAACACTTAATCTGGGATGACTCGTGCTGGAGAGCCTGGCAGTTCCAGGAAACAGTCGGTGCCTTGAAACCAAAAGCAAAACATCCTCCCTTTCTCCCTTCTGCTTCAGAGCGGAGCAGACATGGCAAGCGTGCTCCTCACCCGGCAGTTCCTGGACGAAACCTCCTGCCCCATCTGCCTGGACTATTTCACAGACCCGGTGATTCTGGACTGCGGGCACAGTTTCTGCAAAGCCTGCCTCGCCATGTGCTGGAAAGAAACCCAAAGACCGGCATCTTGCCCCCATTGCAGGCAAGAGGCCCAGACAACCAGCTTCAGGCCCAACCGGCAGCTGGCCAACGTCGTCGAAATAGCCAAGCAGTTCACCTCTCAGGCGGAGACAACCAATTGCAAGAGACATGGGGAGCCCTTGGAGTTTTTCTGCAGGGTTTGTCAAGCCCACGTCTGCAACGTCTGCAAGAGGTCGCAAGAGCACAACGAACACGCCATGTTTAATCTGGACCAGATTTCACAGAAGATGAAGGTAGGAAATCTCCTTCAGGCATCAGTTCTCAGAACTGTGTCTTAGGTTGCATGAGCACTCTACCTGGAAAGCCCATTTTCCCCTTCAAAGAATTCTGGGCGTTGTAGTTGGTTCCTGAGAGTTGTAACCCCGCGTGGGGTAAACTATAGCGGCCGGTATTTGAGGAGGGAGATGTGCTTCAGAGGTCTAGCTTTAATCTCCACCGTGCTATGATGTATAGATGGTACCTAACGCCAAGCAAATTAGCCAAAATACACCGTATTTTTCGCTCTATAAGACGCACCAGACCACAAGACGCACCTAGTTTTTGGAGCAGGAAAACAAGAAAAAATATATTCTGAATCTCAGAAGCCAGAACAGCAAGAGGGATCGCTGCCCAGTGAAAGCAGCAATCCCTCTTGCTGTTCTGGCTTCTGGGATAGCTGCGCAGCCTGCATTTGCTCCATAAGACGCACACACCTTTCCCCTTACTTTTTAGGAGGGAAAAAGTGAGTCTTATAGAGCAAAAAATACGGTATATAAATCAACGTCAGATCTTTGTTGGAAATGTAAAGAAGTAGAAGTATTGTATAAATAAAAGTTTGTAGGGAGGTAAAAGAAAATTATATAAGAAATTCCTTCCAGTAGCACCTTAAAGACCAACTAAGTTAGTTCTTGGTATGAGCTTTCGTGTGCATGCACACTTCTTCTGAAGAAGTGTGCATGCACACGAAAGCTCATACCAAGAACTAACTTAGTTGGTCTTTAAGGTGCTACTGGAAGGATTTTTTTTTTTGTTTTGACTATGGCAGACCAACACGGCTACCCATCTGTAACTATATAAGAAATATGTAACTGGGCGGTATAAAGTAATGGATAGATAAAGTACAGTGAGATTAATTGGAAGTCAGTTTTAAATTTATTCTCTATAAGTTTTATAATTGTGTTCAATACCAGGAGTATATACGATGAGAATTATATTAATCTTCTTATATCTTATAGTGTGGTGGTTTGTTTGATCTTTCTGCTATTTGTTTGATTGACTGTATGCTTGTTTACCTGTATATACGTCTGTTTTTTCATAAATGTGTTTATTTTAAATTAATAAAGATACATTTATTTATTTTTTAAAAAGAAGAAGTAGAAGGCTCCTTTTACCACATGTGGTGGACGTGCAAAGTAGCTAAGGACTTTTGGGAGATTGATTTATAATGAGTTGGAAAAGATATTTAAGGTAGCTTTCCCAACAAGACCGGAAGTGTTGTTGTTTATTTGCTAAGGTTAACTGGAGCAGCCTTTTCCATTTGCAGCTTCTGCTTAAAAGGGGGAAGCTGAGTCACCTCCAAAGTGCATACCTGTCCTTTAGCATGAGAAAAGTTGAGCTACGGCAGACTTCACCCCCAAGAATAAGGCTGGGGCAAAAGGTTTAGCGCAGTGATGGCCAGACTTGGCCCTCCAGCTGTTTTGGGACTACAACTCCCAACATCCCTAGCTAACAGGGCCAGTGGTCAGGGATGATGGGAATTGTAGTCCCAAAACAGCTGGAGGGCTGAGTTTGGCCATCACTGGTTAGCGGTTTCCAAAGATGGATTTGTTATCAGCAGGAAGCGGTATAGTTGATTTTGTGGCTTAATTCTATGTTTTTATATTGTGGCTTAATTCTATGTTTTTATATTGTAAAGTGCCCCGTGGTCTTTAAATCTTCAGGCGGAGTGTAGCTTTTAAATTTAATAGCTGTAAGAATTAATTGCCAGCGGATTATGTAGAGCGGAGCCTACTAATAGATCTTTGGTGATGAAAGAAATCGGGAGGAAGGATTCCACTTATAAATGGAATTAATAAACAAGATATTGGCAAGGATTTCTGACTCTTAATTGTTTCACAGTGGCGCCACCTGCACATTTGGAGCACTACGTGTTTAATACAGTGGTGCCTCGCAAGACGAAATTAATTCGTTCGGCGAGTTTTGTCGTCTTGCGATTTCTTTCGTCTTGCGAAGCACGGTGTCGGGAAAGTTTCGGGAAAGCTTCAAAAATCACCAAAGTCTTCAAAAACCTCAAAAAAGGCTACCACACCGCGTTCTATGAGTTGCTCCTCGAAGTCAAGTCGCAACTGTATTAACGGTGTTAAGAAAAAGGAAACAAACTTGCAAGACGTTTCCGTCTTGCGAAGCAAGCTCATAGGGAAAATCGTCTTGCGAAGCAGCTCAAAGAACAAAAAACCCTTTTGTCTAGCGAGTTTTTTGTCTTGCGAGGCATTCGTCTTGCGAGGTACCACTGTACCATTTCAACAGTCATGGCGTCCCCCCAAGAATTCTGGGAGCTGGCGTTCGTAAAAAGTGCTGAGACTCGCTCTTCTCCTCACAGCTACAGTTCTCAAAATTCCCAGGGAAGAGGGATTGGTTGCTAAACTAGGGTTCTCATATTTCAAAAAAGTGAAAATCTGGACACAAAGGTGTTGAGGTGTGGGGTTTTTTGGCAAAATCTCCAAAAATATTTTAAAGGAATTTTCCCCTCAGGCATTTTAGACGTCTGGAATTGTACCTCTGAGAAGCGAATGAGGGGGGTCTCCAAACAGCTCTCAGCACCCTAAGCAAACTACAGCTCCAATAATTTTGGGGGGAGGGGGCGGGAAGCCATGACTGTTTAAAGTGGTATGGCAGTACTTTAAATGGGGATAATGACAACAGCAAAAAGACCCTTTCTTTCTCTCTCTCCACACACCCATCAAACTTCTGAAATGAGGAAGCTTGTGGGGCAAAACTGGGTTCTTGAAAAGTGTGGTAAAAAAAAAAAAAGACTAATAGCATGTACACATACCCCACAAATGAATAAAAATGAATGCTCAATAAAGACTGGACATAAGGCACTTCCAAATGACTTGTTTATTGAGCATTCATTCTGATTTGTTTGCAGGGAGGTTAGACAGCGGAGGCTATTTGATTAGCATTAATTCCGGTTTATTTCTGGGGAAATTCGATGACTTTTATCCCATGCTTTCCAGTGCATTTCCTTGTCACTCTCCTTATTGCAAAAATAAAAATAAATCCAATATTTTGTGGGGGCAATTGTGTCTGGGCATCAAACTGGCTGATTTCTCACAGGTCAAAAAGCCTCATTTTGTTTTCCACAGCAAGGAATCCAGACTGAGGTGCAGCTTCTGGTGCAAGAGAGACAAGTGGTTAGGGAATGGAAACTGGCTGAAGAAGAGAGGATCAAGGCATTTCCGGTAGGTCTTTGCTGTTATAGTTCCCACATTGTGGATGAGTCCTGGCTGGCCAAGAGTTCTGTCATCCTGGATATGTATGCCGGCAGATGTATCAGGCTGTGTTCACGTTTGTTTGTTTTTAATGATTTTTATTAAGTTTCTAGGGACGCGGGTGGCGCTGTGGGTTAAACCACAGAGCCTAGGACTTGCCGATCAGAAGGTCGGCGGTTCGAATCCCCGTGACGGGGTGAGCTCCCATTGCCCGGTCCCTGCTCCTGCCAACCTAGCAGTTCGAAAGCACATCAAAGTGCAAGTAGATAAATAGGTACCACTCCGGTGGGAAGGTAAACGGCGTTTCCATGCGCTGCTCTGGTTCGCCAGAAGCGGCTTAGTCATGCTGGCCACATGACCCGGAAGCTGTACGCCGGCTTCCCTCGGCCAATAAAGCGAGATGAGCGCCACAACCCCAGAGTCGGTCACGACTGGACCTAATGGTCAGGGTCCCTTTACCTTTACTATTAAGTTTCTAGCAAATATAACACCTATTACAAGAGAAACTGAAGAGACAAAATTAATAATATAAACAAAAAAGATAATAAGAAAAATAAAAACACATATTAAAAACACACCCATACCACACCAATTAATTGACCGTTTAAACTTCTAGCGTCACTAACATCATTTCGACTCCCTCTGAGCCCTCCCTTCTGAATTTCCTTGTATTTAAATGTAACAGTTTTCCAGTATCATTATTAAAACACAATATTCCAATTAAATTCTAATTTGTTAACTTTTCTTAAAGTTCAGATTTTACAACTCTGTTATTTTACAACTCTTACTCCCTAATTTCTTAGTTTCTAATTTTTCTTTCTTAGTTTCTAATTTTTAATATTACAATATTTGTTCAAATAGTCTCTAAATTTCTTCCACTCTTCTTGATGTTCCTCTCCTTTCTGGTCGCGGATTCTTCCAGTAAGGTCAGCCAGCTCCATATATTCCATCATTTTCATCTGCCATTCTTCCACAGTTGGTAATTCTTGTGTTTTCCATTTCTGAGCTATAAGAATTCGAGCAGCGGTTGTGGCATACAAAAATAACTTTACATCTTTATTGGGCATTTCAGAACCTATTATCCCAAGGAGAAAGGCCTCTGGTTGTGTTCACGTTTCTGCCTTAGAGCTCAGTAAAGTTGCTGTGCATCCCCCGTCAGGGAAAAAACAACACATCTGTGCTGGGTGCCCATTTGCAACTGGCTCAGTGTGCTCCTGTGTTAATACGAAGAGCCCTGAACATCTTGCGTCCAGGATACCTTAAAGCAGGGCCGGCCTAGGACATTTTGCCAGCCCTGCCACCAAGACCACCTGAGCCCTTCTAATCAAAGACGGGGATAACATGAGGGAGCAATGTTATGGCAGGCAGCCTTTGCAGGGCTGGATTAAGACCTTTGGAGTCGCTTAAAAAAATTTGGTGCTCCCATATATATCTAATTCAAAATATAAACACGTAAACCTTGGTGAACCGAATGGCCATTTTTACCAGTTACCTGATTCTAATTTTGTTGCATTCCCAAGATTAACGTATATCATTAATCTCTAATATTGCTATTTATCTATTTATTTAGTGTATTGTGTGTACAGTGGTACCTCAGAAGTTGAACAGAATCCGTTCTGGAAGTCCATTCGACTTCCAAAACATTCGGGAACCAAGGCGCGGCTTCCGATTGGCTGCAGCGGAAGCTGCGTCAGACGTTCGGGTTCCAAAGAACGTTCGCAAAGCGGAACAGTCACTTCCAGTTTTGCGGCGTTCGGCAGCCAAAGCGTTCGACTCGCAATGCGTTCGGTAGCCGAGGTACGACTGTATGTAAAAAATTTTCATTTATTGTGAGAGCCTTTCCCTCCAGCTTGTACCATAAGCTCCATGGTAAATCTAGCAACGGAAAAAATTCTGCGGTGTCCCCCTTCCAAAGTCAGTACAGTGGTACCTCGAGTTAAATACGCTTCAGGTTACAGACGCTTCAGGTTACAGACTCCGCTAACCCAGAAATAGTACCTCGGGTTAAGAACTTTGCTTCAGGATGAGAACAGAAATCGTGCTCCAGCAGCAGTGGGAGGCCCCATTAGCTAAAGTGGTGCTTCAGGTTAAGAACAGTTTCAGGCTAAGAATGGACCTCCAGAACGAATTAAGTACTTAACCCGAGGTACCACTGTACCACAAACAAAAAAAAGGTTCATTCTTAAGAATCCTGTGGAAATTTACTGCACTGCGGTACGTTAAAGACAGCATTATGTGTAGAATTCTTTTGCAGTATCCGTCGCAGGCCTGTAGCTATGCTCCCTTGAACGGCACTCAGCTTCCACCTCTACTCCCTCCCCAATTTCTATTTCCCCTTCAGGCGCAGCTAGAGGAGGAGAAGAACAAGATCTCGGGCGCTTTTGAGCAAATGCACAACTTCCTGCACGAGCTGCAGCGCTTTTGGCTGAATGAGCTGGAGGATCTGGAGAAAGAGATGAAGGAAAAAAAGGAAAGTAATATCGTCAAGCTCTCACAGGATATCGCCTTTCTCAGTAGCCACATCACAGACATGGAAAAGAAGCGCCAACTGCCACCTGTTGGGTTCCTGCAGGTGAGACAGTGAAACACAAAGCAGCTCCCTGATCCTGGGAGTACGGGTCCCTGGTGAAATATACTCAGATCGAGAGTGGATGTTCATGCTCTTTATTCAGCTCAATAGTGGTGAGGAGGAATGAAAGTTTTCCCCAAAGTATCTGCTTTATATACATTATTTACACAAATGGGCTTGCACGTGAATTGGCCTAATTCCGGGATTCTTCTGTAGGCCAATCGGTTGTGGATTCCACTTCCATCTGGAGCGGATTGGTGGTTCCTGCAGACCAATCATACTGACTGCATGTTCTAGGACCAATCAGACTGCTGCATTCTCGAAATCTTATTGTCTAGGACCAATCAGAACTGCGCATTTGCATCCTATTGTCCTAGGACCAATCAGACTGCTGCATTGGAATCCTATTCACACTCAGTTAAGATAACCACCTGGGGGGCACTTGGGCTCTGTACAAACTTAATTATCCATTGTTGCAACAAAGGAAGTAGCTTTTCTTAGCGTCACCTGGCTATTCACAGTTTCAGCCTGTTGTTCTAAACCTTATCCCCTGATACACATTTGAAGATTCTCTGGATTAGATTTCTCCTGACTTTTCCTTCCTGCCCCATATCCCAGGTGAACAAAGAAGGAATTGGGGGTTGAAATCTTGGCGTACACCCAGCCACAGTGACATTGGGCAGGTCCCAGCCCCCATTGCTGGGGCTGCCTCCGTCCATTTTCAAATGGAGGGGGGCGGATAACGCAGAATTGATCTGCGTTAAGCTTTATTTTGAGAACGAAACTGATGTGTGAAAAAGCGCTTTTCCCAGGGCACCAAAATGTGTAATAGGTCCAGGTTGTGTATGGACTACTTGATAGAAGAAAATACAGTCTCTGTGTCCATTGAATGTATAATGTTTCCATGGCTTCCGTCACGGTGTCCCGTTGCACCAGAAGCGGTTTAGTCATGCTGGCCACATGACCCAGAAAGCTGTCTGAGGACAAACGCCGGCTCCCTCAGCCTGAAAGCGAGATGAGCACCGCAACCCCATAGTCGCCTTTGACTGGACTTAACCGTCCTGGGGTCCTTTGTGGTTGTTTAGTTGTTTAGTCGTGTACGACTCTTCGTGACCCCCATGGACCAAAGCACGCCAGGCACTCCTGTCTTCCATTGCCTCCCGCAGTTTGGTCAAACTCATGCTGGTAGCTTCGAGAACACTGCCCATCCATCTCGTCCTCTGTCGTCCCCTTCTCCTTGCGCCCTCCATCTTTCCCAACATCAGGGTCTTTTCCAGGGAGTCTTCTCTTCTCATGAGGTGGCCAAAGTATTGGAGCCTCAGCTTCAGGATCTGTCCTTCCAGTGAGCACTCAGGGCTGATTTCCTTCAGAATGGATAGGTTTGATCTTCTTGCAGTCCATGGGACTCTCAAGGGTCTCCTCCAGCACCATAATTCTAAAGCATCAAGGTAAAGGGTAAAGGTAAAGGTAAAGGGGTCCTTTACCTTTTTATAATATTGTGTGCATGGAGCCTGCCAAGAAAAGTAATATCCAATACAGTCATACCTCGAGTTGAATGTGCTTTGGGTCGAGCACGTTCGAGTTGCACTCCGCGGCAACCCGGAAGTAACGGAGCGCGTTACTTCTGGGTTTCACTGCTCGTGCATGCGCAGACGCTCAAAATGACGTCACGCGCATGCGCATGCACAGACGCCCCGTTGCATCTTACGTTCCGTTTGGGATGCGAATGGGGCTCCGGAACGGATCCCGTTCGCATCCCGAGCTACCACTGTAGAGCAAAATGGCCCTGTTTGTGTTCTGCCTGTGCAGCTGAGACCCATTTCTCTCATTCTGTCTTTCAGGGCCTTGGGACTTGGGTGATCAGGTACGTGGCTCTTTCTCAATCTCCTTCCGATCCTTTTCCAGTGGCCGGTCGCCCACATTGGGTGCTGTTGTTGCTGCTGCTGCTGTTTAAACCATCTCTTAAGCTGACCCACCTTCCTTACAGGTTTGTTCAGTGGAAAAGAAGGCGGACAGTGCTGGGAATCTCTACAGGCATAGAAGAGAGACTCATAAGTTACACTCAGAAAAATTCGTTTCTGAAGGATACCCTGGAGAAATGCAAAGGTATTCTTTGGGGTCGGGGGGGGGTCAGTTCATGGAATGAGGAAGGACGCTCTTTGTCAGGCAGTTCCGCAGCTCTGTTGGTTGCTGCGAAAGTCAGAATTTTGCTAAAGAGGAGCTGACTCTTACCTGGAATGATCCAGCGGGTCTCGAATCACATTTCCCTCATTCCATCCACTTCCTAGAATTCCTTTGATGCAACTGTCCTCCTTGCCTGTGCACACACTTAGCCATTTGTAGCACAAAAATGTGATTAATCTCAGTCTGGAATTTTTCCCTGCTCGTCCTCAACATGCTGTTTTCAACCTAGGTGGATTCTAGATCCTGCCATCCCTAATGGGGCGTGTGGTTACCCTATAGGTGTTTGAAAACCCTTCCCTTCAATAGGTTATCCATGCCTTTCCCTCCCTGAACATGCCCCAGGTGAGCGAAGAAGCAAGGAAGGGGTGTTTGTGATCTTGGTACATACATGGCAAGGTCACGCAGAATCCATCTGCGATTATATTTTTCCTCCACATACCAGGGATACTCTGAAAAGGAGAGGGGATGAGAAAACCTGGGATTGAGGAAGGCGAAAGTGTGGGGAGGTGCTGATTTAGAGGGGACCCATCATATGGGTAACAGAGAATTGACGGAACCTTACGGCCCACATTAAACAACAGTATGGAGGAGCCCTTAGCTGAGAAGAAGATGGAGAGAAAACTAGAAATAGTTTTCTTTGCTTGTCATTGACTCTGGCGCCATCTAAAGTTTGCCTTTATGCCTGCCTACCCCCCATTCCCAATGGCAGCCATTCCACTGCTGATCTATGAGCAGAACGTGTGCCAATTTTATTCACAGTTGTTGTTTATCTTTTTAGGCGATGCATATCCTTGTTTTCCGTCCGTGAGTAATTGGCCACCTGACCCATCTTCCGTCCCCCCAATTATATCCACGATAGGCCTCATTAACCAAGAATTTAGTATGAGGGTGGGGCTTGGGGGGCAGGGACGGTTAACAAATGATATACTTGATGGACTTTTGACCACGTTTTTTAATTAGTCCCTCTTTCTTCTGTGTAACAGGGCTGCTGATGCAGGCACCGAACAAAGGTAAACTATCTGTAAGGAATGGAAGAAAAGAAAATGTTCACCAGTGACAAACCCTCGTTCAAGTATTTCAACTGGTTGCCTTCATTTTTCTTTTATTTAGTTTGTTAAATTTATATACCCAATCTTCATCAGAAGATCTCAGGGCCTTAGGCGGGTGGCTAGTTGCAACCCTCTTCTGGAAAAGTCAATTTATTTCCTTTCATATGAACAGAAATTGGGCACATCAATAAGAGGACAACTAAGATGCTCGATGGCAGGGATTCCACATGTGGTATAGTCAGTGCCTGCTTAATCCAGAATGGGGCAGCTAGACTGGTGACTAGGAGCAGCTGCCGAGACCATATAACACCAGTCCTGAAAGACCTACATTGGCTCCCAGTACTTTTCTGAGCACAATTCAAAGTGTTGGCCTTTAAAGCCCTAAACGGCCTTGGCCCAGTATACCTGAAGGAGCATCTCCACCCCCATCGTCCAGCCCAGACACAGAGGTCCAGCTCTGAGGGGCTTCTGGCGGTTCCTTAACTGAGAGAAGTGAGGTTACAGGTGACCAGGCAGAGGGCCTTCTCGGTGGTGGCACCCGCCCTGTGGAACGCCCTCCCCTCAGATGTCAAGGAAATAAACAACTACCAGACTTTTAGAAGACATCTGAAGGCAGCCCTGTTTAGGGAAGTTTTTAATGTTTGATGTTTTGTTGTGCTTTTAGCATTCTGTTGGGAGCTGCCCAGAGTGGCTGGGGAAGCCCAGCTGGATGGGCAGGGTATTAATAATAATAATAATAATAATAATAATAATAATAATAATAATAATATTATTATTATTATTATTATTATTATTATTATTATTATTATTATTTAGGAATGTGGGACTTCCAAAATATCCATATGTGAGTGGGGGTCCACAGTGCCTCTCTGTCCTCAACCTGCCTGTAATTGAAGGAGTGGTCCTTTCCACTCTTTGCTGGGCCCCAGAAACAGGCCTGGAGTGTTTTCGAGTCTCTCTCCAGTAGTGAGACTGAGCCTTCACCTGGCATCATCAACCACCCAACCTCCTTTGTCATATCCTCCTCCTCCTCCTCTTCTTCTTCTTCTTCTTCTTCTTCTTCTTCTTCTTCTTCTTCTTCACAGTGAGCATCACTCTGGATCCAGGAACCGCCCACCCCTTTCTTGTTGTAACCGAGGACCTGAAGAGTTTGAGGAGAAGAAGGGAAATGCAGGACGTTCAGGACAACCCTGGGAGATTCGACAGCATGCTCTACGTGCTGGCCCATGCAAAATTCACCTCAGGAAGATATTGGTGGGAGGTGGTGGTGGAAGAGGAGAAGGAGGAAAGGGAACGGGCCAACTGGGCTGTAGGGGTTGCAAAAGAGTCTGTCAGGCGCAAAGGCTTTGTCCGCATGAGTCCTTCCGAGGGGATCTGGGCCATTGGGAAGGGAAAGGATGAGTTAGCCTCATCTGATCCCTTCTGGGCTTCAACCCTCCCTGAGCGGACCCCTTTGAGCTTGAGCTATGAGCCCAGGAAGATCCGGGTGTCCCTAGACTATGATCAGGGCTGTGTGGAATTCTATAATGCCCACACCGACGACTTGATTTTCAATTTCCAACAAGCCTCATTCTCTGGGGAGAAGGTCCAGCCCTTTTTCCATGTTTGGTGGGGAGCTGGTCTGAATTGTTGAGTCCTGAGGACGATCCTCACCGCTCCCTGCTCTACCCCCCCCCACCCTGAGAGGAGGTGACAGCCTAGCATTTTCTCTGCAGTGTTATGAATTTGTGGGTGCCAGACACCCTAAATTTCTGGATCCAGTAAACGTTAGAATTTAATCTGTGTGTGGTGTGCTAGAACTGGATGCCAGACAGTAGGTTTAGCAAGCATTAAAATATAAGCCAGGCCAGCTTCCCCATGTCAGGAAGTGCCTGGGAGATGAGCCATGACACCCACACCAGCTCTACCACCCCCACACTGAGAGGAGGTGACAGCCTAGCATTTTCTCTTCAGTGTTATGAATTTGTGGGTGCCAGACACCCTAAATTTCTGGATCCAGTAAATGTTAGAATTTAATCTGTGTGTGGAGTGTCAGAAGTGGATGCCAGACAGTAGGTTTAGCAAGCATTAAAATATAAGCCAAGCCAGCTCCCCCGTGTCAGGAAGTGCCTGGGAGACGAGCCATAGCTCCCACAACATTATTTTTCCACTTTATTTTGTACAACTTTATTTTGTGCAACTGAAAAACTTTAAAATGTTAATAATAATAAAAACTACATTGTGGAAGGAAGAAAAGAAGGAAGGAATGGGCCATTAAGAAAAGTCAAGGAGAATGGGATTCTGGACCAGATAGCTGTTGGGTGGGGCCCCTCCTGCAGTTCTGAGTTGGTTCAGAAAACAAAGCAGAGTTTGAAAGGAGAGTCTTTAGAATTGGTGACCTAGGGGGAAGAGGTTGCAGTCTGGTAAAGGCGGCAAGCTGGGGAGAGGGTCAGAGCACAACGGTTGATGTTATTTTCAATGGAAGAGTTTGTTTTTTGATAAATAAAAAAATGGAAAAAAAACCTACAAACTTTTGCAATCCTATTTCATGTTCTTCACACACACATTCCTATGAGGTCAATAAAGGTAAAGGGACCCCTGACCATTAGGTCCAGTTGTGGCCGACTCTGGGATTGCGGCTTCTGGCGAATCAGAGCAGCGCACGGAAACACCATTTACCTTCCCGCTGGAGCGGTACCTAGTTATCTACTTGCACTTTGAAGTGCTTTCAAACTGCTAGGTTGGCAGGAGCAGGGACTGAGCAACAGGCGCTCACCCCGTCGCGGGGATTCAAACCGCCAACCTTCTGATCGGCAAGTCCTAGGCTCTGTGGTTTAACCCAAAGCGTTGCTTTCGCTGAAGCCACCTGAAGCCCCCGGAGTGCAGGGAACTCCCGCTGCGCTCCGGGGGCTTCAGGCAGCTATCCGCAAGCCTTCGGAGCGCAGCAGGCGTTCCCGCCGTGCTCCGAAGGCTTGCGGATGGACGCCTGAAGCCTGGAGAGCGAGAGGGGTCAGTGCACACTGATCTCTCTTGCTCTCCAGGCTTCGCTTCATTGGAGAGACGCTGCAAAGTTTTCCCTCTCTGCGCAGCGCCCCTTCAGCGAAGCGGGAGGAAAAAATGGAAGGGGCTCCATTTCTCCTGCCGTTTCGCTGAAGGGGCGCTGCGCAGAGAGGGGGAGAATCCCCCCCCCCCGTTCTCCCCCTCCTATGGTCCGGTGCGTCCTATAGAGCAAAAAAAATGGTATATCCTGCCTTTCCTGCAAAAGGAGCCCTGGCCAACTTAGGCAGAAGGCAGCATTCTTTGGAGATGCCTGGGACCCCATCCTGACCTCTTTCACTAGAACTTTCTTAGGTCCAAGCTTGAGAGTCTCCATGGCCCCACCAAGAATCCTGGGAACTATAGTTTCCCCCCTGGAAAAGGACGCCATTTGTGGGATCCTCAACAAACTACAGTCCCCAGTATTCTTTTTTGGGGGAGAAAGATGTGCATTGAATATGCTATAATTGTATAGCACGGATCCACCCTAAAAGCTTTTATTCATGCTAATCAATAAAATTGGAAATAGAACTAGCGTGGCTTTCTGACCAGAGATGTTATATTGTAGGAACCATTAATGCCTCCATGTTCTGGTTGCCACAAGATCCCTTTGCGGCCATCGCTCATCCACAAGCCTAGGGGCCGAGGTCCTTTCACACACACCCCAATAAAATATTTGAGGTGGCTGCCCCCCCAGTTGATGGCCGTTGCTATTCAAATGGTGTTCGTGCACCCCGTCATGTGATCAGTTATGCGAGGTGACGCTTACCTGGGCTCCCCATATTTTATTCAACTTGGCACCCCTGTCGCCAAGGGCATAATGGGGGGCAACTCCCATCTCTTGCGGGGGCCCAATTAGTGCCAGCACCATCCGTAAGAGTTTGGGTGTAATCTTTGACACCTCCCTTTCCATGGAGGTGCAGATTGCAGCTATAACAAAGGCGGCATTTTTTCATCTCTGCCAAGCTAAGCAGTTGGCTCCTTATCTCTCTCACCCTGACCTAGCCACTGTGATCCATGCGACGGTCACCTCCAGACTGGATTATTGTAACTCGCTCTAGGTGGGGCTGCCCTTGAGACTGACCCAGAAACTCCAGCGGGTGCAGAATGCCGCGGCGAGACTCCTTACGGGGTCCTCGCTGCGAGATCACATTCACCCGGTGCTATACCAGCTGCACTGTCTCCCGGTGGAGTACAGAATGAGGTTTAAGGTGCTGGTTTTAACCTTTAAAGCCCTATACAGCCTAGGACCCTCGTACCTACGGGACTGCCTCTCCTGGTATGTCCCACAGAGGAACTTACGGTCTTCAAACAAAAACATCCTGAAGGTCCCAGGCCACAGAGAGGTTAGGCTGGCCTCAACCAGAGCCAGGGCTTTTTCGGCTGTGACTCCGATCTGGTGGATTGCTCTGCCACAAGAAATTAGGGCCCTGCGGGACTTGACATCTTTCCGCAGGGCCTGCAAGACAGAGCTGTTCCACCAGGCCTTTGGCCAGGGCACAGCCTGACTCCCTCCTTTGGCAATCCACACAGAACCCTAGCCCAATTGGTTGCCGTTAATCTGATTTGAATTAATTTTATAATGAAATGATTTTAGAATGTGTATCATTTTATTGTTGTTAGCCGCTCTGAGCCCGGCTTCAGCTGGGGAGGGCGGGATATAAATAATTTTTATTATTATTATTATTTATTAAATGTGCTTCCTCACACCACTGAGGCTGGGTTAGGTGAAAGGTGTGCACCTGTTCTGTTGACCTGTATCCGAGATAGATAAGGGACCTCCAGAATTTGATTCAGTCATGTACTATCAAATTCAGATTGCACCATTGAAGTTGTTTTGGCGCTGTTGTGGATTAAACCCGCTTCCCCTCCAAAATCAGTCTGATGAGGGCTTGGGGAAAAGCACTGGGAGGTGTCAGATAACACTTGCTTTGACGCAACATCATTTAACTTCCCTGAAATCAAATCAGGATGTTCCATAAACAGCCGGCGTCCCTGTAAGCGTTCTCAAAACAAATCAGACATGTTCTCCGGAAGCTGATAGCTGAATAGATATCACTGGGCAAATTTCATCAAGGCTGCCAACTCTGGAAATTAATTTCTGACCAACCGGAGGCAACAGGGACAATTCCGCTCAGGGTCAGCCCAAGACATTTTGCTACCCGACAGAGAAGAGCAAATCACACACGCACACACACCAAGTTATTTTGGAATCCCATAAGGACCTCTTCCTTTCCCCAGCTGAAAAAAACCACAGCTGTAATAAATAAAACAATTTGAGGCCCTTTCATGATGCCAAAATTCATGTCACCTGAGGCAGCCCTATAGGTGGGGCTGGCTCATTGTAGGGCTCTGTCTCTGCATTTTGATGGGGTGTGGGGGGTGGGATACAGATATTCCTCAAACAGGGGAGCTTGTACAGTGGTACCTCAGGTTACATACGCTTCAGGTTACATACACTTCCGGTTACAGACTCCGCTAACCCAGAAATAGTACCTCATGGTAAGAACTTTGCTTCAGGATGAGAACAGAAATCGTGCTCTGGTGGCGTGGCAGCAGCGAGAGGCCCCATTAGCTAAAGTGGTGCTTCGGGTTAAGAACAGTTTCAGGTTAGGAACGGACCTCCAGAACGAATTAAGTACTTAACCCGAGGTACCACTGTATTGCTGGTGCTAGTCTCAGCAAGTAAGCTCTCCTAGTGACCAGTTTGTTGCATTTGATTTTTGTGACTGCTGGCGTGTAAGCATGGTTTTTCCTACCTTTAGCCCAGTCAAGGTAAAAGTGAGAACAGAATCCCCAAACCTTTTAAAAGCTTGGTAAGTTGACTGCTTTTGCCAGATAGCGGGTGCATTAATGGTGTATAGTTATATCCCTAAGATGCTGAAGAAACCCTGGCCTTTTGGGTTGAGGCATAAGCTTTCATGGAATAGAGTCTACTTCATAAGGTGCATGAAGCGGTGTGTGTGTTGTGCTAAGTGCTTACTTTGGTGCTACTTTTGGATGTGAAATTATTGGTGAGCTTTAAATGTTGATATATGTCAAACGACTTGCTTTCTGTAGGGCTGTGGCAATATACAGTGGTACCTCTGGTTACGAACGTAATATGTTCTGGAGGTCCGTTCTTAACCTGAAATCGTTCTTAACCTGAGGTACCACTTTAGCTAATGGGGCCTCCCGCTGCCACCACGCGATTTCTGTTCTCATCCTGAGGTAAAGTTCTTAACCCGAGGTGCTACTTCTGGGTTAGCGGAGTCTGTAATCCGAAGTGTTTGTAACCCGTGGTGTTTGTAACCCGAGGTACCACTGTACAGTGGTACCTCGGGTTACATATGCTTCAGGTTACATATGCTTCAGGTTACAGACTCCACTAACCCAGAAATGTTACCTCGGGTTAAGAACTTTACCTCAGGATGAGAACAGAAATCATGCTCCGGAGGCACAGCGGCAGCAGGAGGCCCCATTAGCTAAAGTGGTGCTTCAGGTTAAGAACAGTTTCACGTGCTCCGGTGGCGTGGCGACAGCAGGAGGCCCCATTAGTGGTGCTTCAGGTTAAGAACAGCTTCGGGTTAAGAACGGACCTCCGGAACGAATTAAGTACTTAACCCGAGGTACCACTGTATCTTTCATTGCTATTGTATTACTGTATTTGGGTTGCACTCGGCCAATTTTTACTCGGAGTAAGACCCATTGCAATTAATCGCCATGGCTTGGTTCCCTTCGTTTCCATGAGTGTATTCTGAGAAGAAGTTGGTGGACTACAGCCCGTTGTTTTAATGTGAACTGCTTTAGACCGCTCCTCTTCATGTGAACCGGGTATTATCTGTAGGAAATAAAATACATTAGGGGCCGAACCTCTGTTTGCTCTGTTCACCAACCCCTTGGCAATCCACCTGCTGCATCAAACAGCACCGCAGCCATGATGGGGCTCAACTGGACGACAGTCATGGGAAAACTCAACTGTCTGCTGCTTTGGTGCACGTTTGCTGGCTCTCAGGAACAAGGTGGATGATCGTTAAGATTAAAGACAACAACATACCCTCAGCATAAACAGGATGTTCTTTGCCTCTTGAGAAAACATGAAGAAAATAATAACACAACAAAGCGTATGGAATTGCCGCGCCACCAGAGCACGATTTCAATTCTCATCCTGAAGCAAATTTCTTAACCTGAGGTACTATTTCTGGGTTAGCGAAGGCTGTAACCTGAAGCGTCTGTAAGCTGAAGCATATTTAACCCAAGGTACCACTGTACACAACCTTTAGAAGACATTTGAAGGTGGCCCTGTATGGGGAAGTTTTTAATGTTTGATGTTCTATTATGTTTTTATATGTGTTTGAAGCCGCCACTGTCTCTTACCCTAACCTACATCACAGGGTGAGGATGAAATGGGGAGAAGGAAAATCCTGTACGCCAACTTGAGGTTATAGCTGTCAACGTTTCCCCTTTTTAAAGGGAAATTCCCTTATTCCGAATAGGATTCCTCGCAAGAAAAGGGAAACATTGACAGCTATGCTTGAGCTCCTTGAAAGATGTAAAGTGGTAAAGGTAAAAGGACCCCTGACCGTTAGGTCCAGTCGTGACCGACTTTGGGGTTGTGGCGCTTATCTCGCTTTACTGGCCGAGGGAGCCGGCGTTTGTCCGCAGACACCTTCCAGGTCATGTGGCCAGCATGACTAAGCTACTTCTCGCAAACCAGAGCAGCACACGGAAACGCCGTTTACCTTCCTGCCAGAGCAGTACCTATTTATCTACTTGCACTTTGACGTGCTTTCAAACTGCTAGGTTGGCAGGAGCAGGGACTGAGCAACGGGAGCTCACCCTGTCGCGGAGATTCGAACCGCCGACCTTCTGATCGGCAAGCCCTAGGCTCTGTGGTTCAACCCACAGCGCCACCCGCGTCCCGTAAAGTGGTATATAAATGTAATAAATAAAGAAGTAAAATAAGGCATTCAAGCCATACACCAAAGTTAGATTGTTCCACAAAATGGGCCACCCATGAAAAAAAAGAAACTTGCGCTTCTTTTGACATGCACTGGCCAAGATCGGCTATACTACGAAGGGCTGCCTGCGGCCAAAGAGGAAGGCAACCACAGAATCGGGACCCCCAGAGTCATCTAGTCCAACCCCCCTGCTATGCAGGCCTCCAACCTAAAAAGGAGGTGCGTGGCTGTAGGAGCTCTGCTGCCCCCCAGCGCCCAAACCCGGAGTAGCATGCTTTCAGTAACGATACGCGCACACAGCCCAGTGCACCTCCCAGGAAGTAGCAATCCGAAAGCAAAGCTCCACGGATCCACCCACTTCCGCTGACTTTCCGCAGCGGGCGGAGAAAGCCGTGGGAATCCGCGGTGTCCCCCCTGCCCCCGCGCCTCGCTCCAGGATTGGACGAGGGGGCTTCCTGGAACGTTCCTGAGCCGCGCCAGGTCCAATCAGAGGAGCCGTTCCGCGCCACCACCCCCTGCGACTCGAGCCGCCTTTTGTTTTGGGCTCCGCTTTGCAGGCGCGGCTCCTCCTCGTTGCTTCTTCTCTGCAAGGTGTTTGGTGAAAAATCCGTCGGTGTTTTTCTTGGGGGGGGGGGTGCAATGGTTTCCGCGTGGACTCCCACCTCGTAAGCTGTTGCTGCCAAGCGGGGAGGCAGGCGGCGGGTGCCCCTCTGCGCTGAATCGGGAGGCATTTTAGGGTGGGGTGGGGCAGATGCAGGGCCGGATTGAGCTCTGATGAGGCCCTAAGCAGCCTTTCTCAACCTGTGGGTCTCCCCAGATGTTGTTGGACTACAACTCCCATCGCCCCTAGCTAGCAAAGCTCAGGGATGATGGGAGTTGTACTCCAACAACATCTGGGGACCCACAAGTTGAGAACCGCTGCAAGGTAATGGGCCCTTTATATGTCCAGCTGTCCTTTGTCAGCAACAAATTGGCGCTGTTTTGATGTGTTGAATATATGCTATATGGTAATTTATGGACCTAATAGGTATCTAAAGCTATTTGCACATAAGAAAATACAGTCGTAAAGGTAAAGAGGGACCCCTGACCATTAGGTCCAGTTGTGGCCGACTCTGGGGTTGCGGCACTCATCTCGCTTTATTGGCCGGAAGTACAGCTTCTGGGTCATGTGGCCAGCATGACTAAGCCGCTTCTGGCGAACCAGATCAGCGCAAGGAAATGCCATTTACCTTCCCACTGGAGCGGTACCTATTTATCTACTTGCACTTTGACGTGCTTTCGAACTGCTAGGTGGGCAGGAGCAGGGACCGGGCAACGGGAGCTCACCCCGTCGCGGGGATTCGAACCGCTGACCTTCTAAAACTTAAGTAGGTAAAGAAATATGGGGAAAGCAAAGTGTCACTTAGGGGAGGACCTTGAAACTTGAATTTGTTTTATCCTGCATGGTTTTATTTGATGCTTTTATATGTTGTAAACTGCTTGGAGGTTTTCCCCCCCTTTAAAACATAATGTGGCATAGGAACAAGATGAATAATAAAAAATAAATTTCATTTTTAAAAAGGTGCTTAGACATTAGGTTCTGGTGACCGCAACCTAGGCTTAATTTGGCAATTAGCTTATAGGTTAGATGTTTCTAACGCTTGTCCCGAGGGTTTCAGACAGGAGAACTCTCCCAGCCCTGCCAGGACATGCCAGAGACTGAACCTGGAACCTACCTGAGAGTTATTGTAATAATAATAATAATAATAATAATAATAATAATAATAATAATAATAAAAAAAATTACTAATACCCCGCCCATCTGGCCGGGCCTCCCCAGCCACTCTGGGCGGCTCCCAACAGAATATAAAAAACACTATAAAATATCAAACATTTAAAACTTCCCTAAGCAGGGCAGCCTTCAGATGTCTTCTAAAAGTCAGATAGTTGTTTATTTCCTTGACATCTGATGTTACAGCCCTTTTCCATTTCCATTTTCCATCTGATGTTACAGCCCTTTTCCACAGCGATACTGTAGTACAGTGGTACCTCGGGTTAAGTACTTAATTCGTTCAGGAGGTCCATTCATAACCTGAAACTGTTCTTAACCTGAAGCACCACTTTAGCTAATGGGGCCTCCTGCTGCCACCGTGCCGCCGGAGCACAATTTCTGTTCTCATCCTGAAGCAAAGTTCTTAACCTGAAGCACTATTTCTGGGTTAACGCAGTCTGTAACCTGAAGCGTATGTAACCTGAAGCGTATGTAACCTAAGGTACCACAGTAGTGGTTTTCCTGTATTGATAGGTGATAGAGCTAGATTAACTTTTTTGAGGTCTCTTTAGTTTGGTTAGCTTTTAAGGTTCTGTCGGTTGTAGCTTATGCATTCTCTGCGTGCGTTTCGAAACTCTCTTTATTTTCCTCCCCGTCGATGTTGGAATGAAGTGATATGGCTTTAGTAGAAATGTTATAAGGAATTAAGTATAAATAGATTAATAGAGTATTAAAGGAAAAATAAGGTTAAAATGTGTTAAGATAATCATAGGATAGAAAACAGGGGAAGATGGAAAGGAATTGCTGAAATAATTAATAGAAGTGGAATACAAAAAGGGAGGTGTGAGGAGGTCGTGGAAATATGTGAAAGAAAGATAAGATATTGATTTTCCCCCCCTCTTTTTTTTGATGTGTTTTTAATTTGTTTTTGTCTTGTCTTGTTAGTTTAATGTTTTAGTGTTATGTAGTGTTTTCGTATTGTAATGTACTTGTCAGGGGCTCAGGAGCAGAGGCACAGGGGAGAGAGGAAATGGAGAGCGAAGGGGAAGAATCTGAGGGCAGCGTAGGGGAGTATGAGACTGGCCCGAGAGATTCCATGAGTCTCTCCAGCGAATCAGAAGATTCCCAGAGGGGGGCGCCGATGGCCAGAGCAAGGGGGGGTCCCAGGGGCCAGCGGGAAATCCCAAAGCAGGAGCGGGAGAGCAGGACCAGCTCCTCCACCAGAGCGTAGTGAGGGAGAAGAGTCACATGTATCAGGGAGAGAAGATGAGTCAGGGGTGGCCACGCCCCATCGCAGAGTGAGGGAACGGAGGGAGAGTCAGGTGCAGCTAGCCTCCCCGATGGGGGAAGCAGTGACAGGAGCAGTGTAACGGTCAGGAGGAAGGTGGCCGGCTGGGCGCGTGCGCCAAGTTCGAATGTACAGGCGCGCGGCACAGCAGGAAACCAGGATTGGGAACCAGGTCCTAAAGCCCGCCGGAGGGAGGGGGAGGACTCAGGAGACTCAGCGTCAGAAGAGTCTAGGAGAGGCGAGACCCCAGCGGACAGGCGGGCCCAGAGGAGAAGAGAGCAGAGGAAGAGGTGGAGCAAGGCTAGAGTCTTAAACTGGTGTCTGGGGGGAGGAGATTCAGACGGAGCTTCAGCGGTCTAGAGTTTGAGACGTAGAGCTGCGCGCCGTGGTTGTAAAAGCAAAACTGAGCTTCAATAAAGACTGTTTTATATAACAACGAACTGGCGTTGGTCCTTTGTGAGCTGGGACCTAGGGCAGCTCTGACAGTACTGTTTTTTCTTTGTGTTTTTTTTTTGTAGTGTTGAAATTGTTGCAAAAGTAATAAATATTATTATATATATATATATATATATTTTCCTCCCCGTCGTTTCGATAGATGACTGGCAACAGCAGCGCGGGAACCAGCAACGGCCGCAAGGGCCGTGGCGTTTCGTGGCGGCTCCAGGAAACCTTGAATCTCCTGGACATCTGGGGAGAGCAGAAAATCCAAGACCAGCTCCGCAACAGCCACCAGAACATAGACTTTTTCGAATACATCGCCCAGAAGATGGCCACGCGGGGCCATCGCCGGACCGCCCTGGAGTGCCGCTCAAAGACCAAAGTGATGAGGCTGGAATACAAGCGTGTGATTGATCACAACTCCAAGGCGGGGAGCAGCAAGGTGACTTGCCCTTTCTACGAACAGCTGCACCGCATCCTCCAGGGCAACGCGAGCATGAAACCCAGCCGTGTCGGGCGAACCCTGAGCTTCCACCTGGTGCCGCAGCCGGAAGCAGCGCAGGAACAGCCGCAGCCGGCAGCGGAAGAAATCATCCCACCGGACGTTCATGTGGTTAATGTCGGAGAATACCTCAAGCAAGAGGACTCTGGTAGGTTTCCACAGCCACAGCAGCCCAGAGTCCTGCTTATGCTATTCAGTCATTTTAATATTTCTCCACACCGATATTTAGCGATGCCAACTCAACAGGATCATTTCTGGGGGGAGTTAGATTGGCAGTATGCGTTGCGGCCTCCTGTTTCCTTTCTCAAGAGAAAATTGCCGCAGTTATAGTTTTGCTCTGTAGCGTACAGTGGTACCTTGGTTCTCAGACTTGGTTGGTTGGTTCCAAAACCAAAGCGTTCCAAAACCAAGGTGCGCTTTCCCATAGAAAGTCATGCAAAATGGATTAATCTGTTTCAGACTTTTCAAAACAACCCCTAAACTCAAGTTAACATAAATTTTACTATCTAACGAGGCAACTGGTCCATAAAATGAAAGCAATAAACAATGTATTGCAGTCACACAATCAATCAGTAGCTGAACTGGGTTCCACACAGTCACAAAAACAAAACAAAAAGAGCCGCAAAACAAAAGCGCAAAATTAGCAAAGACAGACAGACCTCAGCGTGACACTCAAATTGGAAGTATAACACTCAAAACGGAGCACATTCAGCTTCTGAAAAAAGTCCGCAAACTGGAACACTTACTTCTGGGTTTGCAGTGTTTGGGTTCCAAGTTGTTTGAGTACCAAGACATTTGAGTACCAAGGTACCACTGTACATGAATAAACGCTATTCTCTGTGTTATTTTTTCAGTCCTTGGTGGGACTGAAATGGAAGAGAAAAAATTAAGCCACCATTAAAAAAAAAAAGCAATTTATTTTTATTTTCTTAAGTTTGCGTTACAAATAATAACCATTGTTCTGAAATATTTGTATAAGAAAGTAAAGCACCGCCTTGTTCGGAACCGTGTCTCTGTCTATTTCCTCTAGCTGTTTTAAACTTTGACTGTAAGCAGGTGGTATTTTTCTCTGCTTATTTGTTCTGCCAGATGAACAGGAATGGTGACTGGAATGGTACTGAGGAAGACATTGCAGAGGCTGGGGAGAACGACATGGCAGCACGATGAGGAGGAAGACACAGCAATGAAGGCAGTGTAAGAGTTGGCCCTTGAACTGTGCGTTTGGTGGCGTGTGTTGCTTTGCCCTGTAGGGTGTTGGAGAAATTGCGGTGAAAATGTTCTGCAGGGTAACTCTGCTATGAATCTTTTTGCTGTTTCATTTGCAACACCCTTAATCTTTTTGTGCAACAATTTTTAAAATAAAAAAACCTGTGCCTTTCTGTTGTGCAAACCCAGCTCTGCTAACCATCTTTGGTCTCAGATAATTCTGCTTTGTTTTTCTCCCTGCGTTTGCTACAGGAAGAGACCTTGATTATCAGAGACCCCAAGTTAACCAAATAAGCCCCTCGCATCAGGATGCCCACATCAACACAGGTACGCGTTGCCTAAATACAACTCTTGGTTTGGTTTTGTCTGCAACATAAATTTACATTCAAGAATAGCCAGGGCTGCTGTTTTTACTGTTCCTGCAATTGGTGTACAGTCGTACCTTGCTTTTTGAACAGCTTATTCTCAAACGCCGCAAACCTGGAAGTGACTGTTCCAGTTTGCGAACTATTTTTGAAAGCCAAATGTCCGACGGGGCTTCCGTGGCTTCTGATTGGCTGTAGGAGCTTCCTGCAGCCAATCAGAAGCCGCGCTTTGGTTTCTGAACATTTTGGAAGTCAAACGGACTTCCAGAATGGATTCTGTTCAACTTCCAAGGTATGACTGTAGCCATTGCTTTCTTTTGTTACCATAGTAACGATTACTAAGTTTTTTTGACCTCTGTAGTTTTAGTCTGTTAGTTGCCTGGAGACTATTTTCACACTAGATGACTAATAAATAGATGATAATAATATCGGTTCAGCCATTTGAGATGGATGGAAGAATTCATTGTAATCTGTCCTCACTCAGTTGAAGAAGTTCCAGCAGATCTGGATTCTTGAGTACAGTGGTACCTCTGGTTACAGATGCTTCAGGTTACAGACTCTGCTAACCCAGAAATAGTACCTCGGGTTAAGAACTTTGCTTCAGGATGAGAACAGAAATCGCTCGGCGGCAGCGGGAGGCCCCATTAGCTAAAGTGGTACCTCAGGTTAAGAACAGTTTTAGGTTAAGAACGGACCTCCAGAACGAATTAAGTTCTTAACCAGAGGTACCACTGTAATGTGGGAGTGGTGAGAGTGGTGTTGACCCATGAGAAAAGCCAGCAGAGATTGAGCCCAAAGTGTCCACAGCTCCCCTTCTTCTTTCCATCAAGTATTTTTCACACACACACACACACACACACTTGCCAGGACATGGCTATAAGGGACAAGGCCTTTTCCTTGACCTCATGCTACCTCTTAGAAATGTAGTGCAATGGAAGCGCCTCTGCAATGCGTCTCTGGCTCAGAGCCAAGAGGGCCACGCTGGCTTTCTCTGTGGGTGGCTGGTGCAAACTGTTCCAACGGCGGGGTTCTCCGTTGCTGACGGGTTTCTGAGCAGAGGCTGGACCTCTGCTGCAGTACTGCCATGGTTCACGTTTACTAAAGACAGGAAACCTCTCGTAGACCTTTTGCACGAAAAAGAAAAAGAAATAATGACATTTGGATTTGAGAATAGAAGATAATGGTTTGTAGAAAGTGGCTTTATTAGGTGTTATACTGGAATAGATGAAGTGAACAATGTTTATATATAGTGGACAGAGGAAAAATCGGAAGTTATTTAGCTTTTTAACTTTTTTCTTTCCCTTCCTTTTTTTCTCTTTCAATTTCTTTTTCTTTATCTCTCTCTCTTTCTTTCTTTCTTTCCTTCCTTCCTTTTGTCCTTCCTTCCTTTCTCTCTCTCTCTCTCTCTCTTGCTTTTTCCTCTTCTCTCACCTCTGGATTAATGCTTTACTTTGGACAAAAAAAAAAGGTATTTGACAATAATCTTTCCATTTTTCTTTATAAACTAATAAAAATATTATTATTATTATTATTATTATTATTATTATTATTATTATTATTATTATTCAGGATTGCTGTAGTACTTGATTTCCTGCCTTGGTAGGTTGGGCTAGATCATCTGACTCCAAATAATACTACAGTGGTACCTCGGGTTAAGTACTTAATTCGTTCTGGAGGTCCGTTCTTAACCTGAAACTGTTCTTAACCTGAGGCACCACTTTAGCTAACGGGCCCTCCTGCTGCCGCCGCGCCGGGGGAGCACAATTTTTGTTCTCATCCTGAAGCAAAGTTCTTAACCTGAAGCACTATTTCTGGGTTAGCGGAGTCTGTAACCTGAAGTATATGTAACCTGAAGCGTATGTAACCCGAGGTACCACTGTACCTGTGTGGGCGAGCATCTTTTGACAAACCATTGTTTCATTTCTTGTTGTTGTTGTTGTTGTTATAATAATAAAAAAGTTAAATAAAAGTAAATCAGTAAATAAATTTATCATTTGTATTTCCTCCTGCCCTCAGAACCCCCCGTGGCCCACCCGCCCCCAGCCCCATCTCCCCTGGCTGACTTTGCCATACTGCGGCCCAAGAAGAGGAAAGGGGCCGAGACCCTGTTCCAGGAGTTGCTGCAGCAGTCGAGAGAGGAACAGGAGGAGCTTCTCCTGGAGATGGGCCGTGACAGAGAGGTGGCGCTCAGTCTCCTGAAGACCCTGAGGCAGGACGCGGCCGGGTGCCGGGAGGAGCGGAGGCAGATTATGGAGACGATGCGCGCCCACAACGAGATTCTGAAGGGACTGGCCGCCAACCTCAGCAGCCTCACCGACGCCTTTGCCAGCCACCCGCAGGCCAGGACACCTCGCCCCAGCGTGCCCAACAGCGCCCCGGCCCAGAGGGGCCATGCCAGGCCGAATGACGAGAACTGCAGCCCGCGGAGCCCCCTCCGTAGGTTGCACTCCAACAGCCTGTCCTCATCCCTGTTCCCCGCCAACAACACGCACCACATGGCCTAGCCTGGGAGAGACCAAAGAAATGGCCGTCGCGAACACTTGTGTTTTTTACCAAGAGACGTTTTCCAGTAAGTTTTTGAAAACAGGTTGTTGTGAAAGAACGGGTAGCTTGAAATAAACTCGTTGCCGAAAAAGGAACTCCGGATCACCTGTTTCTCTGCAGGCCTATTCATCCAACTGCTTACAGCACAGAGGTGCCTTTCAAAGGGTGTCAAACCGCCCTGGTCCATTGGGAAAGGCAGAAGGAAATCATCCTTTAGTTGGGAGCCCTTAGCTGTCTAGCTAGTGCTTCCCGTGCATGCTGAAATAATAAAACAACAACAACAACAACAATTTATTTATACCCCACCCAACAACAACAACAACAACAACAATAATAATAATTTATTTATACCCCACCCATCTGGCTGGGCTTCCCCAGCCACTCTGGGCGGCTTCCAACAAAATATTAAAATACCGTAATGCATCAAACATTAAAAGCTTCCCTAAACAGGGCTGCCTCCAGATGTCTTCTAAAAGTCTGGTAGTTGTTCTCTTTGACATCTGGTGGGAGGGCGTTCCTCAGGGCGGGTGCCACTACTGAGAAGGCCCTCTGCCTGGTTCCCTGTAACTTGACTTCTCTCAGTGACTGAACCGCAAGAAGGCCCTCAGCGCTGAACCTCAGTGTCCGGGCAGAACGATGGGGATGGAGACACTCCTTTAGGTATACTGGACCGAGGCCGTTTAGGGCTTTAAAGGTCAGCACCAACACTTTGAATTGTGCTCGGAAACGTAGTGGGAGCCAATGTAGGTCTTTCAAGACCGGTGTTATGTGGTTTCAGCGGCTGCTCCCAGTCACCAGTCTAGCTGCCGCATTCGTCCAGCCCCTGGCTTAATTATTATTTATTGAATTTATATACCAAGGAATTCAAGGTGCTCTACAGGGTTTTCCTCCTCCCCATTTCCTCCTCGCAAGGTTAGGGTAAGAGATGGTGGCAGCTTCAAACACATATAAAAACATAATAGAACATCAAACATTAAAATCCTCCCTATACAGGGCTGCCTTCAGATGTCTTCTAAAGGTTGTGTATATCTTATCTGAAGGGAGGGCGTTCTACAGGGAGGGTGCCACTATTATTATTTTATTTATTATTATTGATGGAATTTATATACTGCCCTATACCCGGAGGTCTCAGAACAGAACAGAATCAAAATATAAAACCATCAAATACCTAATCAAAATAAAAACAACAACCCAATAACCTCACCCCACCCCCATTTTAAAAGGTCAATCAACTGAACCAAAGGCCTGGTTAAAAAGGAGTGTTTTTGCCTGGCGCCTGTTGGTGTATAGTGAAGGCACCAGGTGAACTTCCCTGGGGAGAGCATTCCACAGATGAGGAACCACCGCAGAGAAGGCCCTGTTCTCGTGTTGCCACCCTCCGGACTTCTCAAGGAGGCAGCACATGAAGGAGGGCCTCAGAAGATGATCTCAGGGTCTGGGTAGGTTGATATAAGAAGAGGCAGTCCCTCAGGTATTGCGGTCCTTAACTAGAGTGTTACGTCTTCCCTCTTGTTTTCTCAAACAGTTTCTGGAGTGGTTTAACAATCCCTCTCCCTAGGGAACTGGGAATGGTCGTTCATTGAACAGGGATCTTCTGGCAACACTTTTTAACAGATTACATTTCCCAGGATTCTTGGGGAAAGCCATGCCTGTTTTAAAATGGCGGGACACTTCTCTAAATGTAGAGAGTCTTCTGCATCTGTGGTTGCCGTTTTGTATAATTTGTTCCTTTGGAAATAAACAGTTAAAGAGCAACTGCCACAGAAGAGATATGGAGTTTCCACCCTGCGGTTTCTGTTTCTCGTAATCACCAGCTTTCTTTTTCTCCTAAGTTTCTTGGGCTGACCCTTTGAACCACTTGGTAAAAACAGTTGCGGGCGGTTAATGATGGTAATTTTATTACTCTGGGTTACCCCTGCCAAACTGTGTGGCTTCCAGCATATAAACAAACATAATTAAGCATTAAAAACCTCCCTATACAGGGCTGCCTTCAGAAAACAAGCACCATGTTATCATGGAAACCAAATAGAGCTGGTGAGACCATTTCACTCCTGCACAAAAACATATACTCCCAATTTTCCAGGTGTCTGCTGTGAGCTCTAGCTGGATAATCTACCAACACAGCTTTTTCTACCCTCAACTTTTATACTTGCAAGCAGCCTGGACGCTTCAGAGATCTTTGACAGACCGCTTCATAAAAATATATATTTATTTACAAAATTTCTACGTCACCTTTCTGTGATTCTATGAGAGTGGATAGGGAAGGGGTTGTACCATTGCAGCCTAGGGCTGGTCCTGGGATCACTAAGGTGATTTGAGGGTATGGATGAGGAGCAGGAGAGCTTTGATTCATTTTGCATCTCAGGCTGAGCCTACCCGATTCACACTTTCTGAAACAGCACAAGAACTGAAAGGCAGCCATCTTTTGAAACCCACGCTTCTCCAGATTTTGCAATGCAGCTGTCCAAAAGTGCATGCACTGATGTAAAGTGTGCATACAAATGCGTATAATGGGTGGGGAAAAACATACACATGATGCGTTACATTAGGCAAAATTGCTTTGCAAAAATGTATCTATTTGGAGTGCTGGAGGAGACTCTTGATGCTGGAGGAGACTCTTGAGAGTCCCATGGACTGCAAGAAGATCAAGCCTCTCCATTCTGAAGGAAATCAGCCCTGAGTGCTCACTGGAAGGACAGATCCTGAAGCTGAGGCTCTAATACTTTGGCCACCTCATGAGAAGAGAAGACTCCCTGGAAAAGACCCTGATGTTGGGAAAGATGGAGGGCACAAGGAGAAGGGGACGACAGAGGACGAGATGGATGGACAGTGTTCTCGAAGCTACCAGCATGAGTTTGACCAAACTGCGGGAGGCAGTGGAAGACAGGAGTGCCTGGCGTGCTCTGGTCCATGGGGTCACGAAGAGTCGGACACGACTAAACGACTAAACAACAACAACATCTATTTGGAGAAGGGGACATTAAAATGCAAATTAACTTTCACGAGTCCTTTAACAATAAAAACACCAGAAACGAATGTGGAGAATGGAGCTTGAGACTGGAAAAATAAGAAAAAATGAAAAAGAAATTGAGACATTTGCCCTTCTGTACTTGATGGACCTTTGTCCCCGGGGTTTAAACATGCAGCTGGAAAGTCCCAAGTTTACAACTGAGATTGGAAATGCCAGGCTGAAGGCCATAAAACCTTTAGTTGGCCTTACGATAAATCATATAAACCTGAAAGTGGCAACAAGAGAAGTGCCCTTGAAAAATGGGCTGTATCCCTCTAGATTGGAGCCCAATCCACATTATACATTTCAAATAGCACCATACCCCTCTAAACACCCTCTAGAATAGCACCATTTCCCCTCATAAAATCCTGGGAACCGGAGTTCGTTTAGGTTTCTGAGAATTGTTAGATGAAACGAACCCTATTTCCCCTCACAGAGCTTCACACAGCTTCCTGTGGGAATGAGAGCTCTGTGCGGAGACCTAGAGATGTCCTAGCAATTCTCAGCCACCTTTATAATAAACTACAGATCTTTTACGGGGTTCTTTTGAGGGGCTAGCCATGACTGTTCTAAAGTGTAGACTGCTTTGAGTCAATAGTGCAGACGTGGCCTTCGTTCCTGTGCAAACCAATGGGCCTGAAGTCATGGCACGTGGTGGCCCATTGATTTCAGTGGGAACAGACTACAACTGGGCAGACTGGGGAATTTTTTCTGCCTCCAAGCCCCTCGCTGGCTGGCTGCAGAGAGCGCAGCTGAACTGCTTCTTGGAGGAAGTGTCAATGTCACCTGTCGGCTTTCCTCCTTGACTTTGTGGGCTCCTGTGGTTGGAATAGAGGACCCGCACAGCCCCTTCCAATGCTACAGTTCCTTTTTAAAAAAGATTCTTTATTACAAAACAATTTACATAGAACGTAAACAATATGGAAAACAACATAAACAGAGCATAAAAGGTAAAGGGACCCCTGACCATTAGGTCGAGTCGTGGAGGACTCTGGGGTTGTGGCGCTCATCTCACTCTATAGGCCGAGGGAGCCGGCGTACAGCTTCCGGGTCATGTGGCCAGCATGACTAAGCCGCTTCTGGCGAACCAGAGCAGCGCACGGAAACGCCATTTACCTTCCCGCCGGAGCGGTACCTATTTATCTACTTGCACTTTGACGTGCTTTCGAACTGGTGGGTTGGCAGAAGCAGGGACCGAGCAACGGGAGCTCACCCCATCGCGGGGATTCGAACCGCCGACCTTCTGATCGGCAAGCCCTAGGCTCTGTGGTTTAACCCACAGCGCCACCCGTGCCCCTCCTGTGCATAAAGGTACCAACCCCTTTTTTGCATCTCCAGCAAATGTCAGAGCTTTTCTTGCGCATCTTGGCCAGTTTGGCCTGGGTCAGATACTATTGGTACAGCCTTTTCATTAGGTTTTCTCTCAAATTATAACATGCGGTGAACCTTATGTCTTCTCTCCATACTACATACAGTTCCATGAGGAGGCTTCTCTGCCCCCCAGGCAGCCGCCCCTCTCACATCTTTCCAGGGGGCTGCCCTGAGGCAACCACCTCGCCTCGCTTTCCCCCGATAACTTAGCTCATAAATACAGGCTTGTTTGAGCACTTATGTCCGCTTACGTAAAATACGACCATTTATGAGAAATGCAAAACCGATAAGCAAAGGTTTCGTTTTGCAGAGCTTGGCCTTGCCAAAAAGTCCGCTGAGTAAACAGGATTGCATCGGATGGAGTAGTATCAAGGGCAGGCTATAAAACCACCTGAGGAGGGAGGCGGCGAGAAACATTGATGTGAAGTCTCTGCCTGGAGGCTGCTGTCAACTTCAGAGACACGGAAACTTGAAGACTGGCGAGGTCCGATTAGCCAGCAGGTCTGTTTATTCCGCTGTTTCATGTCCTATTGTGGATGGAAGTGTGGTCTGAGTTTCCCCCGGCAGCCTCATTTTGCAGCTTTGCTTGATATCCTGAGTCTGCCTTGGCTTTTGTAAGTTCCCTTGCATGTGTGCACGATAACTGCAAATGTGCATTTTGCGGCGCTGCCTCCGGTTGTCTTGAGTTATCCTCTGCCTCAAAGCAAAAAGGTTTCACAGACGGAGGACTTCTGGGTCTGGGATCAAGGTAAGGAGGAGGGAGCAAGATGCAAAGCTATTTATTTATTTGTTCGTTTGTTTGTTTTGTGCTTACTTGCTTACACTCTGCACCTTCAAAAAGTTCCTGTTTTGTTTTTTTACCCCCCCCCAAATCATTTAATTTTAAAAATAATTTATATACCTCCTTAAGTACCACAGTTTCTAAGCAGCATACAAAACACAGATACGGCAATAATAAATAGCACCATATAAACGGAAAACCTCAAGAATATTAAAACTTTTGCAGAATAGAAAAGCAGGATAAAAGCACAGTGGAATTTAGAACATTTATAAATTCCCATTAATGGGTTATATTTGCTGAGACTGGCATTTTTTTAAAAAAATAAAAAAGCAGTTTTGGGATTTATGCTGGGAAGCAGTAGTTTTTATAGTTTTTTGTCCCCTCCCCCCCCCCGTCAGGGAACTGACATCAGAGCGAGAAGCGGAGGCAGGGCTCCCAAGCGATGCCGGAGAGGGGACCAGCATGGGGGAAGGAATTCAGGGTAACACCAATAGAGAAGAGAGGGAGATGGAGGAATTGGTGACAGGGCTCCAAGACCCTTCACCCGAAACTAGTGGAGAGAGCGCTGGCACGCCCCTGCCTTCCCCTCACTTGCGCAGACGCGTTGCGCGCAGGGAACATAGGAGGAGACTCGGGGTCAAACATCTTTTATGCTGGAAGAGGTTCAAGAAACGCCCACTGACGGATTCTGCAAGTGACTAACAGGTCACGGAGGGCGAGCTCTGACCCTAAGCATGGTTGGGCAAGCAAACTAACTAAACCGAAGGCAATTTACGCACAAGTAACCCCTCACAACCATTACACCCCCAAAACCAGTGATTCTCAGACTTCTTCCTCACTCCCATAGACTACTTGAAAATTGCTGGTGGTCTTAGCACCCACTGGGTTATTTTAATTATTTTGCCTGTTGTAGCTACTGTAATCATAGCTGTCAACCTTCCCTTTTTTTGGCGGGAAATTCCCTTATTCCAGCGCCGCTTCCTGCTGCTATCCCACATTGTTAGATATCCCGTAGACTGCCCCCGGGACAGGTGAGGCTGCTGATCCCTTATTTTCAAATCTGAAAGTTGACAGCTATGATTGTAATTTGCACTGTGCTAGGTTTTTCACTGTATTTTTAAAGATTCTTTCATTTCTTACATTGCATTTTGCTTCATCACCGTTTGCATTCCGTAGAATTAAAAAAAAAAACTGTAAAACAACAAAAATGCGAGGCAAGAAATAAAATAAGCAATCTAACATGCAGTTAATAATCAAGATGAACACGTAACGTAGAGATGCCATGGACCACCAGAATGAAGTTCACATATCACAGTTTAGGAAACCCTGTGCTAACCTATTAGGAATAGAGGAGCAACTGTATATTATGGAATGTCAGTTCTTGGCGGGGGGGGGGGGAGAGGGGGGCAAAACGAAGTTCTGATTAGAGTAATTTATATGGCACAGAACAGTCCCCACCCCACCCCTTTTAAGACCACCTAGTTCAGGGTTTCTTGAAATTACTTTGCAGCACCACAATCTGGAGGGACAATGGTTACCTACGTAAAGGTAAAGGGACCCTTGACCATTAGGTCCAGTTGCGGACGACTGGGGTTGTGGTGCTCATCTCGCTTTATTGGCCGAGGGACCCAGCGTACAGCTTCCGGGTCATGTGGCCAGCATGACTAAGCTGCTTCTGGCGAACCAGAGCAGCGCACGGAAACGCCGTTTACCTTCCCGCCAGAGTGGTACCTATTTATCTACTTGCACTTTGAGGTGCTTTCAAACTGCTAGGTTGGCAGGAGCAGGGACTGAGCAACGGGAGCTCACCCCGTTGTGGGGATTCGAACCACGACCTTCTGATCGGCAAGTCCTAGGCTCTGTGGCTTAACCCACAGCGCCACCTGCATCCCTTAATGGTTACCTACTCTAGTTTAAAGCTCATCCTATTATGGAGTTTCCTTAGGGTGCCTCCAGGCAGGAGTCTGCTGTGAGATTGGAGCCTCTCATGGTTGCAGGACTTTCACAGTACCCACAGGATATCATTGGCCAGTCCATATTCCCCCACCCCCTTTAATCCGTATTTGCCCTTTCCAAGGAAAATCCCATAGAATCTGTTGCCAGCACTCTGCTTGCAATACTCTACCAGCATGTTTGTAGTACAGTGGTACCTCGGGTTACATACGCTTCAGGTTACAGATTCCGCTAACCCAGAAATAGTACCTCGGGTTAAGAACTTTGCTTTGGAATGAGAACGGAAATCGTGGTCAGGCGGCAGCAGCAGGAGGCCCCATTAGCTAAAGTGGTACCTCAGGTTAAGAAAGTTTCAGGTTAAGAACGAACCTCCAGTACGAATTAAGCTCTTAACCTGAGGTACCACTGTATTAAGCTCTCTTCTGGAAGTGCCTGTACTATTTCACTTTGACTTTCAGTTCAGTAAAAGGAATGCTGTTGTAGGTGTAGCTGCTGCAAACTTGTTTCGGTTATCGCTTCTGAGCACATCTGAAGTTAGCCACAGACTGAAGGAACTTATCGACACATCTGGTTGGTGAAACTACCCCATGTTATCTCCCCAACCCAGGGGTAGGCCACCTAATCGCCCTCTCAATCCGGCCCACAGACGGACTGGAAATCAGCATATTTTTACATGAGTAGAATGTGTCATTTTATTTCAAATGCATCTCTGGGTTATTTGTAGGGCCTGCCTGGTGTTTTTACATGAGTAGAATGTGTCCTTTTATTTAAAATGCATCTCTGGGTTATTTGTGGGGCATAGGAATTTGTTCATTTTTATTTTTATTTTCAAAATATTGTCCGGCCCCCCACAAGGTCTGAGAGACAGTGGACCGGCCCCCTGCTGAAAAAGTTTGCTGTCCCCCACCCTATACCGTGGAATCCAGCATCCATAGACACCCCACCACACTGCCTTTCAGGTCGCAGTGTGCAGAGCACCTCAGCAACTGACGCTGACAAATGGGCATCTGCAACAAAATGTTGCAGTGCAGCCACGACAACACCTCATGGAAGTGCTTCTTTTCAGGAGCAACAACAGCTAGCCTTTGACAGGAGTCTGATACTGCTTTGAGGGCTCACGAAGGAATGGGGGAGCTCATACGACATGGCTGTGGTATACGACATTGCATTAAGTTACAGAACAACCACTGCAGCGTAAAACTAGTAAACATCACCCACCTGCTGAAACAGCAATAGAATAATGCAAAGGAACTCTCACTGTCCCCTACAAATGCACACAAATGGGAGATACTGGTGAGAAGAGTTTTAACCATAATACAGTGGTACCTCAGGTTAAGAATGTTCTGGAGGTCCGATCTTAACCTGAAACTGTTCTTAACCTGAGGTACCACTTTAGCTAATGGGGCCTCCCACTGCCGCCACGCGGTTTCTGTTCTCATCCTGAAGCAAAGTTCTTAACCCGAGTTACTATTTCTGGGATAGTGGCGTCTGTAACTTGAACTGTCTGTAACCTGAGGTACAGGGTTGGAGAAAGTTCCCATCAGGCCCAGGCAGCATAGTCAATGTTCAGGGATGATCGGAAATGGAGCCCCAGAACATCTGAAGGGCTGAAGGTCTCCCAGCATTTCTGTAAAGGGACCGTTCCTTTCCCTCAGGGTTGGAGAAGCAGAGAAAGAGGAGGTGGGGCTAGCTTTGAAGGTGACCGGGAAACTACAACGGAATTCAGAATGCGGCAGCTAGACTGGTGACTGGGAGCAGCCGCCGAGACCACATAACACCGGTCCTGAAAGACCTGCATTGGCTCCCAGTACGTTTCCGAGCACAATTCAAATTGTTGGTGCTGACCTTTAAAGCCCTAAACGGCCTCAGTCCATTATACCTGAAGGAGCATCTCCACCCCCATCTTTCTGACCGAACACCGAGGTCCAGCTCTGAGGGCCTTCTGGCGGTTCCCTCCCTGCGAAAAGCCAAGTCACAGGGAACCAGGCAGAGGGCCTTCTCGGTAGTGGCACCCGCCCTGTGGAACGCCCTCCCACCAGATGTCAAAGAGAAAAACAACTACCAGAAGACATCTGAAGGCAGCCCTGTTTAGGGAAGCTTTTAATGTTTAATAGACTATTGTATTTTAATATTCTGTTTTGGGCCGCCCGGAGTGGCTGGGGAAACCCAGCCAGATGGGTGAGGTATAAATAATAAATTATTATTATTATTATTATCCTTATCCGTTGCCTTCAGATTAAATGTTTTGCCTTGCAGGATTCATGCCACACCACAGTCATGGGAAGAACTGTCCTCTGAGTGAACGTTTTTATTCTTGCCAAAGTCACCCCTCTGCACTGCCGAAGCCACCAACTTTTGCACCATTGTGCCGGCAACACCAAACCCATGGCAAGGTTGCGCCTGCATGAAAAGTTCACGGAGAACATGCCTCTACGAATCCTTTCACAAACACGGAAGAAAGGTAGATCTCCGCAACTGAAACATAAGGGAGTTTTGGCTCTTTAAATGCATGAGATGGAGGTCAAGTAGGGGGCCTTTGCGTTAAATCGCACCTGCTCCCCATGAAAAACATCTTTTCAATGTAATCCTACGTCAAAACAAGCATTTCTTAACATAAGATTGCACCTTGCACCTTGTTAGAACACCTAGGTATATCTAATAATAGGTTGCCAGTCCAGTTCTTGGTGAATTTAAGGTCCTCTTGCCGGTGGTGTTTAAAGCTCTAAATGGCGCCAGGCAGCCATTTAAATTTCATTGCATTGAAATCCCACACTTTTGTAAGCTCGAGGTGGCTTACGTTGCTCATATTTAATACTGTATACTGTGTATAGTTTTACTGTGTATACTGTGTTAGTTTTATGATGTTAGCCGTCCTGAGCCCGGCTCCAGCTGGGGAGGGCGACGTACAAATAAATTATTATTATTATTATTATTATTATTATTATTATTATTATTATTAATCCCCGCAACACCTCTGTGAGGTAGATTCGGCTGGCCTCCTGACCAGCAGCCGGTGGAAAGCGAGTTTTGCGAGTCCCTCTCTGGTTAAGTTTATGCTTCTACTGGCACCATACAACATACCTACACATGTGGTGGGAGTGCCCCAAAATCCAACTATTCTGGACAACAGCCACACGAGAAATACGTAAAATAACTAAGCAAGTATTAGACATCACCCCAGAATTGGCCCTACTAAACATCTTCCAAGACAACAATGCCCATTTACACCACAAAGAACTCATAACCCACTTACTTTCAGCAGCCAGAAACACCATAACCAGACACTGGAGAGACCTGTCAGGAGTAAGCATGGACCAATGGTACCAAATAGTATGGGAAACAGCCTTACTAGAAAAATTAACAAATAAACTGAAACTGACACAGGGACAAATAGACGAAGACGCCTTCACCCCGGTATGGCTCCCCTTTATCACATACACAGCCCAACAAGTCAATGACAATAATCCACCAACAGCATACAAATCAATATGGCTAACCTGATCCAAAACACCCACCCACCCCACTCACACACGAAAACAAAGATCACCACAGCCAACCACAAACAAACAACCACACCCTAGGCCAACCCCAACCTCTCTCACCACCAAAGGAACACAAGTGAACAGCACAAGCAATGCTGACACCAAACCCTACATACATTAAGCATAATAGAAACATCGCCACCCCACCCCACCCACCCCACCCCCACCCATCTTCCCCCCCTCCACCCTTTTTTTCTCCCCCTAATGTCTCAACAAATGAAATGGATTTGTAAAAATGTTACATGGAAAAAATACGAAAGACATTACACATACTTCTGTAAAACAAGAAAATCTTTAATAATGATAATAAAAAATCCAGCCATCCTTTTTTCCTTCTTTTTTCTCTTCTCCACAGTGAACGTGACTCTGGATCCCAGCACAGCGCATGCCAACCTCATCCTCTCCCAAGACCTGAAGAGAGTAAGATGGGGATGCAGGACCCAGGACCTGCCTGACAACCCTTCGCGATTCGACTGGGAGCCCTTTGTGCTGGGCCAAGAGAGGCTCGCTTCGGGAAGACACTGGTGGGAGGTGGAAGTAGAAGAGGCGACGCCGCAGGCCCTGCGGACTTCGCGAGAACCGTCCGTCAGGAGGAAAGGAGAGTCTCGTCCAAATGAAAGGCAATGGGAGTTGAAAGAAAACATGGAGATCTGGACAGTGGGAGCTGCCAGAGAGTCCGTCGTGAGGAAAGGAAAGGTCAGTTTCAATCCCAACGGGGGAATCTGGGCTCTGGGCAAAGCCCTGCCAGACTCACTGAGGACGCCATTGTCTCCTTATCGGCTCACAGCGTTTACATCCTCTGAGAGGACAATCTTGAGCTTGAGATACGAGCCCAGGAAGATCCGGGTGTACCTGGATTACGAAGGAGGGCGCGTGGATTTCTTTGACGCCGATACGGATGACTTGATATTCACTTTCCCTTCAGCCTCGTTCTCCGGGGAGAGGATCTGTCCCTTTTTCGGGGTGTATTGGGGAGTCAGACTGAGCTGCTGAAATCTCAAATTCCCCAGCAAAACCCAATGGCCGAGTGGCAAATTCTGAACTGTGAGTGCTTTGTGATCAGCCGCATGTGAGGCATAAAAGGGAAATGGATTTTTGACCAATGCAGATGTCGAGAGCAAGACAGCTTTCCTCCATCACTCCTCTTCCTTGCTTTGCTTAACACCTACGTTCTGGTGGACTCAAAACCTTTTATGATTTTATTGTCTGGTTTTATAGGTTGCTGTAAACCACTGACATTTTTTTATGATACAGCAGTATAGAAGAAGAAGAAGAGTTTGGATTTGATATCCTGCTTTATCACTACCCTAAGGAGTCTCAAAGCGGCTAACATTCTCCTTTCCCTTCCTCCCCCACAACAAACACTCTGTGAGGTGAGTGGGGCTGAGAGACTTCAGAGAAGTGGGACTGGCCCAAGGTCACCCAGCAGCTGCATGTGGAGGAGCGGGGAATCAAACCCAGTTCACCAGATTACGAGTCCACCGCTCTTAACCACTACACCACACTTTCTCTCTTATATAAATATTTATATAAATAGCTAAATAACTAAAAGCTTGCTCACCAATTTGTGACATTTTGGTTGGCCATAATGTTCAACTAATTACAGGTAGGTTGGTCTGCCATAGTCGAAACAAAATAAAAAAATAAAAATCTAAGACAGCTGTAAGGAGACAGTTACCATATTATGGTGACAGAAAGATCTGAACTCATTTCTTTCAAGTACAGCCATACCTTGGTTTACATTCTTTTGGAAGCCAAACGTCCAACAGGGCTTCTGATTGGCTGCAGGAGTTTCCTGCAGCCAATCAGAAGCCGCGCTTTGCTTTCTGAACGTTTTGGAAGTTGAATGGACTTCCGGAACGGATTCCATTCGACTTCCAAGGTACGACTGTACTGCATTCAGTAATCTCATTGGGTGCTCGTGTAATCTCAACTGTATACAAGTTGTACAAGTGACAATAAAGTATTTCAATTTCAATTCTTTTAAGGCACCAAGGGACCAGATTGCTGTCACCAAGCAGCTCAAATACATAAGGCCAGGGAGGCATTTGTACTTTTCACACACACAGCAAGATCATGGGAGCTGTAGTTTACACTCTGAGAGATACAAAGCTTAGCATCCTTAAAACTAGAGTTCCCAGCATTTTTGGGGAGGGTCCTTTAAGCATATGGTGTGTGTACACAGCCAGAGGGTTGTGCCACACTTTGAAAGAGCTTAGTGCTTTTGCTTCACAACTTCACTGGCAGAATTATTGCATTTCTATACATTCTATTAAACGCTTATTTACTGAAGTCACCTGAAATGATAACCAGTCAGGAGGTAAGAGAAGAGAAAGCAACAACTTTTGGCTCCTGCTCTCCTTGAACAGCTTCCATCCCAGCTGGTCATTCAAAGAAATTGTAACTAAAAACTGTTCTGAGTTTGCTTACTTCCTCCTCCCAATCCATTTTCCTTTTGTGTTGTCTTTTCAAGATTCTAAGCTCAAGAACTGGGACTGTTTCATTTTTGTTGATCTGAGAACAGCAGGGTAAAAACACTAAGTTCAATGAAATATGGGTTCTAGATAAAACTCATTGAACATAATGAAATTGTGCATGCATTCACACCTTAGCCAAGGAGAAAACCTGGAATTCAAATCAGGAACAATCTAACTTTAATCCAAGTTCGCATTTGTCTTTGACTGGCATCTGTTTGCCTCCCAGAGTAGAGTGGTATTTGTATGTCAACAGGAATCCAATGACAAGCAATGACAAACCTAGACAACATCTTAAAAAGCAGAGACATCACCTTGCCAACAAAGGTCTGTATAGTTAAAGCTATGGTTTTCCTTAGAGAGCTGGACCATAAAGAAGGCTGATCACCGAAGAATTGATGCTTTTGAATTATGGTGCTGGAGGAGACTCTTGAGAGTCCCATGGACTGCAAGAAGATCAAACGTATCCATTCCTAAGGAAATCAGCCCTGAGTGCTCACTGGAAGGACAGATCGTGAAGCTGAGGCTCCAATGCTTTGGCCACCTCATGAGAAGAGAAGACTCCCTGGAAAAGACCCTGATGTTGGGAAGATTGAGGGCACAAGGAGAAGGGGACAACAGAGGACGAGATGGTTGGACAGTGTTCTCGAAGCTACCAGCATGAGTTTGACCAAACTGCGGGAGGCAGTGGAAGACAGGAGTGCCTGGCGTGCTCTGGTCCATGGGGTCACAAAGAGTCGGACACGACTAAACAACAACAAGGAATCCCCAAGAAAATGGCAAGGCAGACAAGGTCAAGCAACACATTTTATTTTCTGTTTTTCCTTCTATAGACATACAAAATAAGACATGGCTGAACTTCAGTCAAACTTGACACTTTTGATCGCAATGTCTCCCTCCACTGAGAATATTTTTGCAGAATTCGCCCCAAGCCGATTAGGGAACTTGACTTCCTGGTCTCCATTGATCTTCACAGTCACTGCCTCGTAATCAAAGGACAAACAGATCTGGGAAGAAGAGGAGTCAAGGAGTTAGGGTCATGGGTTGTTCCTTGGAAAGAGGCAATTAGATGCTTCCAAGAGATATATGGCCCAAACAGGAGTGGATTCATGGAAGGAGGGAGGGAAATACAAACTACTATCACCCTTGCAATTACACCTCCTGACCAATTTTGTTGGGGGGGGGTGTTCTGTTAGGGCAGTTCAACCTGAAGCCATGACCCTCATCATCTGGCTGTAGAAGTTAAGGTTGGGGGAGAGAAATTCAGAGTTGTAGCCAATGCCAGTTCTATTTAGGATAGGCCCCCTGAATTAATAGGCATGGAATAATTGAGCTCATTCATTTCAAGGGGTCTACTGTAAACAGGACATGGATGCAGCCCTTTTTTAACGAAAAAACCCCAGCTAATTGATGCTTTTCATACCAACACACATCTATCCTTTCTCTCCCTCTAGTGGTGCAGCAATAAAATTGCTAGAACGTTTGAAAAGCTAAGCAGGGTCTGGTATGGTTTCAAATTAGATGGGGCACCATGTGTTGAGATGCCTGCATTGCAGGGGGTGTCTGGAGGCGGCTGGAGGATGGATGGCGGCTACAGATTGAGGTTGAATCCTAACAAGACAGAAGTACTGTCTTCTTGGGGCGGGGGGCAGGAGGAGGGCAGGTGTGGAGGATTCCCTTGTCCTGAATGGGGTTACTGTGCCCCTGAAGGACCAGGTGCGCAGCCTGGGAGTCGTTTTGGACTCACAGCTGTCCATGGAGGCACAGGTCAAATCTGTGTCCAGGGCAGCTGTTTACCAGCTCCATCTGGTACGCAGGCTGAGACCCTACCTGCCCACGGACTGTCTCACCAGAGTGGTGCATGCTCTAGTTATCTCCCGCTTGGACTACTGCAATGCGCTCTATGTGGGGCTACCTTTGAAGGTGACCCGGAAACTACAACTAATCCAGAATGCAGCAGCTAGACTGTTGACTGGGAACGGCCACTAAGACCACATAACACCGCTCTTGAAAGATCTACATTGGCTCCCAGTATGTTTCCGAGCACAATTCAAAGTGTTGGTGCTGACCTTTAAAGCCCTAAATGGCCTCGGCCCAGTATACCTGAAGGAGCATCTCCACCCCCATCATTCTGCCCGGACACTGAGGTCCAGCTCCGAGGGTCTTCTGGCGGTTCCCAGAGTTACAGGGAACCAGGCAAAGGGCCTTCTCGGTAGTGGTACCCGCCCTGTGGAACACCCTCCCATCAGATGTCAAATAACAACAACTATCTGACTTTTAGAAGACATGTGAAGGCAGCCCTGTTTAGGGAAGTTTTTAATGACTGATGTTTTAATGTATTTTTAATCTTTTGTTGGAAGCCGCCCAGAGTGGCTGGGTATAAATAATAATTATAAGAAATTATGTGCCGAAATTGAGAGATTCACCACGAATGATCATACTTCACTTCAGAACACCCTCAGAAAGGCAGAAGTAGCACAAGAGAATTAATTCATTACATTCTGGTTAGCAGCCCCTCTGAGGATGCTATAGCCCAGGGGAAAGAGCAACCATATCACATGCAGAAGATCCTGGGCTCAATTTTTCAGCATCTTCAGGTAGCCTCTCCCTGAAACCCAGGTGTTATGTATTGAAGTTCTCTCCCCGGCCACCAGGGGGTATTGTGTATATAGTTTTCTCTCAGGTCCATGTCAGTTAATTTAGGCGGGAAACCCTGTGTTGTTATGATGTTGACAGTCGGCTGCCTATAAAAGCAGGCCGGCTGAGCTGTTTGCAGTTCAGTTCAGTTCCAGTTTACTTATAAAGAACTACTTGGAGAAATCTCTGTCATCTGCTATGTCCACTCACTACTTAATACCAGGAGAGTCAATGCCAGGTAGCGAAGGCAGTGCTGAGAGAGATGGACCAAAAATCCAACTTATTTAGAAGTTCCCAGTGCCCAAGGAGCCCCCCGATCCAGGAAAGACCACTCCCTCTCCTTGAAGTTCTGGCGGTGCTGAGGCTATTCCTGCTCACCTTGGTGTCTTCTCCCTGCTGGAAGGGGAACACCGACTCCCGCAGCTCCGAGTCCCACTGCCCATTACTCTTTGAGTTGCACACAATGGTTTTGACGTCTCCGTGACTATCAAAGCGAGGATTGAAGTGGAGGATCGTGTCTGAATCATCATGGCACAAGTTGAGGGCAAAGCTGGAAAGAGGGCAGGACCACATGAGACAAACACTCACAAGGTGGATTAGCAGGAGCTGGCGGAGACAAAGTCTAACGGTTCTATTGTTATGGTGATATTGGAAGTAGGATACTGTTGCTGATTGACAAGAACCTAGCCTGGGTTTGTGACTTGGCTAAAGTCCTGTTTGGCAGCGGTGTAGCGTGGGGGCAGTTACCCAGGGCGCAAATTTCAACACCCGGTGCTGCCTCAATACAGTTGTGTGCTTCTGTCGCTGGGCTCCATTGAAAACAACTTCTCCATGTGAACCAGGAAGTAACCTCTGCAGACAAAGGAAGTCAACTCTTCTTATCTCTGCAGCTGCTATCTCCCGGGTGATGCGGATGCCATTAAGCAGTTGAATGTGCATGCGTACTACATCCATTTACCTCCCTCTCACCCCCTCCATGTGGCCCCGGGCACTGCCAACCTACGCTAAGCCACTGTTGAAGGTATCTGACTGCATCTTTCAAGTCCTTTAACAGACTGGTGGTGGTGATCATGGGACCGTTTAACTCGCTTGTACTAAGAGGAGTCAGATAATGATTAATGGGAAGATATGTAACCTCCCCCCAAAATCTATGCTCTGCCTCCACAGTCAGAACAAACTCTCAATAAAGAGCAGGCATTGTATAAGCTTCACGTAAGCTGTGAAAAGCAGGATGAACAGTTCATCTGGAGGAGCCCATAAAAGCACACAAAAATAACATCTAATAATTCTTAAGGAAAGTTAAGCTAAGCATCCTTTAGTAGTGATCAGCATCAGTGGCTGGTTAGATTACTAATTAAAAATATATGGTTGTACTGCATCTTTTATCTTATCATTCCAATAATGTATTGGTTGCTCCAACAGCATGGCTCTCATAAATCATGATTGAGTTCCTATACCAATAATTTAGGCACTTTCACCACTTTGTAACCAAGCTAGGTTTTACTGCCTGTGCAACTTTTCTGAAGCACATGGAGAGTTTGTAAGTAAACCATTTATAACATACCAAACATGTGGTCTTTTCTTATGCGGGGGGAAGAGAGAAACTTTGGAAAGATTTTTTTAGGGGGACATTTTGGAGGGGCATATTTTAAATACAGCCTGTATTTCCACGCTCTGCTTTGCTGCATATTTTGTGACTTTAAATCTCTGCTAGAGTTCCTTCACCAAAGAGTACTTGCCCCAAACTTAGAGCTTGGCATTCTGGAATTCTCCTTTCTATATGTGGGGTTTTTTTTGCACCAACAAAAATAGACCAGCCCACCTTCAACAACACAAACCTCTTGGCCTCTGGTGGCACTTTCCCCTTCACTTTGATGCATTCACCAGGCTTGATTGACAAGTGGGAAAAAACCATTTGCTGGAGGAAAGGCAGAAACAAAGAGCATTAGAATGCACACAGGTAACATCTTCTCCACTGTCATTCCTATCTGGAAAGGGGAACCATTTTCACTCCAGTTTCTCTTGGAAGAAACTCCCTGCAAATATTTGCAGTTCCCAGAAATGGCCCAGCTGCACCCTAATCAATGAAGTATTGTTTCCTTTTCCCCACCCCCACTGGCTTGGCTTCTCTATTATTGAACACACAAACCCTTAAACATGCCCACAGTTCATTGGGTTCCAGAATTAGATAGCCACCTATTCCGAATGAAGGAGACATGTAACAGGCTTCTTGCTGTGAGCAAGTGGGGGCAGTGGCCATTATTTCCATTGATGGAGGGGACATGTCCATATCATGTTCTGGTCCATAGCTGTCAACTTTTCCCTTTTCATGCGAGGAATCCTATTCGGAATAAGGGAATTTCCCTTTTAAAAAGGAAAACGTTGACAGCTATGTTCTGGTCCCGTCTGTTTCTGGTCTTTTAGATGTGGCGGCCATTTTGCATTATGCTATGCTGCACTACCACCGCCATCTTGTATTGCACCACAATTCCACAGGCACCATTTTGCATTATCCCAACCCCACAACAGCCATGTTATGACTGGTGCCCACACCCCCAAAAAGGTTAGGAACCCGCCCCCCCCCCCAGGAAACCTGCGAACTGTAATTCTGCAAGCATGGACGGGGGAAGGGAGAAGGAACCAGAGATCCAACCAGAGAAGTAGGTCATATCTGTATTATACATTTAAAACACTCATACCACTTTAAAACAGCTATGTTCCCAAAGATTCCTGGGAACTGTAGAGGGTGCCAAGAGTTGTTAAAATCTTAAACCACAGTTCCCAATATTCTTTAGGGGAAACCAAGTATATCAGTGATTTAAATCTACGGTCTGGACATGATCACAGACAAAGTGTTTCACAGCTGTTATTGCTGGTTTCCTTGTGAATGCTCCCACATGCAGAGCAGGGACACAGGGCAAGAAATTACAAGCCTTCCCCATTTCCCAGCAATTCTAGGAATCTAGCTGGAAGAGAGGCATTTTCAGGACAGCTCACCTGTGGCCTCCAGCTCTTGCTGGACTCCAGCTCCCATCAGACCCCAGCAAAATGGTCAATGGCCAGAGAGGATGGGAGTGGGAGTCCCCAACAGCTGGAGGGTACTATGTTGGTTGCAGATGTAGTTCACGTCAGACAAGGGAGTTCATTACTTCAGAATAAAATTATGATGTGGGGCGAGGCACTGTGATAGGAATTTTGAGGTCTTAGATATATGGTAATGTTCATAAGCGTACCAACCAAGCACATACATAGATCAGCACAGGAAGACCGACCTGGAACCATTTTGATTCCCAAACTGAGCAAATGATTTCTCTGCAAGGTCAAAGTGGGAAACCTCCCCATTGTCTCTTCCCTCATAGATCCTGTCTTAAGGGCACATTTAAGATATGAATAAGGTGTGAGCCTGTGACCTGGCCCAGGAACTAAGTATTTATCATTACAAAAGACTGGCCAGGCTCCCCAGGCAATCCAATCAAGTACCTGCCAGACAGGAGATAAACAACGACAGGAGAAAAACAACATTCAAATTTCTGTTTTAGACCGCCTTTTTTGTGATGTAGGTGTGATGTATCTGAGGCGTGGTCTTAGGTTACACCCCTTCTGTGATGTATGTATGATGTTTCTGGGGGTGGTCTTGATCTACAGGGTGGGATTTTCAAAAGTCTTTATAAGGCCTTGCACGCCATTTTTCTGGGTTCCTCCTCTCTCCTGCGGTTGAGGGGAGCACCCTGTTGCAACAGATCAATAAAGATCAGGCTTACTAGCTGCTTTGCTTCTCAATATTCTCTGGTTGGCCTCTTTCTCCGACCAATAGGGAACCTACATAAGAACTCTATATGGGCTCTTGGATACCCCATAAGGGGAAAAGGGGCAGATTTTTGTTTACAACATTACAGAAAACCATTAGTGCTTTAACAAATGTGTTTGTACAGGTGAGAGAATTTGGCTATTTTGATTCCGTTTCCCAAGAAGCCAGCTGCAGGCTCTCTCCATGTAGTTAATGAGTAAATGAGCAAGACGAGTTGTTTGAGTTTCTCTGACCCAATCCAACAGGAATGTTCTTTTTTTGGTTAAGAAAATCAAAGACGTCTTTTTTCAGGAATGTCCGTTATCATGAGGAGCTATAGCTAACCGTTTGCCTTTCCATTTTGCTCACAAGGCCTCTGCCCTCCTCAAGGCCAGACCAGACAATGGCTGGCATCCTCCTACCCACAAGTCTCCCACGTAGTATCATGGCTTGCAGAGCAACAACGAACATGTACAACCCCTCATAAGCCCAGTGGCATCATCAGGGAAAACTTTCGGGCAGAGATTCAGGGCCACACTCTGTGGAATATGCTGGAAGGCCCCAAACCCAGCAGTGTTGCTTTGCTACCTTTTGAAGTGAATTTAAGTAATAGGCATTATCTAAACAGAAGAACAATAAGAAAATGAAGTCCAGAGAGCTTTAAGCAATTTAAGATTGACCAGAATGGTCAAAGGCCTGGAAACGATGCCTTATGAGGAACGGCTAAGGGAGCTGGGCATGTTTAGCCTGGAGAAGAGGAGGTTAAGGGGTGATATGATAGCCATGTTCAAATATATAAAAGGATGTCATATAGAGGAGGGAGAAAGGTTGTTTTCTGCTGCTCCAGAGAAGCGGACACGGAGCAATGGATCCAAACTACAAGAAAGAAGATTCCACCTAAACATTAGGAAGAACTTCCTGACAGTAAGAGCTGTTTGACAGTGGAATTTGCTGCCAAGGAGTGTGGTGGAGTCTCCTACTTTGGAGGTCTTTAAGCAGAGGCTTGACAACCATATGTCAGGAGTGCTCTGATGGTGTTTCCTGCTTGGCAGGGGGTTGGACTCGATGGCCCTTGTGGTCTATTCCAACTCTATGATTCTAAGATCTATCTGCACTGCCGAATAATTTCTAAAGGCATGCCTGGTCACACGCACAGCACAATTAAATTCGTTTATTACCAGTCGTTATATCAGCAAAAAACTACTCTGAACGAATGAGTAACTGCCGTAGCCTTGACTCCTTCTGTTCATAATCGACTCATGGATAAACATAACTGTAGAGTTGGAAGGGGCCATGAATGTCATCTAGTCCAACCCCTGCAATGCAATAATTTTTCACCCACCGATGACCCCGAGATTAAGAGTCTCATGCTCTACCGAGCAAAAACAGGAATGACCGTGAAAGATATATTTTGTTGCCCAAAGCAAATTACGCACAGCCGGCCACCTCTAACAATTTACAGGAACCTTTCCTTTTTCTAGCAGTAAGGAGATACGGGAAGTTAGATGCCGCGAATTTGCTACCCTTTCACAACGCCCAGCATCAACTGCCTGAGGCTGGAATGTCACTTGGCCTAAACAGTAGGGCCAGGGCAGTTCTTTGAGCTCAAAGTACTAGTCAATACTAGCCTTCATTCAGAAGGGACTGCTGCACCTATGAACAGTTCATCCACCTTGACCCATATGAGAAGGAACTAGGAAACTATCACCACTGGCTGCAATTCTAACCCCACGTTTACACCCAGAAGTACACAGAAGCACAATAGGATTTGCAACCTCGCAGACCCAGACAGAATGGATTGGATTGCTAGTTCCTTTTGCATTCTGTCCAGCAGCAGAGCTTTTGGGGAGAACGGTTTTAAGAAGGTTTTGCTAGAGCAACATTCAAGAATCCTTAGATATGGGCATGCCACAATGAGCCGCAGAAACCTATTATTGACTCAGAACCGGCAACCTCTGTTCCCCGACTCATTAAGGCTGCAATCTCTCAGTTCCACTTAGAAATAAGCCTCCATCAATTCTACTGGGCTGACTTCCAAATATACTTAAGAAGATTAAACAGTAAGCTAAAATGCTTACCAGCTGACCCTATCTAACATTAAAGAACAAAATAAACTCCTCTCATACTCTCATAGCCCACTCCCTCCGGACAACTTACAGTCTCCATTGTGAAGGTTTGATGACTCAGCTGCTGACAAACACAAAAGCAAGCAAGTCTTCCTTCTTCTGCCTGAGCTTTAAATAGTGGCCAAGAGGAGGTGTGGCCTTCTTCCTGCCAATCAGAAACAAGCCTGTAAGGACCAATCAATCAGAGAGGAAGAGACTGGCCAATAGAAATTGGAATCTCTCCAATCATTAACCAAATTGCTAATTGACGTGACTTGTGTCTCTCTCGATCCATTCAATGTCCTTTGCATTCCTGACTCCATGTGAGGAATCCATAATTTTAGTCAGGTCCCAGCATTATCAACATAGAGCAGTGATGGCCAAACTTGGCACTCCAGTTGTTTTGGGACTACAACTCCCATCATCCCTAGCTAACAGGACCAGTGGTCAGGGATGATGGGAATTGTAGTCCCAAAACAGCTGGAGGGCCAAGTTTGGCTATCACTGACATAGAGCATGGGTAGGCAAACTAAGGCCTGGGAGCCAGATCTGGCCCAATCGCCTTCTAAATCTGGCCTGCGGATGGTCTGGGAATCGGCGTATTTTTACATGAGTAGAATGTGTGCTTTTATTTGAAATGCATCTCTGGGTTATTTTGTGGGCCTGCCTGGTGTTTTTACATGAGCAGAATGTGTCCTTTTATTTTAAACGCATCTCTGGGTTATTTGTGGGGCACAGGAATTCGTTCTTTTTTTCTCTCCCAAAAATATAGTCCGGCCCCCCACAAGGTCTGAGGGACAGTGGACCGGCCCCCCTGCTGAAAAAGTTTGACATAGATAAAGTGTTGAGCTACAATTCCCATCATCTCTGGCTGTTGGCCATGCTGATGGAAGATCAGGGCATCACCACCCACAAAATGTCAGAGCAATGTTTTTGAGTCTGTCACTGTTTTTGAGTCTGTCACAGAACAACCCCAGACATCTACTCTACATCTACATATACAAGATGGGTGACACCTGGCTTGAGAGCAGTACATGTGAAAAGGATCTAGGAGTCTTGGTTGACCACAAACTTGACATGAGCCAACAGTGTGACGCGGCAGCTAAAAAAGCCAATGCAATTCTGGGCCTCATCAATAGGAGTATAGCATCTAGATCAAGGGAAGTAATAGTGCCACTGTATTCTGCTCTGGTCAGACCTCACCTGGAGTACTGTGTCCAGTTCTGGGCACCACAGTTCAAGAAGGACACTGACAAACTGGAACGTGTCCAGAGGAGGGCAACCAAAATGGTCAAAGGCCTGGAAATGATGCCTTATGAGGAACGGCTAAGGGAGCTGGGCATGTTTAGCCTGGAGAAGAGGAGGTTAAGGGGTGATATGATAGCCATGTTCAAATATATAAAAGGATGTCACATAGAGGAGGGAGAAAGGCTGTTTTCTGCTGCTCCAGAGAAGCGGACACGGAGCAATGGATCCAAACTACAAGAAAGAAGATTCCACCTAAACATTAGGAAGAACTTCCTGACAGTAAGAGCTGTTCGACAGTGGAATTTGCTGCCAAGGAGTGTGGTGGAGTCTCCTTTTTTGGAGGTCTTTAAGCAGAGGCTTGACAACCATATGTCAGGAGTGCTCTGATGGTGTTTCCTGCTTGGCAGGGGGTTGGACTCGATGGCCCTTGTGGTCTCTTCCAACTCTGTGATTCTATGATTCTATGATTCTATGATTCTACTCAGATGTTAAGTCCCATTGAATCCAGGTAAATTACACCCAGGTAAATAAGTATATAGGATTGCTCCGGGCAGCTGCTACTGGAATGATCTCTCAGAGCCTCAATTCTCAGTGTGATTTAGCAGTCAATCCCTCTTTTTAGGGATATCTGCGAATCGTTGCTCCGAGGGGAATGGGGTCTCCATGCATCTCTGATTATCCTTAACGAACTAAAGTTCTCAGAATCCTTTGGGGGAAGCCATGGAAGTTTAAAGAGGTATGATACTGCTTTAAATGTATAGCACATTGTTGTAGTGCTTGTTGGAATTTGGCAAATACCTTGCAGATGTAACTTACACCTGTAGTGACCAAATGTAAAGCCTGAAGGAAAGTGAGCTACTTTAGCAGCAGAGCAATTATTATGTTCTTACAACTTTATTTGGAGGCTGAAATCAAACCTTCAGACAAATAAACCTTGTTTTAATCTGTAAGACTTTAAGCCATATATCTTCCCCTCTCTCTGAATTCCCCATGCATACCTAGAAAATGATGCTGGGAAAGATGGAGGGCACAAGGAGAAGGGGGCGACAGAGGACAAGATGGTTGGATAGTGTTTTCGAGGTTACCAGCATGAGTTTGACCAAACTGCGGGAAGTAGTGGAGGACAGAGGTGCCTGGCGTGCTCTGGTCCATGGGGTCACGAAGAGTCGGACACGACTAACAACAACAAAACCTAGAAAATAAAAGTGTGATTGACCTTACAGATGCCAGTGAAAACATGGGCAAAATTACTGTGTAATATATCCAAACAAAATCTTTTGTTGGAGATTTTTCTTCTTCTTTGGGTGTAGAAATGATCCCTTTGTCCTGACAAGGAAATTGAAGAACATATTTATGTATGTGACAACGGTGGCAAGAGTCTTACTAGCACAAGGATGGAAGAAGGAAGAAATCCCGACCAACCAAATAACTGTGGCAAGAGAAACTGATGGATTATGTGGAATTGGCAAAATTGACACATAAACTGCGTGATAAGGACAACGGTGACTTTAAAAAAGAATGGGAACCTTTTACAAAGTACTTAAAGAAACAACAAAGTGAACTGGACTCCTTGGCAGGTTTTGAATAAACATACACAAATTTATTACAGTGGTACCCTGGGTTAAGTACTTAACTCGTTCCAGAGGTCCGTACTTAACCTGAAACTGTTCTTAACCTGAAGCACCACTTTAGCTAATGGGGCCTCCTGCTGCCGCCGCGCCACCGGAGCACGATTTCTGTTCTTATCCTGAAGCAAAGTTCTTAACCTGAAGCACTATTTCTGGGTTAGCAGAGTCTGTAACCTGAAGCGTGTGTAACCTGAAGCATATGTAACCTGAGGTACCACTGTATTGGTAACATATATGCAGATAAATTAAGGATCTTTACAATATGCAGAAAATAACATATGTTGAAAAACCAGAGAGAGGACCTGAGGGAAGTCTGGGGGTGTTTCTTGGGGAGGGAAAAACTAAGGGGAAAAATGAGGATGATATGTTTTTGATAAACTGTTATGTTGAAAATTCTAATAAAAATTTTAGAAAAGAAAGAAAGAAATGATCCCTTTGTTACAGGGACTCTCTCAACAACACCATCATCAAAGTAAAGTCCCTAATTCTTTTGGGGAAAGCCACAACAGCTACACATCAATTACCGCACAGCATTTTTTAAAGGCGCTAAAAATGATGATGATGATTAAGAATCTCTTGTGTGGATTCCTCCTTGGTGAATTCACACTGTGCAAGCCTGTGGGTGCCTCCCAGGGATCATTAGCTCAGACACAGTTGGGAGACGTTAACAGCCAAATTACTCCCAAGTGCATCTGCACCGATGCTAATAAGATGGTTTAAATGAAGACCTGCCAACTTAAAGGGCCCCCTCTGTGCTCCCACAGCTTCTATTTGCATTGAAGCTGATTCGACAGAGACGGTGGGCAGGTGTTTCTCCTGTTGCTTTCCAAAACACCTTCTTCCGTCCCCGGGGGGGATAATCTTAGCTGCTGTCATTATAAGAATTGGCCGGCCTGTTATCATCTTGCACCTTGAACTCCAGAATTGTACATGTACCAAAAGTTATTAATGAGGCCTCTAGAGGCACGTTGGTGGTGCTGTGGGTTAAACAACAGAACCTAGGACTTGCCGAACAGAAGGTCGGCAGTTCGAGTCCCCACGATGGGGTGAGCTCCCGTTGCTCGGTCCCTGCTCCTGCCAACCTAGCAGTTTGAAAGCACGTCAAAGTGCAAGTAGATAAATAGGTACCACTCTGGCAGGAAGGTAAACGGCGTTTCCGTGCGCTGATCTGGTTCGCCAGAAGCGGCTTTTTCATGCTGGCCACATGACCCGGAAGCTGTATGCCGGCTCCCTCGGCCACTAAAGCGAGATGAGCGCCGCAACCCCAGAGTCGTCCACGACTGGACCTAATGTCAGGGGTCCCTTTACCTTTAGAGGCACGTTGCAGGAGCCACGATGGAACGAAGCTGCCAATATGACACACTACACAGCAACAGACTACACTGGTGTCTGCCTGTTGGGTGAAAAAGAAGGGGGACATGGGCAGAGAAGCTGCCGTCTACCAAGTCAGACCTTTGGCATTGTCAGTATCGTCTACAGTGACTGCAGGGGTGTCAGGCAGGGGATATTCCCACCTTTAAGGGATGCAGGTGGCGCTGTGGTCTAAACCACTGAGTCTCTTGGGCTTGCCGATCGGAAGGTTGGCAGTTCGAATCCTCGAGACAGGGTGAGCTCCCGTTACTCTGTCCCAGCTCCTGCCAACTAGCAGTTCAAAAGCACACCAGTGCGGGTAGATAAATAGGTACCACTGTGGCGGGAAGGTAAACGGCGTTTCCATGCGCTCTGGTTTCCGTCACGGTGTCCTGTTGTGTTAGAGGCGGTTTAGTCCTGCTGGCCACATGACCCAGAAAGCTGTCTGTGGACAAACGCCCGCTCCTTCGGCCTGAAAGTGAGATGAGCGCCACAACCCCATAGTCGCCTTTGACTGGACTTAACTGTCCAAGGGTCCTTTACCTTCACCTTACCTATTCCCACCTTGACCTGGAGATGCTGAATAGAGCATTATGGGGGGAATATGCTGGATCCTAACCCCATTCTGCCCAAACATGTGACCTGGAACCCAGTGCAACTTACACCAGCAAAGAGGGCGACGTGAGCCAAATTCTATTTTAAAGGCTTGTTTTCCTTCTGCTGGGCTTACGATAGCTCAGCTGACAGAAGCATTGCTCCTGAACAGGTTTGGGTCAGGCGTGCTTTACACCAGCTTCACCTAAACCGGCATAAATTGCGCTGGCTTCCCATAGTTAGGATTGCTCCCTCGTATGGCTACATCTGTTTAGAGAAGTTTTTAATGTTTGAAGTTTTATTCTGTTTTTAATGTTCTGTTGAAAGCCGCTCAGAGTGGCTGGGTAGAAATCATCATCATGATCATCTCTGCAAGTTGATGACTCTTTCAGTGTGGTGTAATAAGAGTGCTGAACTAGGACCTAGGAGACCGGGTTTGAATCTCCACTCAGCCGTGAAACTCAGAGCCTTGGACCAGTCGCCATCTCTCAGGGCTGCTGTTAGGATAGAACAGGGAGGGGCAACTTGAGCTCTTATATTGTAAATACAGTGGTACCTCAGGTTACATACGCTTCAGGTTACAGGCGCCGCTCACCCAGAAATATTACCTCGGGTTAAGCACTTTGCTTCAGGATGAGAACAGAAATTGTGCTCCGGCGGCGCAGCAGCAGCAGCAGGAGGCCCCATTAGCTAAAGTGGTGCTTCAGGTTAAGAACAGTTTCAGGTTAAGAACGGACCTCTGGAACGAATTAAGTACTTAACCTGAGGTAACACTGTATAATAGACAATACACTAAAATGGACTAAAAGGCAGAGGGTCCCTCCAGATAAACCATTTATTGAGTTATATATCCCAATTTGCTTGCACGCCGATTACAGAGAGGTTAGATTATAGCTGGCCATTTGTTTTGATTCATTCAAGGTTCAGCAATGAGCTTTCGTCCTGATGTTCTTGCAGGGTATTTACACGACCTTTGTCATTCATCCACCCAAACCCCTGGAGGTATTTTGTCACCACATTCCAAAATGCAAGTCTGTGGCTTTATTTATTTCTGTTTAAGTGGATTTGTTGCACTAGGGCAGCACAGCACTTTAAACCTCTTTAAGTGTGCAAACCAAAAGAAGAAGAAGAAGAAGAAGAGTTTGGATTTGATATCCTGCCTTTCACTACCCTTAAGGAGTGTCTCAAAGCGGCTAACATTCTCCTTTCCCTTCCTCCCCCACAACAAACACTCTGTGAGGTGAGTGGGGCTGAGAGACTTCAAATAAGTGTGACTAGCCCAAGGTCACCCAGCAGCTGCATGTGGAGGAGCGGGGAAGCGAACCCGGTTCACCAGATTACGAGACTACTGCTCTTAACCACTACACCACACTGGTATGCAGCTCAGTCCCCTCCAGCAACCACTGACAGCTCAGAGGCACCCTGAGTTAACACCTTGGTTAACTACCGTATTTTTTGCTCTATAAGACTCACTCCCCCCCCTAAAAAGTAAGGGGAAATGTGTGTGCGTCTTATGGAGCGAATGCAGCAGCTATCCCAGAAGCCAGAACAGGACATGGTTCCCGATTTGGCATTCAAACAACAGAAACTTTGGGAGACGGGACTTTATTTGCACATTCTTTCCCCCAGCTAGTTTAGAGCTGCAAAGGGAGCATAATAGTTCAGAAACTTGACGGATTTGATCTTGAAGTCTCCAGCCACCGAGAAGAACTGTGCAGAATCCATTCCGAGCCGGTTGGGGAACTTGATCTCCTTGTTTCCTGGCATCGTCACCGTCACCGCCCTGGCGTCAAAGGAGATGGAGATCTAGCAAGGAGAAACCAATGACTTAGCCAACCTGGTGCTCACCAGAAGTTGTTGGAGTGCAACAGGTGTCAGCCAGGCTGTTTGCTGGGGTTGATGGGAGTTGTAGTTCTAGATAGACCTTTGGTGCAATGCGGTTCATTCTTTCTTCTCCAGCCAGAAGGTGGGAGCTGACTGAGGGCAGAGGGAAACTGGTGGAGCAAATGGCCCCAAATTGCAGCAGAGGCACTTTGGACAATGCTGCATGATGCCCACTCTGGGATTACCAGAAGGGCTGTGTTTAGCAGATGCGGCGCCGGGGTGCAAATATCCACCCAGTGCCCTCAAATTACCATGGATGGGGGGGGTGAAGCTGCGCACTGCCAGCCGGGGGGGATGACTATATGGTGCAGCTGGTGGATGTGCAGGGAAAGGGGAGGCCGCTGGCAAAGCCGCGCAGCTCCTCCACTCGCTGGGCGCCCCTGAGGCCGGCGCCCTGGCGCAACGAACCACTAAGCCCTATGGGAAAGACGGCTCTGGTTACCAGGAATAGGGCATTCAGTGTGGCAGCACCACATTATCCAACTCACCTTACAAGGAACACAGGAAACGGCCTTAAAGCGAGTTAAGACCATTGATCGATCATCAAGCTCAGTACTGTGGTACCTCTGGATATGAATGAGAGCCGCTCTGGAGCCCCGTTTGCATCCTGAAGCGAACGCAACCCGCGCCTGCTTGTGCGCAGGTGGCGATTCGCCACTTCTGCGCATGCGAGTGGCGTCATTTTTAGCGTCTGCGCATGCGCGAGCAACGAAACCCGGAAGTAACACGTTCCGTTACTTCCGGGTCACCACGGCGCGCAACCCGAAAACGCTCAACCTGAAGCAACTTCAACCCGAGGTATGACTGTATTGTCTAAAGCACTGGTTCCCAATTGGGGATCCACGTAACCCACCCAGAAGGTCCATGGCAAATACCTATTAACACCCCGTTTTTGAGCACTGTGCTCTCAAGTGGATCATGTGACTTGTGCAGGAGTGTGGCCCGGAAGATGAGCATCCTGGTTTTGTGCCAAGACATGTTGGTGCCTAGGGCTGGGGGATTTCTGGTTTTGCAACGTCACAATATATCACCAGCTAAACATTGCGATATATCAAGATGTCTGAAATAAGGATAGAGCTATGTAGAGGCATTGGCTGGTTTCACGGTTTTCCTCACATTGTGATTTTTGCATAGTGCGCGCACACACATTTCACGATTCACCATGTATTGCCAGCTCAAAAACTACAAAACCATTATCACAATATGGACTTGAAACTGGTTTTGGACAGTATATCTATCGCCCAGTCCTAACACACATCACGATTCGCGATATGTTGCCAGGTCAAAAACTATAAACCGATTATCACGAGATGGACTTCAAACCGGTTTCAGATGATATTATTGATATATCGCCCAGCCCTAATGGTGGCACAGAAATATCAACATTTTCAAAAGTGAGAGAGTCTGTGGCTTGGGTTTTGGAAAAATAGAGGGTTCGCAGTACAGTGGTACCTCAGGTTACGTATGCTTCAGGTTACATACGCTTCAGGTTACAGACTCCGCTGACCCAGAAATAGTGCTTCAGGTTAAGAACTTTGCTTCAGGATGAGAACAGAAATCGTATGGTGGCAGCGCAGTGGCAGCGCTAAAGTGGTGCTTCAGGTTAAGAACAGACCTCCAGAACGAATTGAGTACTTAACCCGAGGTACCACTGTACTTAGCTATTTGGGAACCACTGGTCTGGAATGATTGGCAGTGGCTTTCCTGAGTTTCAAGCAAGAGACTTTTCCCGCCCTACCTGGAAATTCAAGGGATCGAACCTGTGACCTCTTACTTGCGAGGTCGATGCTCCACCCCTGAGCTAATGGCGTACCCCCATATTCACCTTGGCTTCTTCTCCCTGCTGGAAAGGGAACAGCGATTCTCGCAGCTCCTGGCCCCACACTCCACACGCCTTGGAGTTACACACAATGTCGCGTGTCTCAAAGCGAGGGTTGAAGTGGAGGAGGAGGTTGTGGCGATCCCGGCCCAGGTTGATGTCAAACCTGTCATGGAGACGGAGGAGATACTGGAGACGAAACTCACATTTGATAGGAAGCAGCAGAACCCCACGCGGCTCAATCCCCCTTCAACCCATGTATTTTTCTTCTGAGGTACAAACCTCTTGGCATCTGGGGTCACTCTCCCCATCACCAGGATCCCATCGCCAATCTTGATTGTCTTGTCGGTGACAGCCAGCTGCTAAAATAAGACCAAAGGGCAGGGTTAGACCAGGCATGGGGAAACATTGGCCCCCTTATTACTTTTTTGACATACAATGTCCCATTTTTAGTTGCTACTTTAATTATAAAGGGACACGGGTGGCGCTGTGGGTTAAACCACAGAGCCTAGGACTTGCCGATCAGAATGTCAGCGGTTCGAATCCCCGCGACGGGGTGAGCTCCCATTGCTTGGTCCCTGCTCCTGCCCACCTAGCAGTTCGAAAGCACGTCAAAGTGCAAGTAGATAAATAGGTACCGTTCCAGCGGGAAGGTAAACGGCGTTTCCGTGCTCTGCTCTGGTTTGCCAGAAGCGGCTTAGTCATGCTGGCCACATGACCCGGAAGCTGTACGCCGGGTCCCTCAGCCAGTAAAATTGTTTTCCCTCTTGTTTTTAAGTTTCCATGCCTGGTTTGTTTGCAAATTCAAAAGCTCATTGCTTTAAATCATGGGTAGCTAAACTAAGGCCCGGGGGCCAGATCCAGCCCAATCGCCTTCTCAATCCGGCCCACGGATAGTCCGGAAATCAGTGTGTTTTTACATGAGTAGAATGTGTGCTTTTATTTAAAATGCATCTCTGGGTTATTTGGGGGGCAGTGGAATTTGTTCATTTCCTCCCCAAAAATATAGTCCAGCCCCCCACAAGGTCTGAGGGACAGTGGACCGGCCCCTTGTTGAAAATGTTTGCTGACCCCTGCTTTAAATATTTCAGCTTCTGCTCCGACATAGATAATTTTCACAACATTTCACCTTTTGAAAAATTTGTAAGTTCCCTCTCTTTCTGAGCTATTTCCAACATTGTCTCTTGATTTTTCAACTCCTTTTGCTTCTTAAAAAGTGAATTCCACTGGAAGGGAAATACTCTCATCACTGCTTTTCCAGCATCCCACACTATCTTAATATCTGTTTCTTGGTTTAAGTTCAATTCAAAGTCATCTTTTAATTTTAGCTAGCCCTTTTCCGCTACTTATTTTTAAAGTAGGTATTCATTAAGTCTCCATCGAAATGATGTCTATCTGTCCTTTCTCCATGTAAATACTATCGCGTTGTGGTCTGAAAATATTCTGGGTTGAAAAGCTTTTCTACGGAGATCCACATTTGGAACGCTAACTTGGAACATTAAGTTGGACACTATGGGAGACTTATACAGTGGTACCTCGTGTTAAGAACTTAATTTGTTCTGGAGGTCCCTTCTTAACTTGAAACTGTTCTTAACCTGAGGTACAACTTTAGCTAATGGGGCCTCCCACTGCTGCGGAACGATTTCTGTTCTCATCCTGAGGTAAAGTTCTTAACCTGAGGTACTATTTCTGGGTTAGAGGAGTCTGTAACCTGAAGCGTCTGTAACCCGAGGTACCACTGTAATTGGAATAAAAAGGTAAATTAACTCATTGAAAGATTGAAAGACTGCTGCGCCATAAATCCTATCAAGACAAGGAGAGTTGGCGTGTGTTGAGAGAGTTGGAACAGAGCCCAGAGCCTGGAAGATAAAATGGTGAAATGAAAGATTGAGATGACTAAAAATCAATTAAAGGATATAAACACAAGATAAACTGCCTCCTGCATGCTAAGAGAAAGATGGATTTGTTGGACACAATAGAGTCATACACCAGGACTGTGAAGACTAAACAATGGGTTAAGATTGGAGTTATGAAATTGGGGAAAAACAAGAGAGATGAACCCAGGAACAACTGAAAGAGACTTTCTCCAGACATCCAGAACATGGGAAGTCCCGAAATTCTTTTAATTTGGAATGTATAATTGGCTTTGTTTATATTATGATGTGGCAAGATTTGATTTGATACAAATTGGAATATTATTAAATGAAAATTGGGGGGGGGGATTACGAAAAAAGAAAAAATGTTCTAGGACGGTTGAATGCCCATTTTTTGAATACAAGTACCGTAACGTGGGGGGAGCTGTGTGTTAAACCACAGAGCCTAGGACTTGCCGATCAGAAGGTGGGCGGTTCTAATCCCCGCGACGGGGTGAGCTCCCGTTGCTCGGTCCCTGCTCCTGCCCACCTAGCAGTTCGAAAGCACGTCAAAGTGCAAGTAGATAAATAGGTACCGTTCCGGCGGGAAGGTAAACGGCGTTTCCGTGCGCTGCTCTGGTTTGCCAGAAGCGGCTTAGTCATGCTGGCCACATGACCCGGAAGCTGTACGCTGGCTCCCTCGGCCAGTAAAGCAAGATAAGCGCCGCAACCCCAGAGTCGGCCACAACTGGACCTAATGTTCAGGGGTCCCTTTACCTTTACCTTACCTTACCATAATAATGGGTTTTGATGGACAACTCCCATGATCCCTGCCCACTGGCTATGCTGCCTGGGGCTGATGGGAGTTGTAGTTCGGCAACATCTAGGTGGTCAAACATCATGGCATTGATAATGAGCAGGACCAGTTCAACATATCTCCCAAACAGAGGAGAGTTCCTGCCATGGTTATCTGCCACTACTTTCCCCAGACCTATCTACTGTTTTATATACAGTGGTACCTCGGGTTAAGAACTTAATTCGTTCCAGAGATCCGTTCTTAACCTAAAACTGTTCTTAACCTGAAGCACCACTTTAGCTAATGGGGCCTCCTGCTGCTGCCGTCCGATTTCTGTTCTCATCCTGAAGCAAAGTTCTTAACCTGAGGTATTATTTCTGGGTTAGCAGAGTGAAGCGTCTGTAACCTGAAGCGTATGTAACCCAAGGTATATTACTCTCTCTCTCTCTCTCTCTCTCTCTCTCTCTCTCTCTCTCTCTGTTGTAGGGCAGGTAATAGCAGAACTCAGCCAAAAGCAAATTTGCACTGTCAATCAGCTAATTGATGCCGCCAGTCAGCTGGCTGGTGCACTTGCAAACCCTGACAGCTTATCATTTGGCATGACACAGATGGCTTAATTTCTTCTTTTAAAAAATTGCATTTTCAAAAACAGGGACAGGTGCTACTAGCTCAGAGATGAAAAGAAGAAAGAGTCCCTACCAAAGAGGAATGGCAGACTAAGCTGATGGACTATGCCAAAATGGCAAAGCTGACTGGGAAACTCAGGAACCAAGAGGACAAAAACTTTTTTTAAAAAAAATTGGGGGAAATTTATAATTTACTGAGGAGACCACTGTAAACAGATGAAAACATTAGCAGGACTTTAATTTATTATTATTATTAGAATTTAATACCACTTGTAATGTAACAGGTATTATGGATAATATAAAGGTAAAGGTACCCCTGCCCGTACAGGCCAGTCTTGCCAGACTCTAGGGTTGTGTGCCCTAGGACAGCAAGAGGCCGGGGGCCAGCGCTGTCCGCAGACACTTCCGGGTCACGTGGCCAGCGTGACATAGCTGCTCTGGCGAGCCAGAGCCGCACACGGAAATGCCGTTTACCTTCCCGCTAGAAAGCGGTCCCTATTTATCTACTTGCACCCGAGGGTGCTTTTGAACTGCTAGGTTGGCAGGTGCTGGGACCGAGCAACGGGAGTGCACCCCGCTGCGGGGATTCGAACCGCCGACCTTTCGATCGGCAAGCCCTAGGCGCTGAGGCTTTTACCCACAGCGCCACCCACGTCCCATGGATAATATGGATAAATACAAAAAAAAAAAAATAGATCACGAAATAATATGTTTTTGAAAATGTTCACACTAGGACCCAAGGAAGGGTTGGAGGGGAAGTCGTGAGATTCAGAGAAATCTCTTTAAATGGATATGGATTTGATATTGTTATAAACTTTTTTTGTTTGTAAAATCTAATATAAATGAATTTTTTAAAAAAAAACAGGAACAGAACATATTTAAACCCCTCCTGTCCCACTTCTCTTTAAAAAAACAGGGCCATGGTAATTAAAAAAACAGGGCCATGGTTACTCACTTGTTACGAAAGAAGATCTCCAAGCAACTTACAACATAAGTACAGTGGTACCCCGGGTTACATACGCTTCAGGTTACATACGCTTCAGGTTACAGACTCCGCTAACCCAGAAATAGTGCTTCAGGTTAAGAACTTTGCTTCAGGATGAGAACAGAAATTGTGCTCCGGCGGCGCAGCAGCAGCAGGAGGCCCCATTAGCTAAAGTGGTGCTTCAGGTTAAGAACAGTTTCAGGTTAAGAACGGACCTCCGGAACAAATTAAGTACTTAACCCGAGGTACCACTGTAAACAAAAACCCCCACAATATAGGCATATTTACACAAACATGCATATTATTAGAAATATATACAAGCAGCTCTGCCACCCCAGTGAAGTTGCACAAGGGAGACTGAGTCACCAGACTGTTCTTTCTCCTACACTTTCTATAACGACTTGACAAAATTGCAATTTAATCTGCTCCCCCTAATTGGCATTATATAACCACATGCCCCCCAACAAACACAACACAGTACGGTAGTCAGCTAGAACTATTCCTATTGCTACACAGATTGGCCACACTGGGGAGTAACTTACATACTCCATAATTTTCTCAGAGCTGCTTCAAAAAAGACACAGGAGGAATCCACGAAAGGGCTTCAAAGCCTGACCCTTAAAGCCGTAATCAGGAGTTTGTCCTTCCTCCTTCCATCCAATCAGAGGTGCAGGCCTGTAAACACCATGCAGTCAAGAGTAGGCGAGGCTGGTCAATGGAGCAGACTGGAGCCATCTCACCAGGTGGGTTCGTTCCAGACCAATTGTTAAGTGTTGTTGCAGGAATTTATGTATAGGTTGGGGGGGGGTTGCCCCTCCAGCAGATATCCAGCACATGCAGCCAACTACCAAAATCAGCACAATCACTTTTGTGACTTTTATGATTTGTCCCCACAAAACACTACATCACAGTTTCTTCCTATCTATTAAAAGGGCCTTTGCTGCACGATACCAAATGTAACAATTCACTGATAAATGTATCTGTGTACAGTGGTGCCTCGCAAGAGGAAATTAATCCGTTCTGCGAGTCTCTTCGTCTTGCGGTTTTTTCGGCTATTAGCGGCTTAGCGGCTATTAGCGGCTTAGCGGCTATTAACGGCTTAGCGGTTTAGCGGCTTTAAGAAAAAGGAAACAAACTCGCAAGAACTCGCAAGATGTTTCGTCTTGCGAAGCAAGCCCATAGGGAAATTCGTCTTGCGGAACGACTCAAAAAACGGAAAACCCTTTTGTCTAGCGAGTTTTTCGTCTTGCGAGGCATTCGTCTTGCGGGGCACCACTGTACTGGCTCACTGGGAAAACTTCAGAAATTCATATAGACATGTGAGCTCAGCTACTCAGCAGCCCCTCTGCCTGAGTGATAATCCCTGGCATCCTGATACCTGCGTGCCAGACAGGTAGCCATTCCAGAAATAACAAACCCAGATGATGACAAAAGGGTGTGATTAACTTGGCTGGGAAACAGGGAAATGTAAATACCTCTTTTGTTACACTTGATGGGTGTTTGGTGGAGGGCAAGGGGAACCATGGGGCAGGGGCCAGGATGCCCAGATTACTGCCACCAGACCTTCCCTTTCATGATGTAACCGTGATGTATTAGTGATGTAGTTTGGGGGGAACATGGAGATTAGCAGCTAATAAAAGCTTGGGTTCTTTTTTGTTTGGGGGCTTCCATCTTGTTCCACCTTGTGGCAGGTGGGAGTCCTGTCGCGACAGTCTTCAATAAAGACCAAGCCTACTGGCTGCTGTTTTGCTCTGGTATTCCTGGCTGGTGTACTTGTTTTTTGTCCAAGGGAGCCCTCGGATTTCTCCGTTAACAGTGTGCCATATATATATGTCTCTCATTTGCACAGCTCGCTCAAGGGGAAGAATACCTTAAAACCTGCCATAACACCCTGAAGACGAGCAAAAGCATTTGTGGGTGGGCTTTTCCCACCCACCTCTTTCTCCAGAGGTTGAAATTCCTACCTCAATCTACTGATCTGATTAAGCATGGATACGATGAAGCTGCATATCTCTTCGGAGGATTGGTCTGCAGGCAGGCATGGCCAAACTCGGCCCTCCAGATGTTTTGGGACTACAATTCCCATCATCCCCGACTACTGGTCCTGTTAGGTGGGGATGATGGGAGTTGTAGTCCCAAAACAGCTGGCGGGCCAAGTTTGGCCGGTCCAAGGGCACATGCAGTACAGAGGTTTATTGGCACTCCCAGTGCGAAACTGATTCTATACAAACTAAACCATTCAGTATTCCATTATTCCACCCATCAAAACTTATTTACACTTCACATAGACATCTGATTGGCCTCCATACAAACAGGGTGATGAATTAGATAGACCTTTGACCCATGGCAGCTAAACAGTTTTTAATGTTCCTTGCCACTTCTGCCCAGTGTATTAACTGGGCTTGAGACAGGATTGATCTGAGCCGCTGGTTAAAGCCTTAATCCTGCAACCACTTATAGACCTTCTGTAACAGGGAGTGAATAGCTGTAGCCATTCCAATGTTGCTGGACTCTTAAGTCCCACCAGCCCCATCTGACATAGCCAGTGGCCAAGGATGATGGGAGATGGTAGCAAGAAAGGGAGGAACCCGCTTATATTTAATTAAGGATGAAAGAACAGAGCTTTGAAAACTCTGTGTTGCAACATGTTAGTGTGTCGGCTGTGGTGTGCAGGTGCGTCGTGTGAATGCTCTTATAAGGGGTTAGTTTAACCTCCAGTTTGCTAATAAAAGTGAATTACTGATTACTCTCCAAAAAGTGTGTCACCAACATGAAAAGTTCTGATGGTGCCTGGTGTGCCGTGGGAGGGAGGCGGGCGAGTCGGGCGGCGAGAGGCGGGGCGGCGGCGGCGAGGAGAGGCCGCCCAGCGTGGGGCTCTCGCCGTCTGCCTGCCTGGCTGCCTGCGTGGCGCTGACGTCACGGGGCTGTAACGTGCCCTACATAGGCACACGCGGTGCGGCGAGCGAGCTCCCTCCCACATCCCATCGCCGCTCGCTTCGGCCGGCCTACTGGGCTGTCGCAGGCGGAAGGCCTGCGCATGCGCGAGGTTTTCGCGCCTTCGGGATTCCCTTCACGCCTTCCTCCTCCCGGGTCCTTGAGAGCGCGGGAAGCGGCAGCGCGAGACCGGCGTTGAGCCTGGTAGGTATTGCGCTTGCCAAGGCAGTCATTTGGGAAATGAAAACTTGCAAAGCAAGCAACCAGTTCAATCTGAAGTACGTGTATGCTTAATATCCTGTATCTGAAACCTGTTCTGCCCCCTCCCCCACACTTGGTGCCATTTTCATCTACACATGCAGCAGAGTAAGTTGACCCAGAATAGTACCAATTCAGATGGCAGATGGGAGAATGACAGTGCTGAATGCTTTCCCATGTAGAACAGTCCCTGCAAATAAAAACCTAGCATATTTGGAAGAGGGATGCTAGCCTAACCATTACCTTCTATGCTGTTACTATTTTTTTTTTTTTTTACATAAGTAAAAAGTGACCTTTCCCCATCTGGCATGGTGGTGTGCCTCGAGATTTTTTTCATGAAACAAGTGTGCCTTTGCCCAAAAAAGGTTGGGAAACACTGGTCTAAACTACTGGGCCTCTTGGGCTTGCCGATCAGAAGGTCAGCGGTTCGAATCCCTGTGACAGGGTGAGCTCCCGTTGCTCAGTCCCTGCTCCTGCCAACCTAGCAGTTCGAAAGCACATCAAAGTGCAAGTAGATAAATAGGTACCGCTCCAGCGGGAAGGTAAACGGCATTTCTGTGCGCTGCTCTGGTTTCGCCAGAAGTGGATTAGTCATCCTGGCCACATGACCTGGAAAAACTGTCTGCGGACAAACGTCGGCTCCCTCAGCCAGTAAAGCGAGATGAACGCCACAACCCCAGAGTCGTTAGCGACTGGACTTAACCGTCAGGGGTCCTTTACCTGGCTTACATGCCCAGAAAATAAAACAAGGACATTCCTTGCCCGCAGGTTTACAATCTTAAGGTCAAAACACAAAAGGAAAGGGGGCAGGGAGGGAAGAGGAAGAAAGCAAACTCATGGGCTGGTTATTTAAGTCAAATGGAAGTTTGAATGATTGCATTCTCTACAGAACAAGTCTAAACTAATGGGAAGCTTAGGTAGCAGGAAGGATTTTGAGGGGTGTATGTGTGTGGGGGGGGGTGTCACAGCACACAGAGAAGGGTTAACCCTTCCCTTCCCAGCTGTGTGGCAACAACCAGGCTTGAAAAAGGCCTTCCAATGCCAGACGGGTTTCCCAGCAGTTTGCACACCCCGCCTACAAAGGCTGCCCTCTAATGCAGGACTCCTAGAGCAGCGTAATAAAAGCACATCTACTAATCTTAACACCTGGACCCTTGCTGCATGTGTAGGTCTAGCAGTCTCAAAAGCAAAGACCCCGTGCTATAGGGTGCTATGTAAATATAACCCAAGTGGTACAGGGAATTTGAATAATGGAAAGATTTCAAAATTTTAATATTCTCTCTCTCTCTCTCTCTCTCTCTCTCTCTGTGTGTATATATTTCTGTTTTACAATTTAGAATACTCATTTAAGCATCATTAAAATATCAGTGACTTTCCTTCTTCTCTTTCCATGGTTCATTTTGCATAACATAAAATCCCTGCATACTTTACATAAACTAAACCATTCAGCATTCCATTATTACATCCATCACAACTTATTTACACTGTTGAATTTATCTTAATGCTACCAAGATTCAACATTTTAATTCTAGACAAGAATGAGAGCTGTTGGATAGAGAGAAGCGACATTTTAAAAGGGATTCAAGCAGTTACAGAGAACCTGGAGCAGTGGCAAGCACAATATACTGTATGACAAATGCGTTGCTTTCTTGCCCAGCTCCTGTTGCGTTAAGGGTTAAAAGCCAAGCGAGTCCTTTCCTAGCTCGGCTGGATGGCGGGGAGATCGATGGCGGATGTCGCTTCCTGCTCCGCCCACCGTGGGAAATAATTCATGGAATTTCCCAGGCCTTGGGGCGGTGCTTTGTTCCTTGGGGGAGAAAGCCGGTGAGTTTAAAAATAAATAAACTGAAAAGCCCGTGGGTGAAAGGTGCAATTCCGGGTGGAAGAAAGGAAGGGGGTGCAGATTGGATTCGTGGGGCCGGAGGGAGGCGAGGCATTGTTCGGGCTAAGAGCATCCGAAGATCAGGATCAGGCCAGGGGATCTCCCCAGTCCAGCGGCCAACCAGATGCCCCAGCGGCAAGCCTCTCCGAACAGGACCTCCCCACGCGCGATCCCCAAATACTCGTTTCTAAGGGAATAAATAGCCATTGGCACAGCCTTTGCCCTCTTTTAAAGCCGTTCCTGCATTTTGGGGGGTTGGTTTCCCAACCTTGTGCCTCCAGCTGTTTTTGGACTACAATTCCCATCATCCCTTGCCACTGGTCTTGCTAGTCAGGGATGATGGGAGTTGTAGTTCAAAAACAGCTGGAGGCACAAGGTTGGGAAACACTGGACTAGATGACCCTTTCAACCCTACAATTCTAGGATTCTGCCTCTTGTACGGAGCAAATCGTAACCTTCTTTTGACTGTCCCGAATCTCCCAATTTTATGCTGTCCGTTAGTATGCTTTTCATTACGTTTTTATCACTGATGTTCCATAAAATGTGCCCCCCCGCCTTTTCTTAAATCAAATTTTTATTGGTTTTTAAACAAATACAATAAGCCTTAAACACTTATCCAGCAGTACAGCTAACGGTGTTTGTTTTATCTGGATAAATGTTAAACATTCAAACATATTACTTAACATAACCTCCCTACTGACTGAAATCAATATCTTCTTATACCAACCTCTCGGAATGTGCTCTTAATGTTGTACAACACCCTGGGGGTCTTTTGATAAATTAATAATAATAATAATAATAATAATAATAATAATAGGATAATAATGTATTATTTGTACCCCACCCATCTGGCTAGGCTTCCCTAGCCACTCTGGGCGGCTTCCAACAAAGATTAAAAATACATTAAAATGTCACACATTAAAAACTTCCCTGAAGAGGGCTGCCTTCAGATGTCTTCTAAATGTCAGGTAGTTGTTTATCTCTTTGACATCTGCTGGAAGGGCGTTCCACAGGGCGGGCGCCACTCCCAAGAAGGCCCTCTGCCTGGTTCCCTGTAGCTTTGCTTCTCGCAGGGAGGGAACCGCCAGAAGGCCCTCGGCACTGGACCTCAGTGTCTGGGCAGAACGATGGGGGTGGAGACGCTCCTTCAGGTATACTGGGCTGAGGCTGTTTAGGGCTTTTTTTCTTTTTTGGGGGGAATGCTTTTTATTGATTTTCACAAACACAGGATTAAACGAAAATAGCCAAAGAAGAAAAAACATAAGGAAAAGAACAGTAAATAAAACAATCTTTTAAAGTCTACATTTTGCATATTATTTACAAAGCGCATGTTTACGCCCATTTAGGGCTTTAAAGGTCAACACCAACACTTTGAATTGTGCTCGGAAACGTACTGGGAGCCAATGTAGGTCTTTCAGGACCAATGTTATGTGGTCCTGTATGTAAGCCGAATAAATAATGACAATAGTAATCTTATGCACACTTAACGTGGGAGTTAGCCCCGCTAAACTCAGTGGGATTTACTTCCAAGTAAGCATGGGCAGGATTGTGATTGTTCCGTTGTCCCACTCAGAGCATGGCTGGGAGGCTTTTGGCTTGCTAGATGTTGCCGAGACTACAACTCCCATCTTACCTGACCATTGGCCGAATGATGGCAGCTGGAGTCGGTGGGATCTGGAGCTCAGCAACATCTGGGGTGGCGACCGCAGGGTCCCCAGCCCTGAACCAGAAGATTTCAAGCACATCTTGAGACAAGATGCGATCCCCGTTCCTGAAACCATCTCCTTTCCACTTTGTCCTCACAGGCTGTGGCACGTTTCATCTCCGATGGGCCTTCCATCCCGAAGGAACAGAGATGTCAGTAACACACCTGGCTCAGGTATGCAGGAGGATGAAGACAGAGGGTTTGTGCCAGGGAGGTGTGAGCTCAGAGAAATGCTCTCTGTTTCACAATTTCAAAAATTCATTGTAGTCGTTTTCCCGCCCCTTCCAGATGCTGGTGAGCTTTGAAGACGTTGCTGTCTATTTCACCAAGGGTCAGTGGGATCTTCTGGATTCGCATCAAAAATCTTTGTACAGCGAAGTCATGGGGGAGAATTACGGCCATGTAGCTTTCCTGAGTAGGTAGTATTTCTCGTCATTTTGTTGGGACAAATATATGTTCTGAAGCAGCCATCTTATACCACTTTTAAATGTGTGGGAGGGGAAGCGGGGCTATTGGTTTGTTTGTTTGCTCTTATTTTTAAGAGGTATTTTGTGCTCTTATGTTGCGAACCGCCCTGAGCTCTGTGGATGAATGACGGCATGCACATTTAATAAATAATAATAAGGCTGTTCTGGAAAATCAGTTGAGGGCATTTGCCAGGTATAAGAACACCTGAAGAACACCTGCTAGATCAGGCCAGAGGCTCATCTAGGCCACATTCACTACATACACTGCAGGGGGTTGGACTAGATGACCCTTGGGGTCCCAACTCTGCGATTTTATGATTCTATCCATCTATAGCCCTATGGTAACATTTAAACAGTCCTGGCTTTCCCCAAAGGATACCAGGAGCTGCTGTTTCTCAAGGTTTGCGCCTTCATTATACACTTTTAACTGCTAGGCAAAAATATTTCTTTTTAACCAGGCCTTTGGTTGATCTGACTGACATCCTACACCCTTGTAAAATGTGGCTCTTTTTTGTGGTGTGTGTGTATTATTGGGTTATTTTATATATATATATTGTGATCTATTCTGTGAACTGCCCTGAGACCTACAAGTATAGGGCGGTACAGTGGACGCTCGGGTTGCGAATGTGATCCGTGCGGGAGGCACGTTCGCAATCCACAGCACCGCATCTGCGCACGCGCGGGTTGCGATTCGGCGCTTCTGTGCATGCGCGAAGTGCAATTTAGTGTTTCTGCGCATGCACAAGCGCCAAAACCCAGAAGTAATCTGTTCCGGTACTTCTGGTTTCGGTGCATCCATATCCCGAAAACGCACAACCTGAAGCATCTGTAACCCGAGGTATGACTGTATATAGATTCAAAATAATAATAATAATAATAATAAAGGGTGTCAAGAGTTTGGAGGCCCCTATCTCCTTCCTAACGCTACACTTGCAAAAGTAGTGGCACAATCAACCTGTCTTCACCGCCTCTGATTGCTGTGCTGTTTTCATGAGATTGTTTTATTGCGTGCTTCAATTATGGATGTTCGTATGTGCAAGTGGCCTTTGTACGTCGTAAACCTCTCGGAAGCCAGTTTTTGACGTTAGGCGGTATATTGAGTCATAAATAGCAACCGGAACGGTAATAATAATGTTCACATCCTTACCCAAGTGGGGTCTCCAGTTCTCAAACCCGACCTGATCTCCCGGCTGGAACAAGAGGAAGAGCCCTGGATTCCGATCCCCTGTGAGGTGGATGGAGGGAAGACTCTGGACTCTGGACCAGGTGCGAAATTAGACGAAGCCAGCTTTGGGATTGTGCACGATGCAAAAATCCCCAGATTTTTCTTGCACTACAACTCCCATCATCCCTGTTTGGGAGGGAAGATCCCACTCGGGCAGGAAGTTGCCAGCATGGTGGGGTGGTGTCATAAAGTTGCCCTCGCATAAGCCCCCTTGAGATTATATTTCGTTGCCTTGAGAACAGCGGTTTAGCTCACAAGGGTGATGATGATCAGTGTAATCAAAATGGTGCTACCTCTGTGTGCCTGTTGCCCCCCTGCATGCATTTTCTTCTGCATGTGGTATTTGCTGAAGGAGAAGAATTCCTTTCTGCAGAACTCGCTCACTTTTTGAGGCTTGGTTTGAACGGAGCATCAAAAGTTCAAGGATGGGTAGAAATGGAATTGTTCTCTGCGTTTTTTGTGCCTTCAGGTGCAAGAAGTCCGTACTCTCTCTGTGCTGGTGCATCCGCTCCTCCTGGTGGAAGGGATCCAACTGAGGCAGACCCTGGGCAGGTAGGAAACTCTGATTGCAGAGCCCAGCGGCAGAAATCTGTCATTTGCCCACATTGAGAACCAGTGTAGTGGATTGAAATCCCAAGTGGGCCAAGGAGACCAGCATTTCAGATCTCTGTTGGGCCACTTGTTGTCTCTTGGTCACCCCTGCCGCACAGTGTTGCTGTGAGGATGGCATCAGAGAGTCCCGCTGTGTGGTTGTGGGAGAGGGGAGGCATACAAACTGCCTTGTTCCGAGGCAGATTATTGGTCCATCCAACACAGTATTGTCTACAGATCCTGTGATGATTGGCAGAAGCTCTCCAAGGTTTCGGGAACTGGTGCTGTGGTCTAAACCACTGAGCCTCTTGGGCTTGCCAATCAGAAGGTAGTTCAAATCCCCGCTCCTGTTGCTCTGCCCCAGCTCTTGCCAACCTAGCAGTTCAAAAGCATGCCAGTGCAAGTAGATAAATAGGTACCGCTCTGGTGGGAAGGTAAACGGTGTTTCTGTGCGCTCTGGTTTCTGTCAAGGTGTCCAGTTGCGTCAGAAGCAGTTTAGTCCTGCTGGCCACATGATCCAGAAAGCTGTCTGTGGACAAACACCGGCTCCCTCGGCCTGAAAGCGAGATGAGCGCTGCAACCCCATAGTCGCCTTTGACTGGACTTAACCATCCAAGGGTCCTTTACCTTTTTTTTGCCTGGGGTGCCAGGGATTGAACCCAGACAGGCACAGGGTGGCTGAGGACAGACTGAGTTTAGTGCCTCCACTGAATCTCAGATCACTGCAAAACCACATTTTGAAGCAGATATGCCACTATTGTGTGTGGTTTGGGGTAGAAGCCTCTTTGGGATGGTATCTGGGGAAGAGAAGATCTTTAGTTTGCCGACCTGTTGTTGTCGTCACTGTTGCAGAGACCCGTGACCTTTGAGGATGTGGCTGTGTACTTTTCAGAGCAGGAGTGGGCCTTGCTGGATCCGGCTGAAAGAAGCTTGTACAGGGATGTCATGCTCGAGAACTATGAAAATGCATCTTTGTTGGGTAAGTACCTTGTCAGGTTGAATCCTGACAAGACAGAAGTACAGTTTTGGGGGGACAGGAGGTGAGCAGGTGTGGAGGACTCCCTGGTCCTGAATGGGGTAACTGTGCCCCTGAAGGACCAGGTGCGCAGCCTGGGAGTCATTTTGGACTCGCAGCTGTCCATGGAGGCACAGGTCAATTCTGTGTCCAGGGCAGCTGTTTATCAGCTCCATATGGTACACAGGCTGAGACTCTAAAATGCAGCCTCATTTTAAAAGTAGCCCGTAGATCAAAACCATAAGGGGAGGGAAACATAAGGGTCAGACTGAGTCCAAAGCAAAGGCCAGGCGGAACAGCTCTGTCTTGCAGGCCTTGTGGAAAGATGTCAAGTCCCGCAGGGCCCTGGTCTCTTGTGACAGAGCGTTCCACCAAGTTGGGGCCAGTACTGAAAAGGCCCTGGCCCTACTTGAGACCCAAAAATGATTGTCTGATTCCTCCTTGATCCTCTTTGCCTTTTCTCTCCAAACAGGGTCTCCTGTCCTCAAACCCTCCCTGATCTCCAGCTTAGAAGAAGAGGAAGAACCTTGGGTGCCAGATCCACAGGCCCTGGAGGAAAGGAAGGCCTTGGACTCCAGCTCTGGTGAGAGAGAAAGGATTCTAGATTCGTTTGCTTGTTTTGAGTTGAAGAGCATTTAAACATAACACTGGGAAACAAAATTTTCTTGCAGTTGTTCTAACCTAATTTAGATGTGCTGATTTCATATCTGAAGTTGGTTTTGTTCTGTAAGCTGTAGGGTTTTTTTTTGCAATTCATGCATCAGGCTTGTTTACACATTTTTGTCTACTTGAAGAAGCCATGTTCCAATCTGAAAAATACAAATATTTAGGTTAGGTAAAGGTAAAGGGACCCCTGACCATTAGGTCCAGTCGTGACCGACTCTCACTTTACTGGACGAGGGAGCCGGCGTACAGCTTCCGGATCATGTGGCCAGCATGACTAAGCTACTTCTGGCGAACCAGAGCAGCGCACGGGAATGCCGTTTACCTTCCTACCGGAGTGGTACCTATTTATCTACTTGCATTTTTATGTGCTTTCGAACTACTAGGTTGGCAGGAGCAGGGACCGAGCAACGGGAACTCACCCCGTTGTGTGGATTCAAACCGCTGACCTTCTGATCGGCAAGTCCAAGGCTCTGTGGTATAACCCATAGTGCCACCCACATCCCTATATTAAGGTTACAAAACTATAAAAATAAAGAAAAATTAAGTTTGCAAAACAATAATTACCATGTGTAGGGTAGATCAACGTGTCAGTGTCCACTTATCCCCAGTGTAAATATGACATATCAGCAAACATCGGAAATTGAAAGATAACTATAGCATGTACATGAAAATCGATTTCAGATTTGAAATCAGCATTGAAAGAACATATAAGAACAGTTGAAAAAGCTCATGCAACAGAAAATGAAAAAAAAAAATGTTCCCCAGTTCTCCCCGCCCATCCCTGGAGAGGACTCTGCCTCATGTTTTTTCAAACATTTTAATTTCCTCTCAGCTCCTTCTAAATTATTTATTTAGGTTTGTGTTCTGTTATTACTCCCTCATGTTCTCAGCTCCTAAAATGTCTCTGGTTTATTCCTTTGTTTACATGAGTGCTCTCTCTGTCTCCCTCCTAGCAGGTGACAAGAAAAAAAGGCACTTTTGCCCGGATTGTGGGAACAGTTTTACAGTGCTAGCAAGCCTCGTGAGGCACCAGAGATCCCATACGGGGGAGAGACCTTACAAATGCCTCGAGTGCGGGAAAGGGTTTCGCGACAAAGGAGGCCTCGTCAAACATCGGAGGATCCACACTGGCAAAAAGCCCCACGAGTGCCATGAATGCAGGAAAAGGTTCACGGAAAGAGATGCGCTTATTCAGCATCAGAAAACCCATCTTGGTGAGGGAATTGTGGTCACCGTGCTTTGGGGTGTCGCTTATTTATTTGTGCACTGCTCTGCAACAACTAAAGCACCTTTTAGATAGAAGATAGAAACAAACTGCGGCGGGCAATAAAAATCTACCATAAAAGGAAAACCTAAACTAAACGGCCTGAGCAAATAAGTTTTGTTCCCCTGTTCTGAAAAGAGGATAAAGGAAATACTCATTTTAGCATTTTTCCCCTTCTATTTTTCTCCTCTTCATTTTCTGTCGGCTACTCTTTACCAATTTTGCTAGAATTTTGCTTAACTATAGGACATTCCCAAGTTGCTCTTCGCTTTGTCAGCCCACGTAAATCTTTAGTTATAAATCAATAATGCGTATGTCACAACATGTCTCTCCCACTGTTTATCATACATAAATGCCTGACTGGTTTTAGTAATAATACTAATACTACTACTAATAATAATTTATTATTTATACCCCGCCCATCTGGCTGGTTTTCCCCAGCCACTCTGGGCAGCTCCCAATAGAATATTAAAAACATCAAACATTAAAAACTTCCCTAAACAGGGCTGCTTTCAGATGTCTTCTAAAAGTCAGATAGTTGGGTTTTTTCCTTGGCATCTGATGGGATGGTGTTCCACAGGGCGGGTGCCACTACCGAGAAGGCCCTCTGCCTGGTTCCCTGTAACTCACTTCTCTCAGTGAAGGAGCCGCCAGAAGGCGCTCGGAGCTGGACCTCAGTGTCCGGGATGGATGATGAAGGTGGAGACGCTCCTTCAGGTATACTTGGCCAAGACCATTTAGGGCTTTAAAGGTCAGCATCAACACTTTGAATTGTGCTCGGAAACGTACTGGGAGCCAATGTAGGTATTTCATGACCGGTGTTATGTGGTCTCGGCGGCTGCTCCCAGTCACCAGTCTAGCTGCCGCATTCTGGATTAGTTGCAGTTTCTGGGTCACTTTCATAGGTAGCCCCACATAGAGCGCATTGCAGTAGTCCAAGCGAGAGATAACCAGAGCATGCACCACTCCTTTGCAGACACAGCATTCCATTTATGCCGCAAACCACACAGACATCTTTCGATTCTCATTGTTATGGAACTCAGTGACCTCAAACTCCCAGGCTTCAAAATAATCTCTGGACCCGTCCGTTTTAACTTTGTCCCTGCCAAGCATCAATAGCTTGGTGGCATTAGTCCTGCACCATCATTTCCAGAGGGGTCACTCCTTGCCTGTTTGGTCCCTTCGCAGGTGACCTGAGGAAGCGCTACTTGTGCCTAGAGTGCGAGATGAGCTTCCTCAGCAAAGGAGGCCTCGAGAGGCACCAGAGGGTCCACGCGGGAGAGAGGCCCTTCCAGTGCCCCGAGTGCGAGAAAAGCTTCTACGACAATGGGAGCCTGGTGAGGCACCAGCGGACCCACCGGCAGGACAGGCCCTTCCCCTGCCTCGAGTGCGGGAAGCGCTTCAACATCCGCTCCAACCTCACCAGGCACGAAATCCTCCACAAAGAAGCCAAGCCCTTCCAGTGCGCCGACTGCGGGAAGCAGTTCAGCAGAAAGGGGCGCTACCTGAAGCACGCGAGGGAGAAGCCCTACGATTGCCCCGTGTGTGGCAAGGCCTTCTGCGAGAGGGGAGACATGGTCCGACACCAGAATCAGCACCCAGGTGAGCGGGGCAGCGCCGGGGGGATCTTCTCCAGGTGGCGAGGCCATAAGAAGCGCCCACCAGGTTACTCCAGTACAGTGGTGCCTCGGGTTAAGTACTTAATTCGTTCTGGTTTTTTTAAAAAAATTATATTTATTAAGAGTTTAAAAATTACAAAAAAAAGAGAGAAAAAGAGTTAAACAAAACAAAAACAATACAGTACAATACAAAAACAAAAACACTACATATACATAACAAAAAACATAAACAATTAGAAACACATCCAATACTTTCAAAATCTTATCTTTCGTTTACTTGTTTCAGCGACCTCCTCGCACCTCCCTTTTTTGTATTCCACTTCAATTAACTGTTTCAGCAAATCCTTTCCATCTTCCTTAGTTTTCTGTCCTATAATTTATCTTAACACATTCTAACCTTATTTTTCCCTTTTATCCATTAACAATCTATTTGTACTTAATTGTTTATAACAGCAGAAAGTACTTAATTCATTCTGGAGGTCCGTACTTAACCTGAAACTGTTCTTAACCTGAAGCACCACTTTAGCTAATGGGGCCTCCTGCTGCCGCCGCGCCACCGGACCATGATTTCTGTTCTCATCCTGAAGCAAAGTTCTTAACCTGAAGCACTATTTCTGGGTTAGCGGAGTCTGTAACCTGAAGCGTATGTAACCTGAAGCGCATGTAACCTGAGGTACCACTGTATCCTGTTTTCACAGCGGCCAGCCAGATCTTAGAATTGGAAGGGACCTCAAGGGCAGCGCTCGAAATTCCCATGATTCCAGGTGCATTTTATGACAGGGAATTTCATTAACACGAGCGGTTTCTGAGCTCTGGGCACAGTGCCGCGCCTAAGATTTCGGATTAAAACTGCAGAGTTGGAAAGAAAGGAGGGCCTTTTTCTGCCTCCCCACTTCCAGCTACTCTCTGAAGACTGCGAAAGAGACCCTCTTAAGAATATTAGGGGGGTGGGCAGGGGAAGGAGTAGACCATGTGCAAAAAGGAACATACAGTGGTACCTCGGGTTACAGACACTTCAGGTTACGGACGCCACTAACCCAGAAATAGTACCTCGGGTTAAGAACTTTGCTTCAGGATGAGAACAGAAATCGTGCGATTCTTAACCCGAGGTACCACTGTAATATTTTAGCTGCAGTTCATTCATTTTTCAGCTTTGCATTCTTGTTATTAAAAAGTGCACATAGACATTCTGTTGTCCAGTCACAAAAATAATAGCAGTTTTTAATTCTTTTTTTAAAAACAAACATTTTATTGAATTCACACAAATTTCACATAAAAAATCCAGTACGTGATAAATGTTTGTTTTATTTTAGTGGCTTCCTGTCCCATTGTCCGTGGGTTTTTTTTAATTCTGTCTCATTGATTCACCCTGTTTTGAAATATGGATTGCCATATTTCAAAAAGTAAAATCAGGACATTCTGAAGGTTGTTTATTTAGGAAGGTTGTTTATTTAGGAAGACCCCAAAATTTTTGAGCTTTTCCCCACTTTAGTTTTGGAAATCCCAGGAAATCTTGGACGTAGGGCACCCTTATTTTATATCATAATCATAATACAATAATCTCTCATTCTTAATTATTATAATAAATCCTGCTTGCAAATTAATCATATTATAATAGTCTGAAAAAGGCTTCTGTTCTTCCAATAGCTTTTAATTCCTCATACCCCAAAGCCTATTTTTAAGGCTTCCCGTTGAGTTTCACATCCTAAAATGGCCCACCCTTCTCTCTCAGGATTCTTGCCCGCTCTGGATTTCGAATGTGTGCCTGTTCCCTAAAGGAGAGGAGGCTGAACTACGCAGGCACGAGAGAAACTGAATGGACGTGATATATATATTTAAAATGGGATATTATAACAGATAGAGAGATCCCGTCGGTGGCCATGCAAACTGCAGTATGATTTGCCTTACAAAAACACAGAGAGACACAAGTGTCAGTGTGTGTGTATACATGTTATATATGATTGAAGATATACACGTATATAGATATACCGTATTTTTTGCTCCCTAAGACGCACTTTTGTCTTCCTGAAAAGTAAGGGGAAATGTCTGTGCGTCTTATGGAGCAAATGTGTGGTCCCTGGAGCCGAATTGCCCAAAGGCAAAAAGCAGGTCATGCTTTTGAAAGAGGGAAGTGGGCGTTGAAGCAAAGCTGTTGATCGTTTGCCGATCGGGGAGAGAGATAAGGGATGCTAGAGATAAAGGAGGCTGCCTGGGAGGGGGGAGGTAAAAGCCCATGGATCCTCAGGATTTTTACATTGGTTCACCCCAAATTCACCATCAGATCATATAGCATATCCATGGCTACAGCCTGCACCCAAAAAATCACGCACCCACTGTTGCGTGGGGCCGCAATGGCGCAAAAACGTGGTTACAAAGCACGGATCCACATGGATCCTCAGGATTTTTGCATTGGGTCACCCCAAATTCACCATCAGATCACATGTCTGTGGCCACAGCATGAACCACAAAAATCATACATCCATTGTTTCGTTCAGAATTTTTTTTCTTCTTGTTTTCCTCCTCTAAAAACTGGGTGCGTCTTATGGAGCGAAAAAAACCCCGGTATGCACATTCTGCTCTTTGTTCCAACAGATGAGCTGAGGGAAAAGTTCGCCTGCCCGGAATGCTGGAAGGTTTTTAGCAAGAAATCCAGCCTGAGCAGCCACCAGAAACGCCACACGACCGAGAGGCCCTTCGAGTGCTACGACTGCGGCAAGAGGTTCAAGAAGAAAGGGGACTTGGGGGCGCACCAAAACAGCCACACTGGAGAGAGGCCCCACAAGTGCTTTGAGTGCGGGAAGATGTTCGGTAGCAAAACAGCCCTCTATCAACACCACCGGATTCACACGGGAGAGAAACCCTACTCCTGTGCGGAGTGCGGGAAGCAGTTCACTCTCAAAGGAAACCTCGATCGGCATCAGAGGACCCACGCTGGATGAGGCAAGATGGCGGCAGGGACATGATGTCTTTGGCCAGAAGCTGTGTGGCAGAAAAGGAGAGAGTCCTTCACCCTGCCTTTTGCGTGTGTGTATCGAATGACTGTCTATTTAGAGCATGGGTAGGCAAACTAAGGCCCGGGGGCTGGATCCGGCCTAATCACCTTCTCAATCCGGCCCGTGGACGGTTCAGGAATCAGCATGTTTTTCCATGAGTAGAATGTGTCCATTTATTTAAAATGCATATCTGGGTTTTTTGTGGGGCCTGCCTGGTGTTTTTACATGCGTAGAATGTGTGCTTTTATTTAAAATGCATCTCTGGGTTATTTGTGGGGCATAGGAATTCATTTTTTCTTCTTCTTCAAAATCTAGTCCGGCCCCTCACAAGGACTGAGGGACAGTGGACCGGCCCCCTGCTGAAAAAGTTTGCTGATCCCTGATTTAGAGGGAGGCTCACCAACTGTTTTGGACCACGAGGCACCCATTTTGAATTTTGAGGGTGTGCGAGGCACCCAGCTCCCCTCACACCAAAAGCCTTACGGAGCCCCATTTTAGGAAGTGAGAGCTGCTTGAACAGCGCTTTGCTGAGGCCACGCTTAACCCTGTGTAGTGGTTTAAGAGACTTGAGGTCACATCCACACCGTTCCTTCAAAGCATGTGGGGCAGGATTCAGCTAACTAGTCCCACTAGCAGAAGCCTGTGCACGGAGGCTGCCCCACACATCCTGAAATTGGCTCTGGAGGTGTCAGGGAAAGGGAGGGGTGTTCGTTTTGTCTGGCTGGCTGAAAAGATTGCAATGGTGGGACAATATCCTCGGCGCCATACTGAATTCCTCACTCGACTTTCCCCCAAAGCATCTTGGGAACTGTAGTTTCTTAAAGATGCTGCGTGTCTTAGCTATGTCAGAGGTAAACTGCAGTTCCCTCCGCATGCCCAGTGCAAGGGTCTTAATAATGACCCAACCCTGTTTGTCAGGGTTACAGAGTTCACGTGAAACACTATCGGCGTCCATCTCTGAAATGAAACATTACTCATTTTTATTATTTATTAAATTTGTATACCGCCCTGTACCCGCAGGTCTCAGGGTGGTTCACGGGATAAAATCACAATGTAAAACACAAAACACACAATGGAAACAAAAGCCCCCCCCCATTTTAAAAGGGCATTGGATATAAATCAGCCCAAGGCCTGGTTGAAGCGGAATATTTTTGCCTGGTGCCTAAAGGTGTATAATGAAGGTGCCAGGCGAAGCGCCCTGGGGAGAGCATCCCACAAACAGGGAGCCACTGCAGAGAAGGCCCCGTTCTCTCCTCCCTCCCCAATTCCTGTTTGCAAACATGGGTAACCTGTGGCACGACAGCTCCGATGTTTGCCGGCCCTTGACCCTAGTGGCTGAGGCAGGTGGCCGTTGGACTCCAGTAACCTCTGCAGGGCCACAGGTGAGCCACCCCTCCTGCATGTGTCATTGCTGTGTTCCGTGTTGCGTGCCATGTGTGAAATAGTGCTGAGCTGTAGCAGCCCCTTGAGTAATTTCCCCCTTTCGCAGTCGACTGCCAGGCTATGACTCAAAACAGGAAGAGGAAAATCTGACAGGTGAGTCCAAAATGTGGCCTTTCTCCTCTTCCTTTTCCCCCCCATTCTTGTTTAATTTTTTTTTTTTTTTTTGGACAAAGTAATAATCATAGATAAGAATAAACGTGCGCACCCCACCAATGTGACCATTGTAACTATCCAACCTCCCAAAATTTCAACACCCCTTGTGATGGTTTGACCCCTTTCTGTTTTAACAGTATACAAATTCTACAAATACCTTCCATATCTCCTCAGAATCGTTTCTCCTGCATATTCCCCATCTTACCTTAATGGCGCATGTTAATTTATCATTAATAGCTCTATCCCACACCTCTTTATACCATTCTTCCATTTTGTATTCTGCTTGTCCCTTCCACTTCCTAGCTGTGATAATTCGTGCAGCTGTCAATAAATTTGTCAGCAAGTCCTTCATAGCCTGCGAACCTTCCATCCCATCGTAAATTGATAATGATGCTACTTCTGGACTTTTGATTAACTTTAACCAAGTGATTTCTGTTATCTCCTTCAACACCCTTTGCCCCCCAAAATTGTACATATTTACCACATGTGAAGGGATGCGGGTGGCGCTGTGGGTTAAACCACAGAGCCTAGGACTTGCCGATCAGAAGGTCGGCGGTTCGAATCCCTGCAACAGGGTGAGCTCCCGTTGCTCGGTCCCTGCTCCTGCCAACCTAGCAGTTCAAAAGCATGTCAAAGTGCAAGTAGATAAATAGGTACCACTCCGGCGGGAAGGTAAACGGCGTTTCCGTGTGCTGCTCTGGTTCGCCAGAAGCGGCTTAGTCATGCTGGCCACATGACCGGAAGCTGTACGCCGGCTCCCTTGACCTATAGAGCGAGATGAGCACCGCAACCCCAGAGTCGGCCACAACTGGACCTAATGGTCAGGGGTCCCTTTACCTTTACTTTTACCACATGTGAACATAATTCCCTGTTTCCTGACACCCCCTCCAGCATAACACCAAATATCCCTTGATTATTTGATTTAATCTGACTGGTGTTAAATACCATCTCCAAACTAATTTATAACAATTTTCTTTTATTCTTGTAGTCAACATTTTCAGCGTACGTTTCTCCCATATTTCCCCCCAGCTTTGACTATCGATCTGTCCTGTTACCTCCTTTTCCCACCTTCTCTTCTTCCTCACCTCCCGTGCACACCGCAAAATTATGCGAAGCTAGCTGATGCTTCTAGAAATAAAACAGAACGGCATGCCGCACGATGCTCGCCGTTCTTTTCATTGCAACAAGTGCAAGGGAAATAGAGCTGTGTGTCAGCCATCCCAGATCTTCCAGTTCAAAGGCAACTCCTAACAAATTACTGGCAGGCAGCGCAATGTCCGTCGCTCATCCAGAGCGAGCAGCTAGAAAATGCCCAAAAGGAAAGAGCAGAGAAGTGGCGGCGGGAAGGGTCAGCACCCGGCCCAAATGGATAATGTAAGAAGAGCCTTGCTGGATCCGACCTTGGGATCTGCATCCTCTTATCACAGTGGCCAACAAGAGGCCTCTGCAAAGCAGAACATGAATGCAATACCTGTGTTCCCTCCAGCTAAGCTTCCAAGCAGCAGGTATTCAGGAGCACCGTGGCCTAAAACAGTGGCTCTTCAAAGGGACTGAAGAGACAGGATTCCCAAATGAGGAATTCCTATTCATTTCCCCCAAATAATGGAGGGGCCTGTCTAGTGTGTCTCATGGATGTACATTGCACCACAGGAAAAGCAACCAAACCTCAAACGGTGGACTTCCTGGTGCAGACTTAAAGCCCCAAACGGCCTCGGCTCAGTATACCTAAAGGAGTGTCTCCACCCCCAGCATTCAGCCTGGACACTGAGGTAGGGTTATCAGGCGTCCCCGGTTCCTGGGGACAGTCCCCGGATTTGCAAATCTGTCCCCGGGCAAATTCTGTCCCGGGAATGTCCCCATATTTGTAAATCTGTCCCCGGGAAACATGACAACGGCAGCCTCAGCAGACCGAAGCCAGCCTGGTAGCGCAGTTGGCTCTGGCTGGCTTCAGGAGCTGCTTGCCACCATGGCACCCACAATTTTTCCTCGCCGAAAGGCCCCATATGATGTGTCTTATGCGCAACACATCATATGGCGAGAAAAAATGGTGGGTGCCAGAGCAGCAAGCAGCTCCTGAAGCCACCCAGAGCCAACTGCACCACCAGGCTGGCTCTGGGCTGCTGACTTCTGCTGCCGAAGGGGAACCGGGGACATCCGGCGGTATAGATCTCCTGCCCCCTGCCCCCTTTGTTTTGACAGATCGGGGGAGGCTCGGGAGCAATGGCTGGCCAGCCAGCCGTTGCCCAGTTTTTAAAAAACTGTGCATTTATGTTTCACAGGGTGCGAAAGAAGAGCTTTGCACCTTGCCTGGCAGAGAAACCGCGCACCTTGTGCCCCTCCTGGGCAACGCCTGCCTGCCCGCGACTCCTGAGCCTCCCCCGATCTGTCAAAACAAAGGTGGAAGGGGGCAGATCATCAGGGAAGGCTCGGGATATGCATGTGTGCTTGGGCCCAGGGTCTTTTGCCTCTCCATCCCCACTACTGACTCCCTGTTGCTACTCAGCTTCAAAAAAAAAAAAATTGTCCCTGGGTTCATTGAAAAAAATCTGGCAACCTTACACTGAGGTCCAGCTCCGAGGGCCTTCTGGCGATTCCCTCCCTGCGAGAAGTGAGGTTACAGGAAACCAGGCAGAGGGCCTTTTCGGTAGTGGCCCCGCCCTGCGAAACGCCCTCCCACCAGATGTCACGGAATTAAACAACTACCTGACTTTTAGAAGACGTTTGGAGGCAGCCCTGTTTAGGGAACTTTTTAATGTTTGATCTTTTATCGTGTTTTTAATGTTCTGTTGGGAGCCGCCCAGAGTGGGTGGGGTATAAAAAATAAATTATTATTACTATTAATTTATTATCTTTGCAAGGAAATGCAAATACAGAACAAAGCTGACAAAATATTTACACAGCGAGGTGTCCTCTCCGTTGTGGAAGTTGACCCTGGGAAAATATTCCGCAATTTGCGTTCACAGATCCCAAAGACCTGGCCTAGAAATCCCATACAAGCCAAAATTGGAAGAAAGTGAGGCCTGTGGAAGCATGTGTAGCTTCTTGAGATTTCTGCTGTTTTAATACTTCTCTGGATTGTAATCTCTCCTTCAGGTTGCAATCCTTTTCCCCAATTGGTTTCTTTCTGTTGGCCTTCTCGGAATTGTCTTCTCAGTTCCAGCTGGTTTTCTTCACAGTTAGCTTCTCTGCACAGATTGCCTTCTCCGAATTGGAATTGAGAGGGAACTGTTTTTATTCTGTAGTCACAAGTCCTGGCAAGCAAAATTTCTTCCCCATAGAATCCTGAAAGTAAATTGGCTTGTAAAAAATGGCAGTCTTCTCTGCCAGGGCCCAGGTTCAAAATGTCTCAATATTGTTCCTCTCTCCACATGCATGGGAATGTTTGCGGACTTAGCCAAACTCTGAGGGACCAGGATTTTATGCACAAGCAGCTCATCATCCCATCACAGGGAACTTTTCTTAAAGTAGCAAAGAGTTTAGATTGCTCATCTGCTAGGCCAAACCTGTGTCTTACCCATCTGCAAGCAAAATCCGTCCACAATTTACAGCAATGTAAATGTTCTGGCCATTTTGGTTTGGTTTCAAGGCTGGAATTACTCTGCAAAGGTGAAGGTCTAACTCAGGCGTCTCCAACCTGCGGCCCTCCAGATGTTTTGGCCTACAACTCCCATGATCCTTAGCTAACAGGACCAGTGGTCAGGGATGATGGGAAATGTAGTCCAAAACATCTGACGGGCCGAAGGTTGGGAATGTCTGGTCTAACTAGGTTAAAAACACAACTTTTCTTAGCTTTTAAAAGGATAGAATAAAGAGGTTTGATACATGGTTTTAACGGCAGATGTGACTGTATCATAAAGGGTAAGGTAAAGGGACCCCTGACCATTAGGTCCAGTCGTGACCGACTCTGGGGTTGTGGGGCTCATCTCGCTTTATTGGCGGAGGGAGCCGGCGTACAGCTTCCGGGTCATGTGGCCAGCATGACTAAGCCGCTTCTGGCAAACTAGAGCAGCACACAGAAACGCCGTTTACCTTCCCGCCGGAGCGGTACCTATTTATCTACTTGCACTTTGACGTGCTTTTGAACTGCTAGGTTAGCAGGAGCTGGGACTGAGCAACGGGAGCTCATCCCGTCGCGGGGATTCGAACTGCTGACCTTCTGATCGGCAAGTCCTAGGCTCTGGGTTTAACCCACAGCGCCACCCGCGTCCTATATCATAAAGGGTAAATGTCTCTAATAAACATTAATTTACCAGGTTGCCAAGCTGGCCCTAGTGTTTCTGTTTATTAGGGTTGGAAAGTTACTAAAAGCATGCTTGAAAAACCCAAGATGTGTTTTAATTTTGAGATTAGCACAAAAAACGATGTTGCCCTGTTCAAACGTCTCTCTCTCTCTCTCTCAAGTTACACAAATCACCTCTTCGCTTCTGTGGCTTTTGTCAAAAAAGCAAAAGCTTGCTTGTAGTTGTAGAAAGTTAACTATATTGGAACCCCTCCCACAGTCTAGCCCTCTCGTGTTTGGAGATGTTTACTTACATATATTTTTTTTACATTTGTAACCCTCCCTTCCTTGCTAAGGAGCCCCGGGTTGCAAATACCCAAGATGTTAAAGCCATGCAGCAAAAAATAATACAGCTCTTGTTTAAAAACAAGTAAAAGCTGAGTGAAAACGCGGGAGAGGTGCTATCGAGAGAAACCGGGCGGGTGTTCCGGCATCACAGAGCTTGGGTGCCCCAGAACCCTTTAGTGTGGAGTCCAGTGTCTCAGGGACGCACAATAAGTTCGGTTCCATCCCACACACGGAACCAAGGGAGAACCTTTTCCCCTCCAAAAGTGGCTGAACTGAACGTGTAGATTGTGGTCTGGGTTTCCGGATCGAAAAAATCCACCTGCCCTGCAGTGTAGTCCAAAAACACGCGGATATTCCGTGGCCTCCTGCCAAGGGAGAGTCGTGTGTGTTGTGGGGAGGTGAAAGCTATGTAGTTCCCGAGTCCCTCGTATTCTCCTATCCCCCAGATTCCTGCAGCCGGGCTGAAGCCTGTCGGCCCCTCTCTCTTCACAGACTCCTTAGCCACCCCGACTGCCCATTCCCCCTTGCCCTTCACGCCAACCTCCCAGCAGTGTTTGCCTGAAGCGAATCCCTCCCTCCCCAGCACAAAAGCGCGCTGGTTAAATCTCTTGGCGCTGTTGGGAAAGGTCTGCTCCACCTCTCCCCATCGCACACTTTTCTCATCCTTGGATACCACCAGCCGCCGGTGGGCCGTGTCTGGATCCAGAGTCACACGGGCTGCAAGGAAGGAAAGAAAGTATCAGATCGTAGGATCATAGATTCCTGCCCTAGGAGAAGACTCGGTGGCTTTCGCCGATAGACTCTGTACCAGCTGTTAGATCCCACTTTCTGAACCTTGGGGAAATATATTTGATCAATCAAGGGAGATTATATTTGCACCTATTAAGGTGCAATAGTGAAAGGCGAAGCATCACCTCATCTCCTTCAGGGGTGGGGGACTTCTTTTTTTAGCCTTGGGGGTCCTGCTCCCATGTGAGGAACCTTCCGCAAGCTTCATGCCTCAGGTTGGCAGTGTTAGGATTCCTGCTCCGTGTTTGCAGTCATGAGATTGTTGTCTATCACATGACGGTGTACGTTTTCATTCCACAGTGTGGGAAGTGATGGAGACAGGATGTTTTGTGTTACTGTGTTCCGTGGAGTGGGACTATTGTCCTTTGTTCTTTCTCTTTTCGCTGTCTGATGTGAAAGAGGAAGCAGCTAAGTCAGAATGCTCCGAGTGTATTATATGTAAATAAAGTAGATTAGCCAAAATGCTGAGCTATTGAGTCTTTTACATGAACTGCCAATACTCTGCAGATCCTTAAGTGTGCTGATGCTTCATGGTATCAGTCGCTGTGATGCTCAGGCTGAAGAAAGCTTTTGAAGCTCCCGAACGACCAACCAGGAGGGAGAGAACATGCCAGTCGGGCATGTGTCTCTGCCAGGGTCCTACACAAGAGCAGGACGATCCTAACAGGCAGATCAAAAGGCAGAAGCGGGCAGCGCAACTGTCTTGTAGGCTTATGTCCCAACCGCATGAAATAATTCAGAGGTTTCTACGAATACCTCTCTCCCTTCTGCATGCAGGCAAGCCAGAGGCCTTACCGCAGTTGAAGAAGCCATTCCAGTAAGGTGCAAACACAACGTAGGAATGTGACAAGATGGATTTAGTGAGGAATGTGGCCTGAGGAGGAGACACCTAAGGGCCAGATAGGGAGGTACAGAGGGCTGCAGTTGAGGTTCCCGTCGTTCTTCATTTCCTCACATTTCATTGTGAGACAATCCTCACACATCTATTATGGAGGGAGCTTTCGTGGACCTCAGGCCATTTCAAGAGAGGCAACGCTTCATGAGTGCTGTTGCTCAGTTACGGCTTGCAGGCTCCCTGTAGGCCGCTGGTCTTTAACTGGTGGGTTGAAACCCACAACCGGGTCACAGTTTGACCCGAGCAGAATGACCACCGTGCTAACAATATAGAGAAATATTAAGAATTGGAAGTTCAGGGCAGGCTTTGTATTCCAAGAGAGGCAAAGAGAAGGAGATGAAATTACCTGCTGGACTTCCTGGGAGCGAGTCACACGAATTGGGCAAAGTCCGTGGGCAGGAACCGCCTTCTATGTTTTTTATCTGGAAAACTTTCAACATAGCTTAGGTTAGGGTGGGGATGGAGAATCTGTGGCCCACCAGAGGACCTTAGGGAACCCCTGTTCAGCAACAGCAGGGAGGTGTGGTCTAATCTGGACAATCCATGGTTGCCCTAGTAGTCCATCCACAGAAGAAAACATGGTGCCATACTGCTTTAAAAGTATAGTGCAGATGGGGCCTTTAAAAAAAAAAAAAACGAACCAAGAAGCGGCCAAGAAGCATTGGCAACAAGAAAGAAGAGGCTGTTTTCCAGAATTTTTAAGGGCAACATGATTCCCCCCCCACTCACACTGATTAGCTCACTTACATAAACTCTTAAAACGATATTTTCTGAGGTATTTTTAATAGCTAGGACTACAGTGGTACCTCGAGTTACAGACGCTTCAAGTTACAGACTCCGCTAACCCAGAAATAGTACCTCAGGTCAAGAACTTTGCTTCAGGATGAGAAAAAAAAATCGCGCGGCGGCAGAGGAGGCCCCATTAGCTAAAGTGGTGCCTCGGGTTAAGAACGGACCTCCAGAACGAATTAAGTTCTTAACCTGAGGTACCACTGTATATTTCCAAGTGCCAGACCACTGTTAAGAAATAGGATGGGAAGCGGAACCTTTTTCAGCCTGAGGGCCTCATTAGCTTTGGGGCGACCTTCCCAGATGTGGCAGAGCCAGAGGCAAAAGTCGGCAGTTAATTGATGTAAAATGTTGCCTTTGCATGGTAGGCTAGTTTCTACACATACTCTCCATCCAGGCAAGGAGAGGTATTATTTGAGTTGGAGGATATATTCCAGCCAAACGAAAACACTCACACAAGGTGCCAAGTAGGGCCAGTGAGGAGGAATCTGGCCTGGGGAGAGTCCCAGGGGCCAGGCAGAGCAACTTGAAGGGCCACATTTGGCCCCAGGCCTGAGGTTTCCCAAGCCTGGCACAGGAGCAGGGCCAAGAAAAGACGTGGCAGCCTGACCATGAGTTAAGACTACGCTAGAAGCCTACCTATCAGAAGAGTGACCAGGCCCACGTTCAGCACGATGCTCACTGCCAGGAAGACCCTCTGCGTGATGTTGCAGCATTTTGAAGGAGATTCTGTGGAGTTGATAAGTTCCATCAGGAAAACGCAACTTATTATTATTATTTTTTAGTCTTATCCGCCATTCCTTTGAAGCGCTCAGGGCGGCATACATCGTTTTTAGATTCACAACACCCCTCCCTAATCTTGGCTCGGTGGCCTCAGCTCCACTTCCTTCATTGACTTCAGAGTGTGGTGAACCTGCCCTGCTGTTTTGGGGGTCCCTGCTTCTCATTCTGCTGAGTGTGGATCTGGACTTCCGCCCCCCAAGTCCTGCACCCAATTATGCCACTGGGTAGATTAAATGCCCCAAAGTGATTTTTGTTGCTGAGCAGGGATTTGATCACTTGTGGGGTGCCTCAGGGTTCTGTCCTCTCCCCCATGCTTTTTAACATCTATATGAAGCCGCTGGGAGAGATCATCAGGGGGTTTGGACTGGGTGTCCATCAATATGCAGATGATACCCAGCTCTACCTCTCTTTCAAATCAGAACCAGTGAAAGTGGTGAAGGTCCTGTGTGAGTGTCTGGAGGCGGTTGGAGGATGCATGGTGGCTAACAGATTGAGGTTGAATCCTGACAAGACAGAAGTCCTGTTTTGGGAGGACAGGAGGCAGTCGGGTGTGGAGGACTCCCTGGTCCTGAATGGGGTAACTGTGCCCCTGAAGGACCAGGTGCGCAGCCTGGGAGTCATTTTGTACTCGCAGCTGTCCATGGAGGCACAGGTCAATTCTGTGTCCAGGGCAGCTATCTACCAGCTCCATCTGGTACGCAGGCTGAGACCCTACCTGCCCACAAAGTGTCTCACCAGAGTGGTGCATGCTCTAGTTATCTCCCACTTGGACTACTGCAATGCGGTCTACATGCAGCTACCTTTGAAGGTGACCTGGAAACTACAACTAACCCAGTATGCAGCAGCTAGACTGGTGACTGGGAGCAGCTGCCGAGACCGCATAATACCGGTCCTACATAAAGACCTACATTGGCTCCCGGTACGTTTCTGAGCACAATTCAAAGTGTTGGTGCTGACCTTTAAAGCCCTAAACGGCCTCGGCCCAGTATACCTGAAGGAGCTTCTCCACCCCCATCATTCTGCCCAGACACTGAGGTTCAGCTCTGAGGGCCTTCTGGTGGTTCCCTCACTGCGAGAAGCAAAGCTACAGGGAACCAGGCAGAGGGCCTTCTCGGTAGTGGCACCCGCCCTGTGCAACACCCTCCCATCAGATGTCAAAGAGATAAACAACTACCTGACATTTAGAAGACATCTGAAGGCAGCCTTGTTCAGGAAAGTTTTTAATGTGTGACATTTTAATGTATTTTTAATCTTTGTTGGAAGCCGCCCAGAGTGGCTGGGGAAACCCAGCCAGATGGGTGGGGTACAAGTAATGAATTATTATTATTATTATTATTATTATTATTATTATTATTAAACCCCTGCCTCCTGAGCCTTAGTCTGGCACTCTGACCACTACACCTCACTCCCCCTCCTCATAAACAGTAACAGCCTGCAACTTCACTAAGAAATTAAACACCCTTGACTGGAATTACTGCATGCCAGCCTGCAATGTCCAAGTATCAGTCCATACCTTGTGCCTTTGGGGGGACAGGTGGTGAGCAGGTTTTTCTGCTTCCTTCATCTACTGCCATGTATCCTTCTTCATCTTCCATCTTCTAATATCTCTCTTAAGCCCCAGGGGAGGAGGTTCAGCAAGCAAGGTAATTCCTGAAAGCTAGACTTTCTCTCTTTGGAAGGAGAATTTAGCAGTTTTTAGACCACTCAAACTGCAAAAATAGCACGTAAAAATAGCCCTCTACTCCTCAGTCTCATGAATATGAGACTTCCCCAATTGCTGCGGGAGTTGACCACACCAAACATGTGAAGCAATGCACCTTTCCACTCTGTCGGTTTGTGACACACTCGCTTGTGCAATGATTGCGTACGGCGGCAGCACACCATAAACCGAAGCTGAATCCTGCGAAGAAGGAAATCCTGAGGCTTAGCGGTTTGCAGGTTTGGGAAACTGGCAGCTCACCTGTTATCGATGGGGTTGCACTTTCCCCAGAGGGACAGGTACGTGTCTTGGATGCACACTGTACATAAAAAGGAAACGGACCCCTGGGTGGTTAAGTCCGGTCAAAGGCGACGATGGGATGTGGTGCTCATCTCGCTTTCAGGCCAAGGGAGCCGGCGTTTGTCCACAGACAGCTTTCTGGGTCATGTGGCTTCTGGCGCAACAGGACACCGTGATGGAAACCAGAGCGCACGGAAACGCCGTTTACCTTCCTGCCGCAGCAGTACCTATTTATCTACTTGCAGTGGTGTGCTTTTGAACTGCTAGGTTGGCAGGAGCGGGGACAGAGCAATGGGAGTTCACCCCGTCGCAGGGATTCGAACGCTGACCTTCTGATCGGCAAGCCCAAGAGGCTCAGTGGTTTAGACCACAGTGCCACCTGTGTCGTCTTATATCACTTTACCAGTCATGGCTAACCCCATGGGTAGGCAAACTAAGGCCTGGGGGCCGGATCAGGCCCAATCTCCTTCTAAATCCGGCCCATGGGCGGTCCGGGAATCAGCGGTTTTTACATGAGTAGAATATGCCCTTTTATTTAAAATGTATCTCTGGGTTATTTGTGGGGCCTGCCTGGTGTTTTTACATGAGTAGAATGTGTGCTTTTATTTAAAATGCATCTCTGGATTATTGTGGGGCATAGGAATTCATTCATTCCCCCCCCCCAAATATAGTCCGGCCCCCCACAAGGTCTGAGGGACAGTGGGCCGGCCCCTTCCTGAAAAAGTTTTCTGATCCCTGGCTAACCCCAAATAACTGTAGTTTGCAAAAAGTCCTCACCCACAGAGCCACAATTCCAGGCACCCTTAACAAGCGACAGTTCCTGGGGTTTTCCATGAGTATTACAGTGTTATTAATAAGTGTGAAGGTGGCTTTAGGTCCTTCGCTGTCCCTGGAGGCAGAGCTAGCTGTCCTCAGTGACTGAGAGCTTTGTCCCAGCTTCGGTTGATGCACCAGCTGTGGCCATTCCTGGACAGGGAAACAGCCTGGTTTTAGAGGTGCAGACACTGGTAATTTCTAGCTTGCATGGCTTCAATGTGCTCCTCGCAGGGCTGCCCTTGAGGTTGGTGTAGCTAGCGCAGAAGGATGGGCTTCAGTTTCTAGCCAGAACAGCTCTGCACCAGCGAGGAAAGCTTTGCATTGGTTGCCAGTGTATAACTAAGCCACGTTCAAGGTACAGTGGTACCTCAGGTTACATACGCTTCAGGTTACATACGCTTCAGGTTACAGACTACGCTAACACCCAGAAATAGTATCTCGGGTTAATAACTTTGCTTCAGGATGAGAACAGAAATCGTGCAGCGGCAGCAGGAGGCCCCATTAGCTAAAGTGGTGCTTCAGGTGAAGAACAGTTTCAGGTTAAGAACAGACCTCCAGAACGTTCTTAACCCAAGGTATCACTGTATTAGAATTCTAGAGTTGGGAGATGACTGGCAGAATCCGAGACCAGGGAGAAGAGTCGGTGGAAGAAGATTGGATGAAATTTAAAATCTATTTACAGAAATATTGCAAAATGTATGAATGCTGAGGACATTGAAATGAAATGAAGGGGCTCTAGTAATAAGATGATAAAATTAGAAATTAGAAATTTGGAATTTAATATAAGTAAAGATAAGGTAATAGGATATGAATTTGCTGAATTAACTGCTAAAAAGGGATACAAAAAAGGGAGGCGCGAGGAAGTCCGGAAAATAAGTTATTAAAGATAAGAAAATAGTAAAGAGTGATATGTGTTTTATCTGTTTGTATGTATATTGATTTTATTCTTTTTCCTTTGTCAGGTTAAATGTTTGTAGTTTTGTATTGTGTATTTTGTATTGTATTGTGAAATTCTGTATGTTTTATATCTTCTCTGTGTTTATTGTTTTTCTTTCTTTTTTTGCTTTTTATTGTTAAACTTAATAAAATATTATTTTTTTAAAAAATAGAATTGTAAAGTTGGAAGGGATCCCCCCTGCAACGCAGGAATCTCAACAAGATCCCACATGGCCCTCCAACCTCTGCTTCAAATAACCTGCTTTGAATTTCTGCTTTGGATCTTGTGGCGCCTCTTTTTCGACCTCATACCCAAGCTGACCTTTCTTCTTTTTCTAGCTTGTCCCGTCTCAAAGTTTGATAGTATTTCTAGCTCCTTTGCAATTTCAGAAGAAGAAGAAGAAGAAGAGTTTGGATTTGATATCCCACTTTATCCCTACCCGAAGGAGTCTCAAAGCGGCTAACAACCTCCTTTCCCTTCCTGCCCCACAACAAACACTCTGTGAGGTGAGTGGGGCTGAGAGACTTCAGAGAAGTGTGACTGGCCCAAGGTCACCCAGCAGCTGCATGTGGAGGAGCGGAGACGCGAACCCGGTTCCCCAGATTACGAGACAACCGCTCTTAACCACTACACCACACTGGCTCTTGGGGCATCTATCAAAACCCCACAAGGCTTCTTGGGCACTTGGGATTGGCTTGCAGCTGAATTTAAACAGCTTCCTTATTTTTTTAGTAGTTTGCAAGATGGACTTTGAAAAGGATGTTGTACCATGTTAACACGAGACACCACAATCTTGCATCAGCAGTTTAAAAGCAAGTGTGTTTTAACTGTGTGTGTGTGTGTGTGTGTGTGTGTGTGTGTGTGTGTGATATAGAACCTCCTGAATTTATTGCAGGGCACTAGACTCAAAGCAGGTATAGGGAACCCTTGGCTCTCCAGCTATTGCTGAACTACAACTCCTATACTGATGTTCTATGAAGAGCTCAGAGTTGCATTGGATTGTTAGGGCCACAACCCAGTTCGGGGATCGAACTGGATAGCAAACTTCAAATAGCAGCCTTGCTGTATGCATCTATGCCATGGGTAGACAAACTAAGGCCCGGGGGCCGGATCCGGCCCAATCGCCTTCTAAATCTTGCCCATGGATGGTCCAGGAATCAGCGTGTTTTTACATGAGTAGAATGTGTCTGTTTATTTAAAATGCATCTCTGGGTTA